AGTTAAGGTCGAACCCTAACAGTTCAACACCACGAAAGTAGTAGCAGCTGCCTTAGCGTAAGTAAATCACTAAAGACTCCATCAGGACCTTGGTCGCAAAGTCATTAAACACAGCACAGGATGTCCCGGCGCTTGTTATCACACGGTGACGTCACAGTGGCGTCAATGGACTACCGTTTTATAACCCACGGGGAAAAAAGTCTTTCGTCCATTGATTAAATACTCGCTTCTGTGGTTCACATGATAATCATTTTCTGACTTTGGATTTGAGATAATGAAGTTTGCTTATACGGTGAGCCTCAACTTCATCTGCGGCCGGCTGCGCAACAGAAATTATTGCTTAACTTACTTGCTTAGCACCAATCACTGCTGGTCAATATGCATCGAATGTTATTTTGGTTGTTTTGTCTCCCCCGCCCTCTCCCCCTCTTTTTCTTTGGTTTGTTTAGCACATATATAATGTGCTCAGCAGATAATGTGCTTATCAGCTGCGAGAAAATGAACTTGTGTCCTTCTTCTTTTTGTCTATCTTCAAAGCATCAAATGGTCGTTTTCCATTTGTGCATTCGCGAGGTCTCCGGAGCTGCATGGGTGGGGTAGTATCGGCCATTTGAGGCAGTGATCCATGGTGTGGTCTGCCTCTGTGCACAAGTGCTGTGTATATAGCTCTATTTCTGCAATATTTCTGAAATGTTTGAACTTTAAGTATCAATGTACGTCGTCTGTTTCACCAATGTTCTTCTTCCTTATGAGTTTTACTTTGTTTAGCATCATTTAATAATTTGTATTGCACGCAGGGACCCAATTGAAACCAGTTTAAACTGCTTGGGCACTGGGTAAGAAATGGAATAATTTAAAATGCCATTGATTTTTGGTTTTAATTCTTATATAGAATTCAAATTTGCAAAGCGAAATATTCTATGTAGCAGGTGCGTGAAATTGGGCCCTGATAAAATTGTGCATCGCGCTAGTCAGTTTTTTGTCAATTACATTGGGAAGGGGATACAAATTCTCACCCTAGCACTTTTGCTTCCATCCAACAAATACACATTAGTACCCCTATGGGCATTATTCACGAGTGGACCACATTACTTTGAAAGCGAGGTAACCTCTTCATTTTTGGAACGCGAGTAGAAATGAAAGCAATGAATCAGTGTTGTAGTCGAGTACTTTTTCCGAGTACCGAGTACTGCCGTGTACTTAGGTAACCGAATACGCCGGTACGAGTACTTGTTACGAGTACAGTACAGGTCTCCAAGTACGAGTACTTGCCCTTCCGAGTACAAGTACGAGTACGATACTTGTACGCCCGAGTACGAGTACGAGTACTTGTATTCCGAGTACGAGTATGAGTACGAGTACTTCTATTTCCGAATACGGCCATACGGCAGATGGTTCGCTGTGCGTAATAATTGGCCCAGGCCCAGCCAGACCGATATACAGACCCACTTACAGCTAGCTGAAAGTATCGATAAAATAAGGCCGACGTGGTAAGTCAAGCTAGGCCATTTTGTTTCTTCGAGTACTGCTATTCGAGTACGAGTACTTTGATGATCGAGTACGATTTCGACATGTCGAGTAAGAGTACTTTGCTGGCCGAGTACGAGTACCGTCATTTCGAGTACGAGTACTTTGACATTCGAGTACGAGTACCGAGTACGAGTACACTGCAGTACTACAACACTGCAGTCAGGGGCGGCGGAACCGGGGGGGGGGGGGGGGCTGAAGGGGGCCACTTGCCCCCCGCCCCCTCCCCCAGATTTACCCAAGTGCTCCTTTTGCGGACATAAATGTGGCCCCTGAGCATAGATGTGCCCCCTCGAGATGAAAACAAACCTGGCCGTAAAATTTCGGATAATTTGTTTTCAGTAACCATTTCCCAAAATGGTATAGAGAGTTCTGATATGAGCGAGGAATATGAAAACCAAGCCCCAAAACCCTTACGAAGCACCCTGCATAATGGCCAGTTTAGAAGAGCGCCCCCTATTTTGGAAAATGGCATTGATTTTACGGAGGCCAAGTGTCCAGTGAAAAAAAACGTGTCGACATTTCAGCACGGATGTGCAAGTGCCCCTTTTTGGTGATGCCACCCCCCCCCCCCCCCCCAGTTTGAAAACCGTTCCGCCGTCGCTGACTGCAATGAATTAACATAAAAGTTCATTACAAATTAATATCAGTCTGCTCTGAGGAATAATTTAAAATTTGTGATTTAACATACCCTAATAATTATGTTAAGCCACTCAGTTCAATTTTTAATATTTCATTTCCGTATAATATGCACTTAATAATTATACGTCATTAACTATATCATCCTTTATATTTCAATTCAGACAATTAAATTCTAATCACTATGAGCTATGCCAACACGAATAGAGTCTACCATACTAAGAAAAAGGAAAAATACAAGAAAAATTAGTGCAAAATCTAAATCTGTAAATAACCATAGTAACAACAATTTTCAGTTCAAATTGTGAACTCAAAATTTTACTTATTGGAAATATTTGCGAGAAAAATTTGCTAATTGGCTTACTGTCATGTACTGACACAACAACGAATCACCAAAGAAAATAAAATTTACGACAGGGAAATATCCAAACTTCTGGCAACTTTTGGTGCTGATAATTGCTGTGACATTGAGATTTCTGCCTGAAATGACGTCACATCCTTGCTCATGAATATAGAAATTGCAATAGCATAAAAACCAAAAAAGCACCAAAATTCCCTTGAAAATGGCAAAACGAATATAGAGTTAAATGAGACACAACGGTGGATTTCCAAGCATTGCATTAAAAACACATTACATGGGCCCTTTATATACAATCAGATCCTGAACAAATAACATTATTATATTTATGTAAACCAAATTAGTGATATGGAAAAGGAAACAATAGTATTTATGGTAAAAACACAAACACATGACCATCATGCAATTGACCAAGCAGGTAGCAATATGAAGATGTCGGGCAAGACATAAAACGATTGGACTTAAAAACCGGAATTTGTGTCCGACAACAAGAAGAAACATTAAACAATATGTAGAGAACACCCAAAATGAAGTGGGGGTGCCATGAAATTAAAAGGCACAACAATAATGCGGAGCTCTTTCAATGTGGACGTTTTTTTATGTTAAACCATTTAGACTCGAATCTCATTACTAATACTAACAAATAATGATAAGGGTTATTCAATGAAATTCAAATTCATACAAACCATAATTTGTCGGTGAAGCCTATTTCTGAGAATGATTGACATAATAATTATGGCACTTGAATGAAATTCTGTCGTTTCACGATAGGGGCAAACAAAAATTGAAAAATTTGTTTCGCTAAAACGCAAATATGAACATGGATACTTATTAGCAGTTCACTTAGGAAATTTACGGTCAGCTACACAAGTGTCTTGTTGATATGTGATGATGACTGTTTTGCCTTTATCCTGTTTTTATTTGATAATATCGGAATTAAATGTATTTATGAGGGTACTTGTTAATTTTGACAACCCTAGATGACTAGAATCAATACGAAAGTTTTCCATTCAGTGGACAGACCAGACCAGCCCACACTGCTTCGCTTTCGCTGATTGGCCAAATCCCACCTTCACTGGTGCGCATTCATTGTCAAATGTAAACGGAGGGTCGGCGCACATGGACCAGCGAAATGTAATTGCCGCCGCTCGCGAATTTCATGTTCAGATATATATATACAACGCCCTCTTTCGTTCGCACATGGTGAGCTCATCGTGTGTATTATGTGTGGGCTTTGGGATTGGGGAGTTTTCAAATGCAAGGCCAATAGTTTTTCAGCCTGACGTAGTTTCCACTGATGTCTCCGATGCATGGCATTCAATTTGTGACCGGCGCGACGTAAACCTCTCTTCGTATTCTGAATGTCTAGTGGAAATACCTGAGAGATTATGCGCACGGTTTTGCGGATTAACGTTCACTGTTTATTCAGTGAAGATTAACAGGATAAACCGGGGAGTCCAAAACCCGGAAATACTTCCCTTTTTATATCCATAGAGGTGTCGTGTGAGTGTCGCAAGGAGCAGCAGGTACATTTTGGATGAGTAAATAACCAGTTTTGGTGATACGCAGAATCGAGAGAATCGCTTGTTGCAACTGACATTTTTTTTTGTACAATACAACCCGAAACTTCATCAGCCTTTTTGCCTCAACACTATAGCCATGCTCGCTTTCGAGTGTTGAGCTTTGTGAAAGGCATTAATATTTAACCCCGCCCCCCCCCCAAAAAAAGAACCTGCCGATTTGATCAGAAAAACGAAGTGATGAAAGGAATGCATGGTACCAAATACCTTGTAAAATTATTCCGTCTGAAAAAAAAGTATCTTTCGAAAGAAAACAATCACTGAAGGTTGTTAAAAAAAACCTTGATTCCTGATGCGGCAAAGTTTTAACAACTTAACAATATTCGTGGAATTCAGCGCAGATCACCCACCTGGACGTCATACTGGCTGAGTGATAATCATTTCCACAGAGCAGCTTTGTGGATTTTATCACGAAACGGAACAATATTCTCGAAATGAAACGGCATCTTTTGAATCTGAAGTGCTAGCATTGAATTAATTCACTTTGAGTCCAGAATAGTGTACGTAGGTTTTTGTCTGTATTGGCCTATAGTATCCACTGATCTGAAACTGCAACAGCTTCAGACCCTACTTTAATATTTGAACCATTTGTCTTGCTTCAGACGAAAAACAAATCCCCCCCCAAAAAAAAACCCCAAAACGATTCTAATCTGTGACCTTTCTGAAAACGAGATATGGCGTATGAGATATGCCACTATGATAAACCATGGACTTTTCACATGACGAAAGCAGACACCAGTCAGTCAATCTTTCCATATTTAGCATAAAATACATATCTTGAAGATTAGAGCATGGAGCTAGAATTAGAGTATCAATTATTTTCACAGTTGCAATAACATTTGCCCATTAAGCTTTAATATATAAGACAGTGGGATATTGGAAAACACCTGCCTTACCATGTGTGTAAACTCGTCCTGTAGTCAATCAGTGGCCATAACAATCCATCATGACGTTCATGTTATGATTATACAATGCCAACACTGATGAAGTCACAATTAGCGGGCGTTTGTTTGAAAACCAGCACAGTTGTGAGAGAGAGACGTCAAACTAATTTCAATCCACAAGTTGACGATAAAGGACACGTACCATGCAGTCTTGCGACAACTCACATTGTATTTAGCAAAGCGTAGCTGGCGGAACGGCCCCCGCAGGCAGCTGTTACACATGTATACACAAACCGCGAGTATTAGGGCCGCAGATCGACGGCCACACGTGATAACTTTATCTGCTCGCAGTTTACAAAACAGACCAGCACAGAACCATTATCAGAAAAACAAATAACAGATTCCATCAAGATAACACTAATTATCATGGCTTGCCCTTAATATGAATGGGGGAGAATGTACCGCCACTACAAAGCTATATCATTTAGTGAAGAAACAAACTTCCCTCACACACATAAAACTAACCTTTTTTGTATTCCTGCGTTTGAGCTCGAATACCATCAACCAGTACCGGCACCTCTCTCAACTGAAATGAACCGTTTCCGTTCTCGGATCCGGAGTTTGCCCACAAAAACAACCAAGGAAACGGGCTTTCGTGAAATTCGGGTATTCGTGGAAGAAAGTTCGGATTTCATCATTCCAACAATACAAAATATAATCTGTGGGTGGATTGGATATAACTATGCACGCCTCTCAATTATTAAGCAATCATGATTTTTTTCTTCAACATGATGAAAGGCCTATTCAGAAATTTCAGAAAAATTAATGAAGTAAATACCCATCCCTTTACCAATTTCTAACAATAGCCTTGCTGTAAAATGGTTCCCATATTTAGAAGTTAGGCAAGGTGTAATTAAAGTCATCAGTTTTTCTACTGCAATTTAATTTATGCGACCTTGTATTGTTCTTCATTATGACGCATTCCTCAGTCAACTCTAAATATGCACACGAACCGGATGGCACTAGGGGCGGAGACGGAGTCTATATGAGGGGGGAGGGGGTATAACTATGACCATGGAGCGAAGCTATGCTATGACACAGTCTTTGATGCAACACCGCATTCCACAACAACGCACATTACGACCAGAACGAATCGCGATATCATCGCACCTTGTACTTTACACGGGTCTTTAATTAATTGATCCGCAGTTATAACAACATGTTCCAAGTTCTATTGGTTCATTGGCTTATGCCGTCTATAATATGATGACATGCAATAAACCTGCGGAAGTAGATCTGAGGTGAATAAACGACAATGAACCACCAGTGGTATCACCGGATCTTGTACAGGAAACCACACAATGCAGGTTGATTTCCGGTCACGTAGTCTATGCATTGAAAGTGCAGAACCCGGATCAATTGAGATGTAGAAATTAATGTAAATGATTATGAACCAAACGAGAAAGAACAGCGACTCCGTTACACATCCATTCATGTATGTATAGATTGTTGAAACTTGAAAATAAAGACAAAATAAAACATATGGCCTATAAATTAAAATCTAGAAATATAATAGCGAAACGTTTCGACTACTTATAGTACAACGCAACCCCATTTCCAATACGTATAAACTTAGGGACAGAAATATAATGAAAACTAAATTGGTAATACGGAGTTGGCACAAACAAATTGTCATAGAGCTTACACGAGGTAATTCAGAATTGAAGACGATTAGAAACGTGGAAACAAAACAGAGATTTGCGTTTGTTGAGTTACAAACGTAGAGTGATCGGGCAGATAACTTTTTCATTTGATATTACCCTGTAAAGTTGTGAGTATTTGTTTTTGTCACACGATTCGACATTCAGCTTTTCTAGTGGAACAAGTTGTTTTAATTTGAAAATAGAGTATCTTTTGGATTGTATAAATTTGAGTACACATTTTATTCACATGTACTCGATATATCCGGTTTGATGACGTTTTCATTTGAAATGTGCAAAACTGAGTATTGATTCAGTTCAGAGAGGATACTTGTTCATCATGAAGTGAAAAGAACTTCTTCAAATATAGATATAATAATGAATGTTTCAGTGCAGGCCTATAGGCTAAGGAAGTTTTGTATGTATCAAGGAGGTTTTGTGGAAGCAAAATAGGGACATGTTAAATTTGGAACTCGGAGGATGAATGAGAAACCGGATTACATGGATTTGTTATACATAATAGACATGCATTGGTTCATTTGATAATACGAAGCTCTATGTTCTGAATAAGATTTGAAGTACATGATGTAAGCAATGGTTCATTAAAAGCTATTATTAAAACATTGCTTATATAAAGCGGGAAACAAAATAAATGTATGGGTTCAACTATACACGGAAATTATACGGCGAATTCTAATAATGTCCTTCAAGCAAGGAGACAATGTTTTGCTTGGAAAATGTAGCTATTCGTATCATTGACGTAATAAGAAGGAGATTTCTCTTCTGAAAAAAAAACCCCTACGTGTACATGAAAAATAACAAGCAACTCATCATCATTATGATTGCTTACTATGGGCTCCGTCAGCGAAGAAGAGAGGGCGTTTGTTATTTTAGTGTTGATTCACAGCAAATTTGCATGAAAATGGACCGCTTTATCAACGGTCTCCAGATAATAATGATTGACGTCCTTGAAAAGATATCATTTGGAGCAGTCAAAGTAATCAATTTCTCTCACCGATATCTGACATCTGAGTGTATGCAAAAGGTCAACGTCATAAAAAAAAAACTATATAAAAAAGCAATTCAATATCAATTTCGCAAACTTGAGATGTATTGTGAGTAGCCCGTGTACGATGTACGATGCCTTCTCCTGAGTCCCATTGGCCCCATTTTACTGAGCATAATAACATTATATCATAACATCAGTCTCCTTTTGATCCTCTTGTTTAGCAGTAATTTGGGCTGGATCTTTTTAGGGGGAAACTTTGCGTTCTCCCACGTGATAACAAAAAATCCTGTTGTGTGTTGGAGGCTGTTGCACTTTTTTCTTGGCCTAAAAAGTATAAGAGCATATACAGAAAAAAACTAAATACTTTGAGCTGCATTTATCATTAAATAATATTAAAAGTATGAAAAATCGTTATTTGATTACTAGCGCCTTGGCATTCATTTTGGATGAAGCGAAGGGTGTGCGCGTGAGAGAATAGACAATGCGAATTGCGCCCTCATCCGACTACCTCAACAACATGTATTAATGACGATGGGGGCGCTATAGTGGCAAATGCATCGAGCGCCTACTGTCAAATCACGAACCGCAAAATTCACGTAGTTGAGGGATGGCGAAACGAAGATTTCAATCTCTTAAGAAAATATGAGCTGTCCTTGACCACACTCGATAACTTCTTCCCATTGATGAGAGTCTCAGGATGCTGACAAAAAGGATGCGATGGAGTTGCTGAGGTAGACGCTCAGGTAAAATAGTTCAAGGTAGGTAGCTCGGACTGGAACATGAGCTGTTGGTACTGCAATTGGTTAAAATATCGTGCACAAAATGCATTTATTGGCAATTAATTTCTTTACTAGTTGCAAGAAGTATGGATTCAACGATGGTGTCGCACAATCTGAAATTGTTTCGTGACATGGGGCTTATTCGTCTTCATCTGACTTGTACGAAGATGATGATGTTTATCGCAGCGATATTAAAGGGAATATACATCATTTGCTTTTGCTGTAATTTTCAGAAATGGATGGAATTGGGGGATTGGAAATATAAAGCAAATATAGTTACACTGACTTTTTGGAGGTTTTGGGTTCGAAAATGCTATAAAAACCAAGAAAAACGATCATTTACCTGTAGTCTGGTTCCCTGACTCCATATAAGAAGAAACAGAGGAGTTTACATACATTGGGGAATTGTAAGGTCAGGGAACCAGTCTAGCTGGCTCGTACCCGTTTATAGGTTTGTAATCGATTGCAAACAAGTGCAATAGTCAATTGGGGCCAGTATTTGAAAAAAAGCCAGTTGTTTCCAACGCTGATCGGCCGATCAGCGTTGGAAATTGATACAAAAATACCACTTTTCTTGAAAATGACAGTATACCAGGTGCCATAATTTTACAGGATGCTTTAGACTGTCATTTACCAACGTCCTATTAAGGTATTTCGCAAAAACTTGGTAGTTTTATTTTTCGATGTTTGCAAATGTTGTATATTCCCTTTAACGCATCCAAGATTATAAAAAAAAAATAGATTCAAGATTATAGAAAGGGTTAAACCCATCCTATAAAAGCACATTATGGGTGCCCCATTGATAATTCAGTGTAAATATTCTGTTTCAAGTTTATATATTTTTGATACATTATGGTCTCTCCAGCAATCCCATGCGACTATAACCGCTATGAATTTGAAGCCTCTTGCTACCTTTTCGAGCACAATTACCCAGAGGTGCTGTGGAGTTTCCAAGACGCGGATGTCCTGTGTAAACGCTACGGAGGCCACCTGCCTAGCATTCACAGCCAACAAGAGAATGATTTCGTGCAAGGTATGTTTTCAGTAGCCTTTTGAGGTCTACGGTGCTATTTGATTTTGGTAACTTCAATTTATTTCAAATACAACAAAGTACAAACTAACATCCTCCCATTGTTGCCATTATTTCTCATAAAGGATAATGACTGCACGTTGCCCAGTATGGTTAATTCTTATTTTAATGTGTTTTGGATTTGGTTTTTTGAAATTGGAAAGAAGTTATTACCGGTACCTAAGGTGGGAGTAAACATTTTGGTGTTGTGTTTCCAGTTGAGGATTTAACGTCTTGGATGAGTTTTCCGAAGCCTACATTTTAATACATCGTACTGCTGGCTCTAACAACACAAACCAAATTTCATTGGTTGTAGAAAACCATGTGACCACGGCTGGTATACCTCCCCATTAACCAACACGGGAGAACCATGTACTAGGCCGCGAATAATATAAGTACCAACCAAAATAATGACTTGTTGCCGATAAAAAAATCTTATGCCTAAATGTATTCTTCTGTATGTTATTTCTTTATACCTACCTCGGCTAGTGTATCTAGGACATAACGAAAATAGTGCCCAGTTTTCACACTAACCTATGCCATGATTACTTTGCGATATTTCAGAATTCATCTCATCGTTGGGGAAATCTGATTATTGGTGGCTAGGGCTTCGTCGCAGCGGTCCAAATGAGGGGTTTTCTTGGATTGACGGAACTCCACTGGTATGCTAATAAAAATGTATAGATCTTTCTATCACCGACGCGTGGCTGGCACATTTTGCCAATAACCATTGTTGCCAAACTATGGAAGGTCCAACACTGCAAAGACGAAGAAAAGTTATTATATTAATGATTACCAAAATATTATTTGATTGTTGTAAACACAAAACAAACGCTACAAAATAATTGCTAAACATGCCTTGTTCTTATACGATGGGTGTTATGAGGACTTTTTTGGAAAAATATGTTGCCAACCACGGCTTCAATAATGCGCTTGCGGCATCCGGCAGCCCATACAAAATGGCGCTAAATGTTTACAAACAATCGAAAGGTCTATAGGCCTTTCTTTTGTTTGTAAACATTGGCGCCATTTTGCTGCCGTAAGCGCAAAAATTGAAGCCGTACGTGGTTGGCAACATATTTTTCCAAAAAAGTCCTCATAACGCCATCAACACATAGTAGAAAGGCATATGTAGGAATTATTTTGAAGCTTTGTTGAAAATGTTGTATTTTCAAGTACAAAATGTATCAAATAATATTTTGGTGATCTGTAATAACCCTTCTTCATTTTTGCAGTGTTGGACCTTCCATAGTTTTGCAGGCCGTGGTTGGCAAAAATGCAGTTTGCCAACCAAGCGCAGAAAGGTCTATAGACCCATAGAGCGCCCTCACTGAGAAGCTATGACATTCAAGAGTAGATACTTCTCATACAGTACAGTAAGCGTGCAGGCCAGTAAATATGCCCTAACTTGCCTTCGCGCGCCATGCAATCACCATTTGCAACACTGTATTTCTGTGAAATTCGGATGAAATTAGGCCCTAAAATTCCTCTATTTGCTATGGAGCTAGGCTTCCGGTTTCAAAATGGCGATGGGCTTCAGGACTACTTTTAGGGGTGATTGTCTTTGGATGGAATTTTCTTCCAAAAGTCATCGGTCCCCCTCCCCCCAACATAGAAAAGAAAATGCAAAGATGATTAAATAAGCTCTAATGTGATGTGTGTCTTAAACACCTTAGAGAGTTTGTATTTTTCCTTTTCCAGGTTCATATCTCACCACAGTCAAACCCTTTGTGAAACATAATACAAATTAAAAGCGAAAAAGCATCTATTATCTACATTGAAAGTCTTCAAAGACGGTCACCATAAGGGACCATAATTCACTTCAAAATACTGGTATCCTGACCACGCCAATCTCCCCGTGCATGGCTCTATACTTGGATTATAATGGATCTGGGTTTTCTAGTAATTAAGGCATTCTATTATCGACAGACATGGTCTTCAAAGACAAAGTCACCATAAGGGACCATAATTCACTTCAAAGTGCAGGTATCCTGCCCACGCCAATCTCCCCCGAGCATGGCTCTATACTTGGATTATAAAGGATCTGGGTTTTCTGGTAATTAAGGTATTCTATTATCTATAAGGTCTTCAAAGACAGAGTCACCATAAGGGACCATAATTCACTTCAAAGTGCAGGTATCATGACCACGCCGATCTCCCCCGAGCATGGCTCTATACTTGGATTATAATGGATCTGGGTTCTCTTGTAATTAAGGTATTCTATTATCTGTAAGGTCTTCAAAGACAAAGTCACTATAAGGGACCATAATTCACTTCAAAATGCAGGTATCCTGACCACGCTGATCTCCCCGTGCATGGCACTATACTTGGATTATAATGGATCTGGGTTCTCTTGTAATTAAGGTATTCTATTATCTGTAAGGTCTTCAAAGACAAAGTCACCATAAGGGACCATAATTCACTTCAAAATGCAGGTATCCTGACCACGCTGATCTCCCCGTGCATGGCACTATACTTGGATTATAATGGATCTGGGTTCTCTTGTAATTAAGGTATTCTATTATCTGTAAGGTCTTCAAAGACAAAGTCACCATAAGGGACCATAATTCACTTCAAAATACAGGTATCCTGACCACGCCGATCTCCCCGTGCATGGCACTATACTTGGATTATAATGGATCTGGGTTCTCTAGTAATTAAGGTATTCTATTATCTGTAAGGTCTTCAAAGACAAAGTCACCATAAGGGACCATAATTCACTTCAAAATGCAGGTATCATAACCACGCCGATCTCCCCCGTGCATGGCTCTATACATGTACATGGATTCTAATGGATCTGGGTTTTCTGGTAATTAAGGTATTCTATTAAGGTCTTCAAAGACAATGTCACCATGCATAATTCACTTCAAAATGCAGGTATCATGACCACGCCGATCTCCCGTACATGGCTCTAGCTCTGTGCATAGATAATAATGGATCTTGGTTTTCTAGTAATTAAGGTTTTCTATTATCTACAATCAAGGTCTTCAAAGACAAAGTCGTCATAAGGGACCATAATTCACTTCAAAATACATGTATCTGATGACCACTCCAATCTCCCCCCCCCCCCCTGGCTCTACATGGATTCCAATGGATCCGTTGCCAAGTAGTGGATCAAGATCAAACATCCAGCCCTATATCTTTGGTAAATGGGCGCTGATCCGAAGCCATAATGACAGCAACAGTATACGCAAGTATTTGGGAGTTTGAAGGTTCGATCTCGCCACAGTCAAATTCTTTGTGAAACATATACAAATTGAAAATAAGCAAACGAACAAACGCGTGAAACATATACAAATTGAAAATAAGCGAACGAACAAACGCATATCTCAGAGTGATTGATGCGGGTATAATGCCCAAGCAATTGCCAAGACACGGCCTTAAAATAATTCCCGATTTAAGTCAAAGAATTGAAACGGCTGCAAGACATTCCTGTTAAAGTAAAATACAATTTATTACCTGCACCACGAAAAACAATAAACTCCTTGTACTGTCTATTCAAACTTTTCAAAAGCAACCAAAAATTGAACTTTACAAAACTTGAACATTAATTCGAAAACGTATAATAAAATTAAGCCACAAATTATCTAAATGGGATTGAAATGCACTTTCACTTAAACCCTGAAAAAAAGGAGCTTTGCAAACGTAAACAAAGAAATAACACAATTGATTTAAACTGTATATATTTGCACCACGGAATAATATGTCTAAATAGCAACCGCTTTAATGTGTCAAAGGCTCAACTTCGTTTATCTAAAATAAGCGAGCAGAAACTTCTGCTCAGCAAACTAAAACGGCTCTCCCTAGTTAAAACTGATAAAAAAAATAAAAATCGATACACATCTTTTGACACTTTGGATTGTAATCCCCTTTGCTCAGCAAGCTGTCCTTACTCAGTAGAATTTGAATGCCTAAAACACTTCGTCAAAGTGACCCGCTGCCTAATACTCTAAAAGGTTCATTTAATAGGAAAATCAGTCTCATTTCAGTGCAGTGTTGTATAGAGTACGTACTCATACTCGCAATTTTTGGTACTTGTACTTGGTACTCGTACTTTTTGGTACTCGTACTTTTTGGTACTCGTACTTTTTGGTACTCGCTCTTTCTGGTACTCGCTCTTTCTGGTACTTGCACTTTCTGGTACTCGCACTTTCTGGTACTCGCACTTTTTGGTACTCGCACTTTTTGGTACTCGCACTTTTTGGTACTCGTACTTTTTGGCACTGTACTTTTTGGTACTCGTACTCATGAATCTGTACTCGCACTCGTACTCAATAGAAAAACATTACATGTACTCGCACTGGCACTCGTGACAACGTTCTCCTATTCGATTTATTGCAAAATGTTCTCCCGCAAGAATTACAAATGTACATTTTTTAAAAATGTTTTGTATCGATTATTATTTTGTTTTAATTGAACTTCGATTCGTGTCCGTGCAACTGTTTGCTGTAATGTTTGCTTTAATGTTTGTATAATGGACATGTGCCTAGATCGTGGCATCATTCCTCCTGTTGGTTTGGCAAAGAACAGTTGTTCAATACATGTACACTGTGCAGTCGTGTTTTCCCTTATCTAATTGAATTTAAATCAATTGTCTAATAACAATGCTCTTGCATGGTTATTGATAGGGTAGTAGTTAAATCATTGTCGAAAATCCCGGAGAGTTTTTGGGGAGAAAGGGCCTACATATCATTCACAGAAAAAAAATCTTGCGAAAAAAAGTACCACAAAGGGGAAGCTCCGTACATCTTGTGTTATTGAGCCATGTCAGTTCTTCTGTAATAAGAGCCTTTGGTATAAAACTGGTGCAGGGTAATGTTCTCTCGATTTTCATTTTTTTTTCTGTGAAGAATAAAGTTCAAACTAAGGTCTTTACTTTATAGGTCCTCCCCACTGCCCGAAACGGATTTACACCACTGGCAAAAACAAATTAATTAACTTATTAAAGGAAACAAAAAACAAACCATCCAAAACCGAAATATTCTTTTAAGGAAATGACTTTTACGGAATTAATTTTCTTTTAAATTGTCAGTAATCCCGCGCAATACTAATGCAGTATACGGGGTAAGGCTTCCGTCAAAGTTACCCAGGGTAACAACGAACTTAACAGAGACTGTCCTGAATTTGTCTTTAAATTGTTATTTGGGTGTCATTGTTTGAAAATTATCGCTCTTAATAAACTAAGGTTTTATGGCCAGAGTGAAACGGCATTGTCTTTTTGTGAAAGTGTTAAATATGAGTAATGCGAAGCGAGACAATTGAGATATTAATTACCTTTTCCCTGATTTTGGCCCAGGCTTGTGCCTAATAATGTTTTGTATCGATTGTTATTTTTTTAAATTCAATTTCGATTTTTGTCCATGCAGTTGCATCTATTGTGTTTGCTTTAATGTTTGTATAATGGATGTGCCTAGATCGTGGCATCATTCCGCCTGTTGCTTTGGCAAAGAACAGGTGTTCAAAACATGTACACTGTGCAGTCGTGTTTTCCCTTATCTAATTGATTTTAATTCAATTGTCTAATAACAATGCTCTTGCATGGTTATTGATAGGGTAGTAATTAAATCATTGTCGAAAATTCCGGAGAGTTTTTGGGGAGATAGGGCCTACATATCATTCACTGAAAAAAAATCTTGCGAAAAAAAAGTACCACAAAGGAGAAGCTCCGTAGGCCTACATCTTGTGTTATTGAGCCATGCCAGTTCTTCTGTAATAAGAGCCTTTGGTATGAAACTGGTGCAGGGTAATGTTCTCTCGATTTTCATTTTTTTTTCTGTGAAGAATAAAGTTCAAACTAAGGTCTTTACTTTAAAGGTCCTCCCCACTGCCCGAAACGGATTTACACTACTGGCAAAAACAAATTAATTAACTTATTAAAGGAAACAAAAAACAAACCATCCAAAACCGAAATATTCTTTTTAGGAAATGACTTTTTACGGAATTAATTTTCTTTTAAAATTGTCAGTAATCCCGCGCAATACTAATGCAGTATACGGGGTAAGGCTTCCGTCAAAGTTACCCAGGGTGTCAAAGTTACCCAGGGTGCCAAGGGTGCCAAGGGTACCCAGGGTGCTAAAGTTAACCAGGGTGCCAAAGTTACCCCAGCTTACGGTACACACCGTATGACATTTTGGTTGGCTACCATTTGCAGTACGGGGTAAAGTTTCTGCCAAATTTACACAGAGTGTCAAAGTTACCCAGGGTGCCAAAGTTACTCCAGCTTACGGTTCACACCACATGACCACAATTTGGTTGGCTACCATTTTGCAGCACCGGGTTAGGCTTCTGCCAAAGTTACCCGGGGTGCCAAAGTTACCCGGGGTGCCAAAGTTACCCAGGGTGCCAAAGTTACCCAGTGCACGGTTCACACCACATTACATTTTTGTTGGCTACCATTTGCTGCTAAGCAAATACTTTCAGTGCTAAGCAAATTGTTTTGTTTGTGTAGCATCTGTTTGAAATTTGCACCAGGTTCCAACATGCGATGGTCCTTGCAGGTAACAAAACAGAATTCTGTAAATTGGAAATACATGTATTCATAAAATATGCATGGGATACAAAATAAATACGGACCTCGATGATTTTGAATACACTTATTTACAGTATACATCGGTATAATACAAAGTACCCACCATTACCTATTCCATCTACTCTTCTATACAAAGCAAAAAAACCCAGATGGATCATCTGGAGGTTAAACAATATTTTTTGAAAGAATGACAATAAAGATCTTCGGTTGAATCACCGCAAAAATCATAAAGAGTCATCTGCTCAATAATCTACTCAGTGTGGTGATGCAAACTTTCCAAAAGAAGGATGAAACAGCATCTTACTTTTTTCCAAATTGCAAAAAAAAGGGGGGGGGGGACGCAGCAAGGTTTGCAATTGGTATTATATTAACGTGGTAACCTAGCGCACACTCGTTGGTGCTTGGAAGGACGATATACATGTACAATGGCCATCTTGTGGATAAAGCCAATAAATCTTTGCATGGCAGACATCCTTGAGGTGCAGGTGCTTTTGTTCTGCAGTTGATCGTACTATTAAGCCTCTTCTATATTCATTCTTTATTGAATTTAGTCAGGTAAACCTCCAAGGAGACCGATAAATGCAGATAGTTTACATGTACAAGATGCATGTACATGAACACACAAACTCAATGCAGGTGACGCACTTATCTTTTTTTTTTTTTAGCAATATTAGTATCTACATGGACCAGGGTACCCGACGAAAAACGTAAGGCGCACGGGCAAGACGGCATCAGGTGACGATTATGCAAAACCTGTGTTCTCATGTGACATCTTGTACTCCATGTCAAACCACTGCTTGGAACTAACCCCTGTGAAACACAAACACAATGCCTCGGCTGAATATACACTGTATATATAAATGTATAATCAAATAGTATGGCAAGAATACTACATAAATCAGAAAATATATTTAAATAATGCATTTTACAAATAACGACATGTAAAATTCACTGGTGGCAGTTGGGTATCTATAGAGGTGGAACAGGGAGAGATATTTCTCAAATTTACAAAAAAAAAGAAGCTGGCCCTAACGAAGGGGAGGGGATTTATTTTTTCTTGGCTTAAAACTTTTATACGCCACTGGCTGGTTAACTTCTTTTGCTGTTAAAGCTCATCACTGTTTTCATTTTCTGATATGAACCCCATGCTACCACCCGATAAACTGATATGACGAGTCTCAACATACCTAGGCTCACCATCGAAGGTCCCAGACATCGGAAGTGAAGTCCTTCGTAGAACTGTATCAGGGTGTCTCTGCATACCAGGGAGACTTGATTCACGTTCTTCAAGTTTTCCTCCACATACCAGAGGAGGTGGTCAATCAAAACAGTCTCAATGCCCTGTGGAAGAAAGACACGATAATCAAAATTGTACCCTGACATCTTATTTGTTTTATTCCTAAAAGGCAAAAAAAAAACCCGCCCCGGAGGGTCTCTCTTCGCGGTAAGGTAGAATGCAGAGTAGTTTTGGTACAACATGCATGTTCTACCAGACTTAAAGGGAAGATACAACATTTGCAAACATCACAAAACGAAATGATCAAATTATCACGAAATACCTTACTGGATTGTTAGGGAATGACAGTCTAAAGCATCCTGTAAATTGTGGCTCCTGGTGTGCTGTCATTGTCAAGAAAAATGGGATATTTGCAACGCTGGTCGGCCGACTATTATTATTCGATTCTATTATCAACTGACTTTCTAGTTCAATTTTATGTATTTCCTGATTATGAAAGGATGTGTTGGTTGTGTAGGATGTGTTGGTTGTGCTGACGGATAGAAGGTGACCGGTTTTTTTTTATTTTTATAAAACTCCCGTCAAAATGGCTAAGTAATGTACCTTTCCGTGATAATCTGGGTGAACACGCAGCGTGTTTAAGCACACGGTAGAGCCATCAGGATCATGGGCCAGCCTTGCTCGGGCGGTCACTTTACTCTCAGAGGTCAAACTGGCACTGGCAAACTGATGGAAATGCAAAATAGTAATTATTGTATAATTGAGGTTTAATAATGCAAATTACATATGCAGATGAACCTCACCTAAAGCTACAAAATACTACTAAGTAGTAACCTGTAGTATGCATTTCTTTCCATACAAGTGTGCACAACACATGTAGTATTCTGTGGTATTTGGTCCTTGACCCCCAAGGAGCCCTTAGGGTTAAGGGTGCACCTTCGTCTTCATACTCCAAACGTTTTGTTTGTTTTTTTTGGTGTTTTTTTTTAGATTTTCACTTATCATTATGTTTCGAAGGCTGGGTCACAGCTAGAAATTCAATTTATGTCAACAATTATAGAATTTGTTTTTTGAAAATGTGTGGTCACATGAAACCCATTTTCTATTCTGCACTGCACGTCTATCAATCGCAACATGATCTGTTTAAGAGTGTTGACATTTTATGTTTAATGTTGGTTGACAAAGTAAAATGTGAAAGATGCTTGTATGTTAATGTTGCATGTCGATATGTCGATATGACGTCAGAGGTGACTTGGTCTATTAACTTACGCCAATTAAACGACCGTTTTCAAAATAACCCCAGAACAGGTCTGGCGCTTCCCGCTGTCGTAATTCATATTCCTCTTCCGGCAGCGTGTCATCATTATTTTCTGAACCTGCAACAAACGAATTGGGGGGGAAAAAGTTCGATGATTGGATCTTGATTTGAATGTTTTTGAATGTCTTGGCAACCTAATGAACAGTGTCTAATGTGACATCACAGCTACAACATCACCTGGTACTGGTTTGAGAAAATGACACTGACAGTTGAACCATGGTTGAACCTTGCAAACCCAAAAAAATAAGGGAATAAATACATGTATGTGCTTGGCCGGTTTTAAACAATTACGTTTTACACGGGTAGGGGCCTGGCCGCAGTAATTATCGGTATTACCGAGCACCAAGTCGGTTTTAAGCGTACTTGTTTAATACCGGCCAAGCACATATTTGCTTCGAACTCATTTGTAGTATTGCGCATCCGTGAAGAATGTGAACGTTCAACTAGTCACTATGCTTCAGCCACCTGAATCACACAGCTGCATTGTACATACACAATGTACATGCTATCCTACATGTAGTGCAGAAGCGATTACATAATACATGTAGCATCATATGGATGGTCACACACTGGCATCCGGTATATATAACACCTATACTGACCACGACCTGCATGTCACTGCTCTTAGCTGGTGGATCAGTTACAGCTGACCACAAGTAGGCTCTTATCAGTCTAAACATGTTAAAACATCAGGTAATCCGCTGCAGGCACTACATGCTTCATTAGGCTTGAACCTCAGAAACTGAGGTTCAAGAAAATGCATTAGATTGGGCTCAGTTCTGTAATGAATAGGGTAAAATGGACCAAATTCAAATGACAACAGAAAAAAAAGTGTTTACTATAGTTGGTGTTTTATTGACCGTTTAAAACCACCCACGTGATGGGCTCCCGACCAATAGGAATGGGCAAACTCTCTCAGGTATTTTTGAATGTGCAGTTAAAACAACACAGTTTAATAATAATTATTATAATCTCAGATCAACGGCAGGTTTATTTGCATCAATAAAAATATCGTGAACAAACTGTTTTATTTTTGGGAAAAAAATATCGAGTGCATTATGTAATAAAAAATAGCCAAATTTTCTTGAAATGGGAAGTCAGATGACTAACCCCGACAGTCCTGAATCCTTCAATTTCAATATGATTTTTTTCCACATCATAGGGGTTCTGGTTAAGTATCTTGATTTTTTTGTAATATAGCCACTGCCATTGATATTAGAATCATTATTGGGGCTCCAGACGGACTTTTACCTGGGCCAAGTGACCAACAGGAACTATATTCAGTGTGCTGATCAGTGCATCGAGTTGTGTACTATTCCTTGGACGGGCCACCGCGTTATGTGGAAGTTTTTGTTTAGGCAATTAGGACCGAGTTATGGGGACTTTCTGCTGTCCCACAGCGCCTACGGTCCACATAGGCTAACTACCATGAGACAAATCGTGTGTAGTCCCCACAATCTCTGCCACAATTAAGGAACAAGTACCAGTGTACTATTCGGGGTACACTAAAAAAAAACCACTATTCAGCGTACTGATTAGTACACTAAATACATGTGTAGTTCCTGTTGGCCACGCGGTCAAGGTATTTATGTCGGCCTTTGGGTATTTTCCCACTATAACAATACATTAAAGTTGGTGTACGCGTGCTTTTTTGGGTGTTGCACCTTAAAAAAAAAAAAGATTTTCAAATTGAATGGATAGTTTTCTAGCATTACATTAGTTGAGAGCTTTCCAACGAAACAAAAATCGGCCTACGACAAGTTATCAATTAATTAAGTTTAACTTTCGAATTGAGAAGCGGGACGCTCCCCAATCGGTCCGAAAAGTGTGCACAATTTCTGAACTGGAGCGAGCCATTAAAAAAACCACTTGTTAAAAATGTATAAAGGCCTGCAAAAAATAACAAGCAAATTTATTTGTTTCAAATAACAAGCAAAACATTATTTTCCTTTAAATTTCGCTCGGAAAAGAAAATCGAAATTTTGAAAAAGCACATTAGACCAACTTGAAAAAAATCAAACAAAACTGGATTTTTTTGGGTCCGAGACCGGTGAAGTTACACAATTTCTGACCGTACCAGATGGCGACAAGCTTTGAACAGGCTAAATTTGCATTGTCTCTTCATCAGCTGAAACCGTGAAACGCCAGCATAAAATTCAATTGTATACTTACGTGATATTAATGTTATTGACGTTATTGTTGGTATTTTTAAATGTATTATGCAAATAAGAGGAGAACTGCGCCATCTGTGAGGCATAATCGTTTCGTATGGCAATACGGAACTACGTACCGTAACGAATTTAGTCAACCGTGTACATATACACTATCTAGGCAAATGCCGGTCTAATGGTAACTCGTATACTCACGAGATGTTTTCATTTTAAAGCTACAGTCCATCATTTGCAGCTGTCCAAAAAGTAACTGACGTAATTATTGTTGGAAAACATACTTGGTTGAAAGATAGTAAGGGAACCAACTCCCAGTGAAATTATTCTTTCTAGCATGCTGTCATTTTGAAGAAAATTTTGAAGGAAATTTCCGTTAGTTTCTGTTGTTCGTTTTTTTCATTCGGCGAAGCGCGCGCCCCCCTTGGCACGACGCACACGCGGTTGCTATAATTCGTCGGATCGGTGCGCGACATCGCGTATATAGCTGCAATTGGCTCAGTGAGAACGTGTCTCGGACGCTGAATTCAGGCCCAATTAAAAACACGATTTAGCAATTTTTGATTTGAAATCGAGATCCTAGAATGCTGTTTTTCTCGGAATATACAGCTGAAGCTGAGCTGAAAGTTCATCAGGTTAGTTGTTCAGCACCCTTCTTTAGATTTTGAGCACGTTTATTGCTTCAAACGAACAAAATGCACAAATCGACTGTACCTTTAAACAGTAAAAAGCGAGCAGATAAGTATTTTACAGAATGTGGGAAACTCACTCTATAATACTCCTCTATTCTGAGGAGTATTACTAATAGAAGTTGCCAATATTGGACAGGGATAACTGAAGAGCAATGCCAGATACGAGAGCACCGACTCCACCCACACATGATATAGATCCAACAGAACATGAGACTAAAGTCCATGTTTACACTTACAGTCAATAATACATACAGTCATATACTTTAGAGAAGATAATCCAATGCGATAATTATTGGGATTGATTTTTTTTTTAATGTCAATACCAGGACGTAAGAATCCAAAGCTCGCTTTGATCAGGTGTCACACAATGCAAACACCCACAAGTAAGGAGTTAGGTCGGTAATTATACAACATCGTCCTACTTTATTTTCAACCTCGTTTGTGGTCAATTTACATTACGTTTCAAGTGTCTTATTGAGGTGATTCGCCGTATCTCTCTTGCAAAAAAAAATGGAATTTGACCATGCAGCTCATGATGATTTTGTATTGGTTAGGCAATGTTCCAACTTGGACACAGGTTACTAGGTCATAAGGCATTTCGGATGCAGAAATGGGCATTCTGGAGATTGCTAAAATAGCGTATTTCCCCAAGAAAAAAACTTGGTGGATTTTGTTGGTGCGTGTGTGCGTTAATGGCAATATCATGCTATAAAGAGTTTGCAGGACAAAACATTGGCAGTTATAACTTTAAAAAAATGTTAGTGTCGGTACTGTCGGGCACTTTTTATGTCAATTCTTACCGAAGAGTTGGCCAACACGAACTGCACACTGAGTGACCCCTCCAGTAGATGACGCCCCTATATAATACCAATAATAGACTATTCGGATAATCCGTCATCATACATTTGCTTTGTACTTAATTATTGCACAATACCTGGAACAATGCTTTTGCACATGGCAGCGCGACATTACGTCAGCCGGAGAAAACATTCTTTTCATTAGTATACCGCTTGTTATAATACCATTCAGCATGCTGGACTTCAGAACTATTCAGTTGCATGAAAATGGGTCAGGGAACGAGATATAATTATAAGAAGATCCCTGAAGTTCCTGAATGTCCACGCTTGGTTATAAATAGGCCTTGAAATGGGCCTCCATGAATGTACTTGGAGGCCTAAAGTGATAGCGGTGCTCGGCACATCGAGGTAGAAATGCAGCCTGTGTTTTTTTTTTTTTAAATTATACCCTGTTTACGGATATAAAGTGAAGGTATCACTTTTTAAAGACTAACTAAAATAACAAAAAAATCATGGCATAAGCTTTCGTAGCTACATCGGCTACTTCATCAGATGCAATAAAGATGCAATGGTCTCTCTTCATTGCATCTGATGAAGTACAATGTAGCTACGAAAGCTTATGCCATAATTTATTTTAGTTAGTCTTTCAAGCGCTACCTTCACTATCTGCACTCTATACATCGGTATATAAGGTAATAAAAGTGTCGGTCACTTCGCCCATTTTCCACTTCGCCCATTTTCCACTTCGCCCACAACTATTTCGCCCACAACCATTTCGCCCACAACCACTTCGCCCATTTGGATAAGTAAATTTTTGGGGGAAATCCGAAAACAAGGGCCATATCGATCCCTTTTCGCAAGGAAATAGTCATGAACGTAGGCCTATACTTAGTCTGCATCGAGCTTGTCGGACGCTCTCGATAGATTATACTCGATCACTAGCCAAGTACTGCTTTTTTTAACATGCGGGTTTAATTACCTTGGGCTTGCAGTAGCCAAGCTTGGTGAACTTCTTCCGCCGTTACCCTCCGTATGCATGCACTTGGGGACGTCATTAAGTTCTCCTGTCAGGTTCTACGGACCAAATTTTGCCCTGAACGTCAATGCCACACTGACCCAACCTGCACTAGGGCCCGTATATCAACCTCTGGTGGGATCAAAACAGAATGCAGACGAAAGAATTGAGTTGAATCGCCTGAAATTCTCGCGTGAAATTCTCACCCGTCCGTTTCTGCACTGTGACTGTATACCCGGCCGTCTTGCTTGATGGTGCATGGCATAATAAAAAGATCAATTCACGTAGTGTCTGAATAATACAATCCACAGCAGCTTAACAAAGAAGTGTCTATTGAGTAATCAATTATAGTGACTATATTGAGTAGTCAATATAGGAAGACACTACCATCAACTTAACTTATATATAGACCAACTATGGCAAGACACTACCAGCATGGAGGAATGTTCTTATTCCTCCATGCTACCAGCAACTTAACTTATATATAGACCAACTATGGCGATGTCTGAACCATCGACAGCGAATACTGTGTTACTGCACGCACAACCGGTTGCCTTTGGTATTGCTAACTACGGTTACAGCACTGGAAAACGGTGGTGCATATTGGCAGAATTTGAGCATATATCTTTCTATACATGTAGTTAAAACAGTACACGCAGTGGCGTAGCCGGGGGGGGGGGGGGCGTGAGGGGGCGACAGCCCCCCCCCATGAAACCTTGTCGCCCCTCCCCCCCAAGTCGCCCCCCACTGAGATTTTGAGTTTCTAAAAAAATTATCATTGATCTACATGACGCCCCCCCCCCCCCCCCATGAAATGTTCCAGCCCCCCAGCGCCCCCCACTGAAAAATTCCTGGCTACGCCACTGAGTACACGTAGTTAAAACTCTCCACTGGAGGGCCTGCCCCGGCGGCAACGCAAACTGCACCTAGGGGTGCAGACCAGTAAATCGGTCCGAAATTGCCTGCGCCGGCCAAATCGCGATTTGCATGCCCTCAAAATCTTCGGTATTTGAGCATGCTGTGGGCCATGAACTTGAGGGTTTGTAAAAAATATGGGTGGAAGCCGTGCACAGGACTGGGAGCTTGCAGTTCTGTGTAATTTGGATGTAATTTGCACCCTAAAAGCGCTCTATTTTGCAATGGAGTGTAGGCATCGTTTTTCAAAATGGCGATGGGCTTCAGGACTATTTTCAGGGGTGATCGTCTTCAGATGGAAATTTCTCCTAAAAGTCATCAGTTGACCCCCCGTAAATTGAACAGAAAATGAAAGATGATGAAATAAGCTTTAATTTGATGTGTGTTTCGAACACCTTGGAGAGTTGCGAGTATTTTTCCCGAATTTTTGAAGTGGGAGCATTTACCATTGGGGTCTATCGAAGTTTATTTACTGGTCTGCTACCCTAGTATTATGCCTATATATTTCTGTGTACAAAATGGCGCACGCTCTTTGTAAACAAATTTAGAGATGTCATTTTTTTTGGAGGGCAAGAGACAAAGAAGCACCCATTTGCAGTTGTGGATTATTGCTTTTCGTTTTCTGATCGGATAAGGGCTATATGCAATCTTTACTCACACTTCTACTACACGTCTTTTTGTCACATTATCCGCCAGTATCCTGCTTATATGATGCTCACGGGACTATTACCGTATTTTGTTTAATGTTACAACACACAGTCACACCATATGAGACAGTCTAATGTAGAGAAAGGATACTATACGGTGTATTATAAGAGCCTCCTCCTTGAATGGATTTCCCCTTGTAATCCGTATGGAATCGTGTGTCGCTGACCTTGAACCGAGTTCAGCGACTAACGGATAGGACGTACTTCGACCCATTACTGGGGCCCTCACATTAGACTGTCTCATACTTAACCTTTGGGGGACGCCTGAAAATGTTCCTTTCCGGTGACTGAGAGGTCCTCCTTGTGGAGGATTATTATAAGATGGATATTTACCAAGAACCAAATACATATCGACTGTACGTCTGTTTATTTCTGCTTTAGAGGCATACTGGACTTGTTTGACCTAGCTGTTTGAAAAGACTGTTTATTAGTTTGGGTGGACATGTACTGTCTAATCTCCAGCCCATTTTGAAATCACTTGATTCCCTCTCATGTGCAGAATATTGAAGAAAAGTCTCCTAAATATTGAAGAAAAGTCTCCTTTAAAGTTACACTGAATTGAATCTTCAAACTTGGTTGGTAAAATACTGAGGACCTTATTTGCCAATGAAAATTTCGGAGATTTTTGCTGGCTAAAGTAAAGAGTGAGTAAAGTTGGCCTGATTTCGTTTTGCATGTTTTTGAGCACTCAAGGTCCCAGTCTGAGCTCAGACCTATAAAACAAGTCCAAAACAATCCTAGCTTATCTTGGTAGACTACTTATACTAGCATGCAGCAAACTCACGTTCTGACGGATATCATTCAGTCTCTTCCTCAGTTCGAAGCTTCCAATTCTTTCTCAGAACAACAATAAAATGTATAGCGAGTCACTTCACATGGCGTCTGCCAAACCTCTTCCCAACATTACACTTATTTCACTCACCTGTTCAAATTAAAAGTGCATGTAGCTGCTTAATTATACATGTACAAAATACTGATGGTAAATCACAGGACTGCCGTGTTGCTGTTATCTGCGGAAATGGATCTACCGGCTCCAACACGGGTGAGTTGATGACGGTGGAAAACAGAGCCTAGGAAGAGTGGTGTACAGTAGGGCAGTGGTAGGGTCTACGCATGGAGGAGTTCAAAGTTCACACGTTTATCGTTTGGAGTGCCAATTGGAGAAGACGAAGCGGCTTGAATGCCAGTGGCGCACAAAATACGGTTTTTACGGCGAGAGCACATCAACTGGTCATGCTGGTCCTATTGATAGGTTACTATTTACTAATAGGTTACTATTTACTAATGTTGTATGATTATTTTACGGTGGTGGATACCTGTACCGCCATAGACATACATGTACCATGGGAAGGTCGGGGAAATTGCGTGTGTGGCGGGGAGGGATATCAATATTATTCGCTTCGGGTGAAGGTATATTGCACATACTGACGGGCAGATCTGAATTTTTTACAAATAGAAAGGGGGACCACCCCTTCCAATGTTTTCACAACCCTATACATGTGTCTTCTTTTGTTTCGTGTTAAAATACACGAGCACGATGCAATCGCTCCTCATATACTTTGTTTAAATAATCTTCCACATCAACAACACCAGCATGTTCTACTTTAGAGTAGGCCACTGATCTCTATATAAAGACTGGATAGCGGCTAAAGAGCCGCACAGTGAATGAATTTGACGCCATATTGGTGAGACCGGTGAGACCGGCTGGTGATCTACAAAGGACTTACGAGTTGCGGTCTTTATATATAAATCACTTGATTTATATTTTGACCACACTGATCACGGTTTACAATTTTTCCATCGTCGTGGTTTACTTCTTTTTTTTAATGCCGCAGTTCCTTTTTAATTGAAAATAGAAATTCGATTTCCAAACAACTAATTTAGGCTATGCGTGATAAATTCCTCAAACAAAATTTAAGAAATAAAAACGAACGAAGACAAACAATGCTATACTATCAACATTGAAAACCATAGTCGTTCCAAGTGCGCTTTCAGTTACTTTTCCAGTGTAATAATGTCACTTATACCATGGAGGAAGTATACCAAAAGTTACGGGAACATTTTCACTATTGTCTGATACGGCTAAAACTAGATTCATAGGCCTAAAAATATACATAGATTAAAAATAAATAATGACCCACCGTTTCTTTTCAAACGGTATTAAAACAAGCGTCCTCTCATCTTGCCGTGGCTAGTGCTACTGCCCCACAGCTAGGCTGACCACTGGCATACGTGTACAAGTCCCAAGTGTGAATGTTCCCAGCGGGCATATGCCCGTTGGAACGTGCCCAGTGGGACGTTCCGTTGGATCGAGCAGCATACAGCTGTGTCCCCGCGGGTATATGCTCGCGATCCAGTGGATCGGGCATATCCAAACGGGAACGTTCCGTGGGAACGGGAACGTTCCCGACTTTGGAGACGCTCCCTAATCATCCTTACTCGCAGCTGGTATGCTGAATTGCGAAGGACGCGGCTGCAACGTGGTCGGGCCGCTGGCACGTAAAGGCGCCTATGGCTGCCGGCCACATCGACCCATAATTATCAGGCATGCATCTGGGAAGTCACAAAAAAAGAGGAAATTCAAATCTTTCCAAGACTTTGTACAGAGTTTTTCTATTTTCAATGGCACACATTGGACGTAAAAAAGAGGAAATCAGCTGATCCGAGGAAAAGTTACATGACTGAATTATATGACCATGGAGCACAGCCTGAGATCGAAAGTGTTTGATTTTGCCGGAGGGAGGAAAACCGGAGGGCCCGGAGAAAAATCCTCGTGGCACAGGAGAGAACCAACGCACAACTCTACTCACTTGTGATCCGCGGCCAGGATTCGAACCGCGGTCACCTTGGTGAGAGGCGAGCGCTTTACGCACAAGCCACCCATGCCACCCCATACGACCCCATGCCCCCAATTTTACCTTATCATACCCCCACGAATTTTGGTATTTTTACTAATTGGACAACGAGCAATCAAACTAGCCTATTTGCGACGATAAAATGTTGCCTCTAAATAGGGGCTGAGGCATTGGGGAGACACTGAAACGTCTCCCTTATTCCACCATGTCTCCCAAAGGTATAACTTATGACGCTATTAAAATGTCTCCCATCACCGTTTCTACTCGTGGTTGTATAGCGCTTGTTACAAATGTCTCAAAGCGCTTCACAAAGTAAAAACAGAGCGCTAAAAAGTAAGAAATAATGATCAAAGTTGGCTACACGTGTAAAGATGTTCGAAACTTTCCCATCTTTAAATGCCAAATTCTGATTTTAAAATAAATTACACCGACTACAAAAGAGACCCTCATCAATAACTCCAAAATGTGTTGGTGGTATAGCAACTTGAACTGTTAACTTGTTGGATTGTTATTCATAAGATAGAGTTTGCGTTGGGGTGATGCAAAATTATGTGTTTTTTGCCTTTAAATATAGGTCGGTGAAGGGCAAAACCCCAAAAATGTATGTTAAATATTCTTTGGATTTAAACGGCACTTTAATCAACGAATCAAGCATGTCCATCCCCAAGCAGAAGAAAATTCCACCATTTAAAAATCAAAGAAAGAAATTCACAAATATTAATAGTTCATATCAACATAAATTCACATTATGAATTGAAACACTCCAATAATGACTAGTGAAAGAGATATATTAAAACTACGTTCGCGATGATTTTAATTATAACGTGCCATTTCCATCGACTTCTCTTATTATGATTGAAATAAAATTATAATTGAAATAAAATGACATTTTGTGAAAAAAATCGTTACAAAATCAAATTTTATGGGACACATTGTAAGAAAATCGGAAATTTCGTTGGAAAATTCAAAAAGTCAGATTTCCGATTAAAATCGGAAAAGTTTAATCTCTGGAATAGCCTATGTAATTTCCTTTTTCGTGGTTGATTTATGATTCAGAAGGACAAACGATATAGTCAACTCTTGCATCACCAGAAATCTCAAAATGTTACTATAAATCAAGGCATAGATTTAAACTATGAGCCAATTAAAGTACTTGAAGTCCTGATGACGAACAGAGCACACTGTTCGAAACGTCGAGTTAAAACAACTGGCTTAGAACCACACAACTTAAAAGAGATAATATTCACATGGTGTTACCACAAACCTTCTGCGCTTTGTTCATGTCCACCATGCAAACCTGCAAGTCTCATTTATTTCATTCTGGGAGTTATTAAAATGGACCTGTGTCAAATTTGGAGTGGGTCGTCCGTCCACCCACTCCACCCCTGGCTACAGTACGGACCGAGACAGAAACTGGGCCAATTGAAGTTGGAGACTGCCCCCAATACACCTGCCATCTTACTTGTCAGTTTGAATGTTGCAAACCATATTATACCATGGCATTTGGCCTGTATGAGGGGAGAAAAAAAGCGCATTCACATATTACACTTGAGCATGATTGTTCTCACAGATTTACTAAACATGGGGAAAACTGACAGTGTGCAAGTTCAAGTGTTCTAGTAGAAACCTAAACGTCAAAGAGCAAGACCGTGACCAAAAGCTTTCAAGAGATCTACAACACTGTCAAGTTCATTATCTAAACATGCTAATCCATTATAACTTTTTCTTTGATACACCCAGCTGATTGAGAGTTTGCTTACCAAAGGTTACTTGGGACAATCCCAGGCACTGGAAGCCTACGCTTTCATAAAACGCCACAAGGAAATCGTGACAGAGGAGACAAATTTTAGTGACGTTGACAAGATTGTCTCTGACATGCTGGATAAGGTGCTTCATGAGGGCCGTCGCAACACCCTGAAGAAAAGGGAACACATAGGACATAAAATGAAGAAATACAACACGTATAGAAAGTCTGAAAGATTATTATCATCCAATCAGCAAATAGGGTTTTTTTAGGCAAGCAGGTTGGTGAAGCGTATTTTTCCTTCTTTGCTTCCATTCCTGATGACCCGGGTTTGAATCCTGTCAGGACCACTTTGTGGATATTTGGGACCCTACTTGATTCTGTGAGTTTTAACCTCTTAGGCAAGCAGCAGTCTGGCGTTTTTGTCCTTCTCCTGTATCTAAACATCTTGGTTCCTCATCTCCTACAAGAAGTACAAGTTGCCCTGACCAAGACTAATTAATTGGAAACTTTTCAACAGTTAAGAACATTTGGACCGAGTTTAAGGACTAATGACTATCCCATGAAACCTCTCACAAAATTGGTGTGTAGTCCTAACTACTACAAGTACACGGTTCAAGTTTGTGTTGAATAACCAGTTGAATGTTCAAAAAATTCTCAAAACATTGAGACTCCCCTCATACGTGAGTGTGTATGTAAATTCTAGAATTAGTCAGTCTTTATTTACCTTGCCTCTATGCTCTGGGTGGGTGCACAGTGAATGCACACAGACTACTGTGCCTTCTGGATCATTGGTATACATGGACTCATGGGTCAGCTCGTTCTTCAATGTCCGTGTTCCATGGGTTATCTTGGGTATTAAGAAAAACTATCTTGTGAATTTCAAAGGTTGAGACAAATAAGCCTTACCCTGCGCAGAGTGACCTGTTGCCCTTTGGGCCCCAGGTAACCAATTTTTTTGAAAAAAGAAAAAATTGAGGGCCAATGACGGTCACCTTCCATCTAATCCTCATTCGACCCTTGCCAAATAAGCTGGTTCAATGAACTTTGCAGCCAGGGCTTCACCCAGGCCGTGTCAACAAACTTTCGACCAGGCCTCCTGCCAAGTCTCATTGAAACATAAGACCTGTAACTTGACACAGCCATCTCCCTTCATAACTGCATACAACTGCATACCACAGCCGCCAGTCAATTATCTTTCCAGCGCACTGTCTGGCAACTGTCTGGACACGGTCTGGCACGTGGCTTTTTGTTGTATTGCTATGAATAGGGTCTTGCGTAGTGCGGGAATGTACCTGCTGCCCAGAGGGCAGCAGTTGACTAGTTGTTGTAAAGTTTTTTTGTAAATTTTGAAGGTTCAGATAAATTAGCCCAAAGAAATTGTCATCTGTATATTAGACTTACACTGATCAATTTACCACTCTCATAGTAGCCCCAGAAGAGATCAGGTGCCTCTCGTTGCCTGAACTTACAACGTTCTTCTGATGCTGTCTCATCACTTGGGAAACCTTGCAAAGAAAATGACAGTGGATTTTGACCTTAAATTTATATATGTCAGAACACGAAAGTAACAAGTTTACAGTGAAAGAATAAATCTAGACTACTTCATCATCGCACTGTCCTATGTAATAATTGGCAACACTTTTATGCAAAGTATAAGACAGCAAAACAGTGTTGAAGGTTGAGGGGTGAGGGTCTGCTTGCTGCAAGGAATGAGAAACAAATATGAAGACAAATACTATTTTCCCAAAGACATTAAAATTGTGAATCGACCCCATCGTAATGGACAAAAGGTTGCCTTAGGAAACAGACCGGAGTGGGATTTAAACAGAAGTTGATGATCCAAAGCAACGTTTCGGCTTTTGGCGGGCAACAGTGCCTCAGGAAATTGGGAGGCTGCAAAAATATAAGGCTGGATAGCTCACTTGGAATTGGAAGGTTGCAGGTTCAAATCCCACTGCAATCCAACCCGATATTCATTGAAAGGGAACCTTGTTAGTTGCACTCAGCTGTTCATCAAGTCACCACTTGAAAAATCTGGGCCACATTTCATAGCTTTGCTTACCCTGTGTCAAAAAAAATTGTGCCAACAGTAGCAGAAAATGTATGCTAAAATGGTTAGTGTATTCCATGGCTCAGCAAGGAATTTCTCCTAATAAGCATTTGGATTCCGTAACTCGGTCAGGACTGTGTGCTTAATGACTATGGTAGCGCTGTAAGCTCAAACTGTTGATCATTGGCGCTTGGCACAGAATTAGTGGTTACCAGAGCCATGAATTTCTACCCTGGTATCATTCCTGCTTACTGAGACTTCCAATCAACCAGGCGTCGTGAACTTCTTGTTCAGTAACCTTCCGTATGCAAACATCCGGTGAGGCCATGTTCTCCATCAAGCAGGCTTTTCAGATTCTGGCTCATCAGTGTGATGGTCAACCCTGAGGGGAAAAAAGAAAGTTCTCTTTTAGAATTCCTGTGTGACTCTTGAAGCATCCCATACATCCGGTTCGCGTAGAGCAACCCAACAACACTGCACTGATTGCACCTGGGTATTCTCTCAGAGCATCCTAGGGGGTTCTCTTATTCTTAGGGCATTCCACGGAGTTCCCAGCAACATTGCACTGATTGCTAGGAGAGTGTCCGGGGGGCCCTTTTACTAGTTTTAGAGAATCCGAGCCCTCACTGCACTGATTCTATTAGAGGTTCTCTTACAATGCAATCAGAGCACTATGTGGCTGGGATGATACCTGAATCCCCTCGACTGCTCTAAGAGAACACCTATGCAATCATTGGAATGTTGCTGGGGTGCTCTAAGATATCCCCATCTGGGCTGCTCCAAGAAAACCGGTTCAGCCTTATGCCATCTGTGCAGGGTGTGCCTGGATGCTCTAAAAGAATCTACTTAAAGAATCACCTGAGATGCTGTAAGAGAACCCTATGCAATCAGTGATTTTTTAGGATGCTCCAACAGAACTGCCTGGGAGACTCTAAGACTAAGGGAATTACCCCTATGCAATCAGTACAGTGTGTGCGTGGATGCGCTAAAAGAATCACCTAGGCATGCTGGGGTGCTATACCAAGAGAACCCAATGCAATCAGTGAATTCTCTAAAAGAATCACCTGGGATGCTCTAAGAGAACCCCTATCAATCAGTGAATTGTTGGGATATGCTCTAAGAGAAGTGAGAACCCCTATATAGGAGGCTCTAAGGGCAACCCCTATGCAATCAGAGCACATGGCTGGGATGCTCTAAGCAGTCTAAGAGAACCCTATGCTATGCAGTCACGGTGCAGTGTGGGCTGGCTGGGTAGTCCGAGTAACAATGAATCACCTTTGTTAACATTTGGACATGGTCTGGCGAAATGTGAAAAAAAGGCGATTCGTAGAGTCCTAGTTACTCGGACTACCGGCCTGACCGGCTGGGTGGGATATTAGAAAAAAAGAATGTAGGCCTCCGCCTATACACCTTGTGTAACGTAACTCCAGCTAACATGCTCATCGGCTGGGCCCAATTTCAAGGCGCTGCTCAAGCACAAAAATTTGCATCAAGTACAAAAAACTCTGGCTTATAAAAGCAGGTTACCAGCCAAAACTCCACGTGATGTATATTGCTCGTGATTGGTATCCAGCTGTTTATTTGCTTAGCATGAAAATCACATAGAATTGGCTGGTAACCATGGTAACCTGCTTTTATAAGCCAGACTTTTTTGTGCTGAGCAAATTTTTGTGCTTAGCAGCGCCGTGAAATTGGGCCCTGGGTTCGACAATGAGCATGTCAGCTGGAGTTACTCAAGCTAGGCCTAGTCTGCTAGTACAAGACCATGGAGGAAAACCTTATGCGTATGATGTCATCAGTCCCAGAGAGATGCACAACATGACCTCCCAGTTATATCTCGCATAAGTTTACTGTGGGAAAACGGCTTTGCACTAGGCCTACATTTTTAAAGGGAATATACAACATTTGCAAACATCGAAAAAATAAAACTACCAAGTTTTTACGAAATACCTTACTAGGATGTTGGTAAATGACAGTCTCAAGCATCTTGTAAAATTATGGCACCTGGTGTGAAGTCATTTTCAAGAAAATGGTATTTTTGTATACATTTCCAACGGTGGTCGGCCGACCAGCGTTGGAAAAACCTAACTATTTTTCAACTACTGCTCCAAATTAACCATTTTTTCAGTCAAAATTTTGTTTGCTATTGGTTACATGTTTCATGAACGGGTGCAGGCCAGCTAGACTGGTTCCCGTGCCTTACAATTTTCCATCATCTATAAATTGATCCATTTTATCTTTTGTGGAGTCAGGGAACCAGACCACTTAATTTTTTTTGTTTTTCTTGGTTTTTCGAACCTTTTCGAACACAAAATTCAAAAATGTCAGTGTAACAATATTTGATCTATATCTACTTACCCCTCAAATAGTTCATTTCTGAAAATTACATCAAAAACCAATGTCCATTCCCTTTAACTAAGACTAAGATTAGATTTAGAAGTGACTGAGAGTAACAACAAAGTCAACATGGTCACATTCCTCCATACCATGGTATTGGTAGGACTCAGCCTAGGAGTAGGATGCTCAAAGAGTATATATATCTCCCATATAAAACTGATATGCTTATGGTCAGTTCTGAGGTAGTTACCAATTCAATTTCGTACCCCAACGACGTCTCAGTGACGGATATGATGTTGACAACAGCGCCCTCAATCGTCCACAACAAATGAGTATGGTGCTTAATATAATAGATTGATACGCAACGAAATCAAAATGGAAACCCGACTGTCATCTACATCATGAGAAATCATCCGAAAACACACGTGTGTCGGGCGCCGCGGCAGAACTGCGATTGATGTAAACAACGATAATACTTGGATTTTTTTTGTTACGTTTTATATGAAAAGCCATCATAATGCAAGTGTCTAAAGCAAATAATGTGAAGGTTTACAACCTCAGCCTGGGTAAATCGCTGCCAGAGGTATGTCAAAATTTTGATGATAATCCTCCAAATAATCTAGCCAAAATACTTGTACTTGTATGTAAGAGAAGGGATGGTATTTCGGACACCCCTATACATGCTATAATTTCATGTTGTATATAGTGACAAATAGTACATGATTGATGATAGTCCGAAAATTTGGAACTCTCACTGTGTATGAGATTGATGATGTAGTTTACTTTAATTGATCCAATTTCTGTTTTTACAAATGTTTTGCTCGATTCCCAAAAAAAGACCAATGAATGATTATTAAATATTACTATTAAAAAAATATTACTGCTACGTCAAGGTTTTTTTTTCAAGTTGAAAGGAATGGTTAGTCTGACTCTGAGTTACTTCGACCAAACTGCAAATTTAAATAAATTCGTTTTGTTTTTCAAAGAATCAGCAACACATTAGGCTGCCTATGCCTATTTATTACAATATTTGAAGTGTATTCGTTAACCCAACGATAATCATATTCAAAAAAAATTATATTTCAGTGGTTGTCAGACCGGAAGAGAAGGGCATTGCAGAAATCAGACAGAGGTAATTAAAACATAGTGGATAGTTTTCCGTCACCGGCAATATACCTACTAATGCCGTGAGTGCGCTGAGATTAGCGTTACTTAGGAAGTGTGATGCTGGTGACGGCAAAATATCCACTGCCTACTTAAAATAAAAATAATAAGAGTATTCAGTAAGGTACTTGGTAGTCCGAGTAACTTGGACCCAACTTATCGCCTTTTTTAACATTTGGACATGGTCTGGCGATAGTGGGGTCCAAGCTAATACCGCGACCTGGACAACATCATCCTGTCACTGCTCCAAAAACCAACATTTTCCAACAAAAAACATCAGATTTCACCTTCTAAACGGCCTCCAAATTACTAGATATGCCACCTGAGGTACAAGTAGACATCGATAATTAAGATGGTTGTACTGAAGTTTACTTACGATCCGGAAAAAAGTGAAATTTTCCGTTCATTTCGGAGAGCTCCCCTCGCGATCTTGAACACGTTAAATTTCCGATCGTGTTTAATGTTTGAACGACGCGATTTCTTCTACATGCCCAGCGTACATTCGATGGTCCCCGTATCCCGAGTGCGATTCCGTTACCGAGCGCGCGCGATGCATCGATTATGATAATGAGTCACGTTTGTAAACACATACACTGTACACGTGCATTTCGAACTGTAAAAGGGAATCGGGAACCAGCTTGAACTGGTACCCGCCATAAAAGCTGCGCTAGTTCCCGACTCCCTATTATCGTTCGAAATGCACATGTGTTTACAAACGTGATCCAGTCTACTCATTATCATAATTGATGCATCGCCCTCGGGATACGGGGACCATCGAATGTACGCTGGGCATGTAGAAGAAATCGCGTCGTTCAAACATTAAACACGATCGGAAATTTAACGTGTTCAAGATCGCGAGGGGAGCTCTCCGAAATGAACGGAAAATTTCACTTTTTTTCCGGATCGTAAGTAAACTTCAGTACAACCATCTTAATTATCGATGTCTACTTGTACCTCAGGTGGCATATCTAGTCATTTGGAGGCCGTTTTGAAGGTGACATCTGATGTTTTTTGTTGGAAAATGTTGGTTTTTGGGACAGTGACAGGATGATGTTGTCCAGGTCGCGGTATTAGCTTGGACCCCACTATCGCCAGACCATGTCCAAATGTTAAAAAAAGGCGATAAGTTGGGTCCAAGTTACTCGGACTAGGTACTTGGCAAGTCTTGCTGATACAAAATTAGCTCCAATGGAGCTGTCGCCCTTTCTACATAGCTACAATTTTCTTGGAAGCAAATAAAAGATAAAATTTATTGACAATAATTATTAGCAAAATATATTGCAAATGTATTAAAAAAAAAAAAAAAGGAGGCAAGTGGGAAGAAGGAAGCAGGCAGGGATGAGAAACTGTTTATATTTTTACTTGGCCTACACTATCTTTTTTTTTTTTTTTTAGGTGATTGGAATTTTTTTCTTTCTTGGAAGTTGATATTTGATAGTGATCTTAGTGACACTCTCATTCCTTTTCTTCCTTTGTAACAGATCTGCAGCACAGGATACAGCTGATTCAAGACTTTGAGATGCCCTCCGTCAGCAATGGTGTACAAATGACAGCAGATAATCAATTTATATTAGCGACAGGTTTGTATCAATGTACACGTTCTTTTAAATTCTGGAAGAACATTTTATAATCAGTGATCAAATAAATAAGGCCAAAAAAAAAAAAGTTGGTCTCTGGTCAGCCCGAAGTTCCGGAATTGATGCGGGACACGTTTTTTTTTGGGGGGGGGTGGCTTTTTTTTTTTTTCAAGCTTGAATTGTACAGACTAGGTGGGTATTATTTTGCTTTTTTGTGTCCTCATTATACATTGGTTTCCTCCATAATATGCCTTGGTGCCCTTTATCATTTGCCTTGGTGCAATTTCCCCATTCCTTGGTGCTCCTTGGTACAAAAATTTGAGGAGGTGCGGCAATAGAGGGCGCTGTTGTAGCTGTAGGATTTTGCTGGATTGAGGAAGGTAGATAATAGCCCATAATTGTCCTTGTTTATGGAGCATCGGCTTGCATACAAGCATCTATAATATGCGTGCAGATCTGGCGATTTAAAATCTGCAGATCTGAGGAGGGTTAATTATATGCAAAACAGCACTGCGTCTTGACCTCCAGATTCTGACTATTCAGCAGGTGTGATGTCACAATTTCTAAAGTCGGCGCCGATCGGCTGACACGCGGGTCATATACATTCACTTTGCACTCACATCAGATGTTGTTGAGATAGCGTGCAGGCTCCGTTGAACAATGGATGATACTCGTACTATAATTTTCCTTGAAAGTACAAGGAATGCACAGAGAAGCATCATGGAAGAATCATGAAGATTTCAAACAAAAAGGCTAGGTTAACGGTTGCAAATATGAACATTCTCCAAATCTGATCCTTACCAACTGGCCTTTTCCTTAGCTTTTTTTTTCTCAGAAGAGATACAACACTTGGCAGAACTGCAAGTAACAAAGAAGCATCCACTTTACCATGCAAAGCCTCAAATGTTTTCTTTAAATTTAGTGTTGCTTTTTGTATTTTGTTGTTGCCTTTGGGTAGGTACATACAAGCCACGGGTTCGCTGTTATGAAGTCACGCAGCTGTCGATGAAGTTTGAACGATGCTTCGACTCGGAAGGTAAGCTGCAAATAATCGTCATTGGATTTTGTTAGTGGAATGCAATCCAAAGAATACCTTTAGATTTAATCTCATTTGAAATTGCACTTTTGATGTGTAAAAATGTTGTTTTTATACATGTAAAGAATCCGTTTTTACTAAGAAGCACTTTTCTTCTGTTGATGATTATCTAATCAAAACGTACTGATCAAAATGTACAGTCAGTTGTTTCACATATATATTCATGTATCTGGTTCTTTCTGAACACTTTGTTTACACATGAAAATACTCTTTTTACAATTTCTACTGCAAACCTTTCATTGCATAAAACTACCGGTATGTATAGTTCTTATTGATAAAATGTATAAGAAACTTTTCCCAACTGGCCTGCCGAAAAAAGTCTAAATTTGTTGTTGTTTTCTTTCTTGTTTACAGTTGTAAAGTTTCATGTCCTGTCGGAAGATTATTCCAAGGTACGGAATACTTTTAAATAATTCCTATTTTTTTACAAATCCTGACTACAAATACTTTTTGGCTTGGAACTTTCGTGGATCCGCCAAAATGCACCTTTTTTGTATGAACCCATTGGCATTTTTTTGGTACTTTTTCATTCAAGAAGGAATCAAGCCCCATGTAAAGTTTATATTGGATACGTCGTACCTTTGTCAATACATCAAACCCTCCAAAACCTCATCATCGATCTTTAAGGACCTGGGATGGTTAGAGAAAAAAAAATTATGTTTAATTTAAATCATGAGCTTTATTATTTGATGCCCAAACAAGATAAGTTACCTTGGAAGAGAGAGAGAAACTTGTCCACTTACTTTTGTTGTTGTTGTCTGTACAGATTGTATTCCTGCAGTGTGATCGTTATGTAGAGTTTCACGCACGGTATGGCCGATACCATCGGCTACGGATTCCCAAATTTGGTAGAGATTTGGCGTACCATGAGCCGTCATGTGACCTTTTCCTTGTGGGAGCAAGGTATGTATACAGCTGTCTTCATAAAACATTAAGCGTTTTTCTGACACAGTGGAACGTCGCTATATCAAACACCCCTATACCGAACATTCGGCTACACCAAACATCATCCTTGGCTCCAGATTTTTATGTACAAATCGTACCGAACATTGTTAAAAAAATGTCAACAGAAGTTGGACAAGTGGCTATTATTTCCCCAAAGAATAGAAGGGAAAACTTAGCCACCCATTGCCTTAGGTGTAGGTAGTTAGCTCAAAACCATTAATCAATAGTCGGCTCGTGTTCAAAGTCGTCTTTCAGTAACTGCCAGGGCGTGCAGGGTGAAGTTCTGAAGTGTGCTATTTATTGAAAAGTGAGTACCGGAGCACAGACAGCTTAAAATCGCTACACCGAACGTTTGCTAATACGAACAATTTCTATGGATCCCGCGATGTTCGTTATAGCGGCGTTCCACTGTAGTCAGAGTGTTTTTTCCGCATTAATTTTTAGTGAAGATCGTGCTTTGGTTTGCCTTTTTTTCTTTCTCTATAGCCCAGAGGTCTACAGATTGAATTTAGAACAAGGACGATTCCTGAGTCCATTTGTAACTGAAGCAAGGTAGGTCCGTTTTTCTGACTTGTTGATTTCAATTGTATTCCTGAAATGGTATCAGTATCAACAGTGTATTTGTTGACTAGTGGCTGATTTTGTGATGTATGTTGCTTCTTCGCACTAACATTAAAGTGTAAATGCCTCAAACGTGTCAAATCTTATCATGAAACTGCTCTGTTTTAGTCTGAGTATCACCCGTTGTCCAACAGAGCCCTATCTATCTCGAACGGAGCCCTATTGCCCTTAGTTGATTTTTGCTCTGAGTTGAATTTTTTTTTTTCCAAAGTGCAATCAGTACATGCAGCGTTAACCCTGTACATCACCTGCTTGCACTGGGCACACTAGAAGGAAGAGTTGAATGCTGGGACCCACGCAGCCGGAAACAGGCAGCCATCTTGGACTGCGCCCTGAGCAGTGTCACCATGGAAACACAGTGAGTTTAGCAAGTGACAGGCTTTAAGTTTCCCAAAGATGAGATGTTTTTAAAACAGCAATGGTTTTACAAAAGCACAAGTAGCTTGTATATCTGTTCTTGGAAAAGGTGAAAAGAATAACTATGGTCAATAAATCGCAGATCCATCCTTTTTTGTTGTAGACGTGTAAAGATTACACGCGTGCTTGCAACTCATTTTCTCTGCGAATATGCGGCCTCTGACGTGTGCATGCACGCGTGCGTGTGATTGTGCAAAAGTTTGTCTGACATCCCGGGTATGCGCGCCAAAAGACGCGGAGCAAAAGTGATGTCATTAGTGTGGAGTGCTATCCTAAAAGGGCATGCTCATTTTCTGAAATTTTCCCCAATGTCTCTTGTCAGGGTCAAAGGAATGCCCTCTGTTTCGGCACTGAAGTTCAAAGACGGCTTGCAGATGGCTGTCGGTACATCTACAGGACAGGTAATCCTTCTTAAAATGTCGGGGTATTTTCTGTCTTTTAAAAAGAATTGTTGGGGCCCAACTGAGAAAAATGTTAGAGGCTATTAGAGTCTATTTGACTGATACTGTCACTTTAAGTTTGCACAGTATACAAATATTGAGTGGCTCAGCGTGGAATGGGAGGAATATTATCGCAAGGTGAAATCTGGACTTTTCTATTTCACGAGGCGAAGCCGAGTGAACTGGAAAAGTCCAGATTTTACCGAGCAATAATATTCCTCCCATTTCACAATTTAAAGCCACTCAATATTTGTTTTATATAACTGAAATATAGATCCTTGTCATTTGATGTATTTGAACTTTTATTTCAATACAAAACTGGAGGAAAATGTATTTCTCTCTTCCAAACCACCCCTTCACGAAAATGTTTGAACCCAACGCTGTAGCGCTGGCTCTTTGGAACAATATGCGCTACGCACAACGCTGAACGCGCACACCATCATGCATTTGCACACAAATACCGCGTCATGATCCTAACTGTTCAATAGTATTTCCCATTCCCCATGGGTGGATAGTACTTTTTGAGCCGCGACGTGAATGGGAGCAATAACGAATGTCACGTGATGTGAGTTCCACCAATCAAATGACAAGGATCTGTATGTCGGTTTTATAATGGAAGTTATGTCAGTAATGGGATAATGAAATGTTTGCCTCTCCAGTGCAAAAGTCCTTCATACAAGAAAGGAAATACAAATTGTACAATATGCTCTGTTTTTTCACACTTAAGTTTTACATTTCTTAAATCACAACATGCCTGAACTCAACTTTATTAAATCAACTTTTTCGCTGAGTTTTGTAATTTGATCAGTTGAGAGCTGTTTGCTTCAATTTTAACAGGTGCTCTTGTATGACATTCGTTCTGACAAGCCTCTACTGGTCAAAGATCATCACTATAGCCTGCCCATCCAGGCAGTGGATTTCCACCCTCAATCTGAAATGGTTGTGTCCACAGATAGCAGAGCAGTCAGGATATGGGATGTGCACACTGTGAGTTGTAGGGGTTGTTGTTTCTGTCACTCTGAGAATACAGATAACCAAATATCCAAAAACATGCACACATTAAATCTGTTTTGTCACGGAATGAAATGTGTGTGTATAAATGATATATTTAGCTATTCAAGTATCTGAAGGTTTGTAGAACTACCCCCGGAATGAATATAATGAACCAAACTCAAAACAAGTTTTGTAGGTCCTTCTATAGTAAAAGTCCAACATTATAATTTGGATTTGTACATGCTTATTGTCATTCCAAGGTAAAATCCTCCCCAAATTCACAATGTGGCTTCTTATAAACTTCATCCAAAGAAATGGGAATCAGGGCCCACTTTCATAGCGCTGCTTAACAGCCGATTTTGTGCTAACAGAGCCTCCGCAGTAAGCGGCAGCAGAAGCACGCTTAACCACAGTGGAAAAAGTTGCTTAAATCAGTGCCGAAACAGTAGAAATCTTCTTGCGGGCGCAACCGTTAGCACATCCATGCCATGAAATAGTGCTTAAGCAGCATCATGATTTTCTGCTAAAGTTAGCACAACTTTTCTGCTAACTGTTAAGCAGCGCTATGAAATTGGGCCCCGGACATAAGGATTCATGTAGGTTTTCAAATTGGTACTCAAGCAATTTAGATCTATCCAAATTTAATGATCTGGGCCCAATTTCATAGCGCTGCTTAACAGCCGACTTTGTGCTTACCGAGCCTCTATCTATTTCATAGGGACCGTTCAGCAGTAAGCACAGCAAAAGCACGCTTAACCCCAGAAGAAAACTTTGCTTAAATCAGTGACGTAACAATAGAAATCTCCATGCACACAACCGTTAGCATGAAATAGTGCTTAAGCAGCAGTATGATTTTCTGCAACAGTAAGCACAACTTTTCTGCTAACTGTTAAGCAGTGCTATGAAATTGGGCCCTGATATTGAATTGCATGTGTTTTTTTTTCTTTTGTTCAAGGGGAAAGCCTTCACCGCTATTGAGCCTGAGCACAACATCAATGGCATGTGTCTTGTGCCATCTTCAGGACTTATCCTGACTGCCAACGAAACACCCAAATTGGGCGTGTACTTTGTCCCAGTAAGTTCTAACTTTTGGAATTCATTTTTATAGTCCCACTGGACTGCACATGGGGCAACAACATGCGTGCCTCTCCAATAACATAATGTACGTTCTGGCCAAGCACATCATACTGAAATACACGTATGTCAGATTTTGTCTGATATTTGCTTGTGCAATCATTGCTTTTAAAAGAAAGATACAGGTTTAGAAATTCATCAGTGCCACGACATGTGACCGTTCTTGACCAATGAAGTCACAGTATCCAAGACACAATGTGACCGATGTCATAGTCAATTAAGTGGTGTGTTTCCTCTTGTGCACTCACGGAAAGCGCACAAGTCTAGAGGAAAACAATGTCTCCGTGAAGCGCAGTGCAGGAGGAAAAGCATCAGTAACTGAATTGCTACACTGTACGCATGACCGAATCAAATAGAGATCAATCTACAACACCCAACCACCATGAGGTGACACTACTACTACATGGAATTGATTGCTTCTGTGGAGAAGTGTGGTTCTGGAAAGAAATGGGGGGAAGACATGATTTGACGTTAATTTTTTTTTCAGAATCATACATCTTCTCAGAAGAGATTCCATGGTGTGCCTGTAAACTTCCCACTTAAATTGTACCATTCCACAATGCAAAGCTTAAAGCCACAATGTTGTTGATGTTATTTACAGAGTTTAGGCCCGGCTCCTAAGTGGTGTGCCTTCTTGGACAACCTGACGGAAGAATTGGAAGACAGTCCCAATAGCACCGTGTATGATGACTACAAGTTTGTCACCAGAACAGAGCTGGAAAACCTCGGTAAACGCTAAAGCAGTGTCAAGAATCAACTTGCTTTTACACCCAAAAGTTTTGCTAGGCCCTAAGAGCTAGCTTTTTGCCGTTTGACTGACTGAGACAGACGGACAGATTGAGTCACTAAGGATATATCCTAAACTGCAGAAACTGAACATACACCTCTTTACCTTACAGTAGGTACACTTTCAGTCATAACGGCATAAATCGTAGACTGTCAACCTAAGACAACTGAGACTGACCTGCTGACCAGCTGTTAAACCTTTGGGTTCAGCTAGACTAGAGCAGCCTAGTTTTGCACCTTCGTCATCAGTTGAGCCACAACAATTATTGCTACATATTTAAACAAACAACAATTGTTTCTTTGAAGTCAATGTTTACAAAGGGGTAAAGCCAGGTCTGTAGGTCACTCTTAACATGATTATGAATATTTGATAATGCTCTAATTACAGTTAGTTAGTTTACGCTATTATTCTTGCTTTTAGGATTGTCGCATCTTGTCGGCACAAGTCTACTGCGTGCCTACATGCACGGTTACTTCATGGACATCAGGCTGTACCACAAGGCTAAAGCCATCACAGAGCCCTTCGCTTACGAAGATTACGTCAAGACCAAGATCAAGCAGAAGATAGAGGAGGACAGAGCCAGCCGAGTTAAAATAAGAGTAAGTAAACCCATTAGCACTGGTAGGTATTCCTTAATGAATACACAAAAATCATACAACAGTTTACGGCAGTATGGGCTCCGTGCGCTAACAAAGAGGGCGCCCTTTTACCTAGCAACCCATGGGCGGGACATTTAGCTGGTTGACGCACACCGTTCCTTGTGTGTGACGCACGTACACAAATTATTGCAGTCAGGCAAGATGGCGTCGGTCGGTCACCCCCAACTGTGCTTTCTTTGCCTGTGAGGGGGTACTTGTGAATGGAGCGGATAGTGTTGTAGCAGGCAGGGTAATATATGGGGCAATATAGGAACTAAGTGCACAACAAGATCTGATGATTTTTACCGTGGGATAAATGCACACAAGTCTACAGAGGACTTGGTAGCCAAATATGGTGTACGTAGTCACAGAGTCCATACTTCAACCATATTTGTTCTCATCTTATACCGACAGAAGCTACCCAAGGTGAACGCAATGCTTGCCTCCAAGCTGCAGGAGCAACAGGAGCAGGAGCAGACCTCCAAGGCCAAGAGGGAGAAAAAGGTGAGGATGCTGTGATAACATAACCACAAACACTTGCCTGAGCAGCTGGGGCATTGGAAGTCCCAGACAGAGACCTGGAGTGCTCTGAAACGTGCAAAACTAAATCAGGCCAACTGTTTACTCACTCTGTAGCCAGCAAATTTCTCCAAATTTTTCATCGGGCATAGAGAAGGTCCTCAGAATTTCACCAACAAAGTTTGCAGACTCAATTCAATTTTTAAAGGAGACATTTCTTAAAAATTTTGCACATGAGATGGAAGTCAAGTGATTTCAAAATGAGGCTAAAGACTAGACTGGTACATGTTGAACCATGATCCAACTGTTTGAAAAGATTGACCTCTTTATTACTCAGTGTCATTAGTCTGGTGGCTGACTATGGAAAAATGTGTAATAAATAGAGACTAGGTCCCGGTTCATACCACATGTTTCTTTTGGCACAGTTGATTGATGCAGCTCTGAAGCAGTGTTGGACTGGTTGTTTCAGGTGCCAGTCTATTTTTTTTTTTACTGCATGTTTTCAATACCTTAAGTTTTGGGACTCTCATACACAGTATTGATAGTCCCAAATTTTCGGACATTGGAAGTCCCTGAGAAGCTTGGGGCAAACATAATGGCACTACGTAACTGCTGAAAAGTTGTTGTGGTCACCATTATACACATATAGACTGGCAATGAGGTCACTAGCGCACGTCTATGCCCCCGAGGGACTGTGAGTGACCAGAAGAGGGTCCTATTTCCTGAGGCTTATCGCTGAGAGAAAGGGTTTCGCCCTGGTATTTCTGGCAAGTGCGTTTATCTTCATACATATGAGGCTGCACTTTCAAGGAAGGAAGGAAGTATATTTGACGTTATGCAATATTTCTTATATTGGCGCGAATTGATTTGATATCTTACCTTCAGGCTGAGGCAGACGGTATTCTTCACGATGACCGTTTTGCAGCGCTCTTCAAGAACCCGGAGTTTCAGGTGGATGAAAGCAGCGAGGACTTCCGGTTGCTCCACCCTGTCATCACTAAACAGCAGAAACAGCAGCAGAAGGCAGCCCAGAAAAGAGCTATGCTTCAGCAATTTGATGAGCTAGAGGTACCAAGACAATATGTGCTGTAAAGTTTAAGATTCTGTGTCTGTAAAGGAATTAAACAAAAATTGTAAGAGTTATGCAACCACACCATTCTCCTAATGTTCAAAACAACCAAACTATGTGACAAAGATTCTGACAAGTTTGAAGCGTTAGGCCCTCTATTAAAATTATTGTGATTTGTATATTTCGTCGTGTCCGTGCAACAAGGTTGTATCTCCTAAAATGGGCCGTACGTGAAACGCAAGTTTCAGAATGTCAAAAGCTTGTACAGGAGTTCGTCCCACAGGTTCAGACACAGACTGTGCAGCTTCTAAACCAAACGTGTCATGGCTTAATTCAGAGGAATCATAAGGAATAATTTGGTATGGTTTGGTTAGTCTGGAAAGGCCAGTCTGAAACGGGCGTTGTATTATTGACAATTCCACAGGAGGAAGAGGGAAGGCCCAGCGACGAGGACAGCAGCTCAGATGACGATGACGACCGATCCTGGCAAGAGGAGCTCCGAAGACAGCATCAGCAGCTGAGAGAGGAACGCAGGGCGGAGGCCAGGACCCAAGCCGCCCAAGCCGCACCCAAATTCTACGAACTGAAGAAAGGAGAAGAGTTCAGTTCAGCTGCGGGAAGGAAACAGATCAGCAAGAGGCAAATGAAGTAAGGACACCTGCAGGTCTGAGCAGAGACCAAACTGGGGTCAAAGGTCATCATGGGGTCACTGGGGTCAAAACCTTATATTTCTTTACTCAAAACACTGTTCTTTCCAGAAATTACATGGCACAATCTCGTGACTCATGCATGAACACGAATTCGTTGGCCCACAGCTACCGAGATTCAATCAAACTTGTTTGTTTTAACAATTTAAAAGTATGTGATCACCCATATTTATTCATTACTCTTTGGGGCCACACACAAGTGGAAATTTTGTGGAGAGTCAAAATTCCCCACAATTCTCTAAGATTAATACAAAGAAAGAAAGATTCAAAAACACAAAACTCAAAACATTATTTTTTGTTTTTATCACAGAACCAGTCTGGCAGACCGACTTTCCCAAGAAGACGAACAGGGAGAAGTCAAGCAAATTGGTTCTGCCGGCAACCAACAGCTGATATTTACCATAAAAAAGGTGGGTATGAATCTCTTGCAGGACCATTCCTATAGACCTTTATCTTGCTGCCACCATTTCAGTTATGTTCCCTGTACCCAATAACAGTACTGAATGATCATTTTTTTTCTGTGCAAACAGAAACCAGACTATTTTTCCTTCCAGCCTCGCTTTTTTTGACGTTGATTTGAAATGGAAAAAATCAAGTTTGCCGCAACATGATAATGGTCTTTATATAACACCCAAGTAAATCCTTGTCATTTGATTGGCGGATGTTAGGTCACGCGGCATTCATTAATCGAACCGTTGCACAGCCTGCGTCATAGCCGTGCTTTTTTGGTTCCATTCACCGTGCATTTCGTACCATCCCTTTTGGTCTATTGCACGCCGCGCGCACGCTACGATGCGCAGCGGCCCGGCACTATACGATTTTTGCGCTATTTAGACCATTGCACGCGTTATATAGCAGATCACAACTTTCCTTTGAAGTTGATGCAGTTGCCTTGATGATCTTTTTTGCATTGTTTTGAGAAGTTACAATGTTAATTTGCATTATTGTCAATGATTTGACTTTTAAACCTTCATTAGCCTTAAACAAGCTGAGAAAAGTAGTGAATATGGTACAATTTTGTGAGTTTTGTTTGTTCTTAAAGTTTTATCCTCTTTTCGAATGACAGATCTACATGGATGTTTATATAAAACAGATAATGACTGTTTTGCATTCGTGCAATGGTGAGAATATTTTCATTGGTTGAAAGATGGAATGCTCCATTCATCAGTCTTTCAACTCATGAAAATATTCTCACTATTGCACTCATAAACATTCATTATTTGTATAATATGCAGATGATTAAACTGCAGGATAATATAAGTGACAAGGCTTGCTTCACTCACTTTGTGGGTAATCAACTCGAGAACACTCACACATACATTAAAGTATTTTATTAAAGTATTTTATGTAAGGAATATTTGGTCCGAATTTCAACCCAGGAGAGTAATTCTGGTTAAAATAGGGGCATTTTGAAAATAGCTTAGACCCTCTCACAATTTTTTACGCGAGAACAAAGCGATGTCTCCAAGGATACAACTTTGAGTATGGGTGATGTGATCTGTAAAACACTTTTTATTGTGAGTGTTGACATTTTGAGAAAATCTGCTGAATTTTCAGCTCGGTGGATATTACACTTTTCAAGAAAACAGTGAAAAGCAATGCACAACCTTTTGATAATGAAACACAAGTTTTTCAATAGCACTCTTTACTCCAAAAATCAGTCAGTTGACTGATTGTTGGAGTTTGCATACATTTCTTGAAGTCTTTGAAATGACAGCTAGCCAGGTTGAATAATTTCAGGTGGTATGTGGTACCAAGATGATCTTTAATCAAAGTAAGCTTTTTGATAATAATTTGGTAGGTAACTTCAGGGACAGATGCAAATGATCCTAAATACCTTCAACAACCCCTCTGCTATTGCAAAAATGAGAAAGCGTTATTGGTTGATGTTGATGATCATGCTCAATATACTTCTCTTTTTTTTGCTTATTATGTAATACAGAGTGCTAAGGAAACCAAGCTGAAACAGGACACCAGGGAGCATCACATGGAACGGAAAAAACTAAGAAGATCTGCGGGACAGCTTGCAGGCAAATCACGGGCGGGAAAATTTCACAGATGATAGTTCACTGCAGTTTTTATTTATTTTAATCTTTCTGTTTTTTCTTTTTTTTAATCTTCTAGTTTATTGAAATTGGACTATTGATAACCTTTTATTTTGGTTGTACATGGGGGTTGCTCTTTGATACGACATTACTGCACATTGGGCACTATTCATGAATGCATATCTCTCTGAATATTACATTATAATAGGGGAAACTCCAGATAGGTTTAATTTACATTTCTTTTGTCGACTGAGGATGCAACTAAACAAAATTCATGAATGGAACGGGGGTGTCACATCCACACAATCCCTTGTTCGCTACCCCCTTACTGTAACCCACCATTTCACAGCTTTGCTCTGTGCTCTGTGCATGTGTCCAGTAACGTCCACGGAACTGTTGCAATCACTGCATCATTGTGAAAAGACCACAATATCAACTCCATTGAGAATCCATTTTTAAACATACCATTTAAAGGGAATATACAACATTTGTAAACATCGAAAAATAAAACTACCAAGTTTTTGCGAAATACCTTAACAGGATGTTGGTAAATGACAGTCTAAAGCATCCTGTAAAATTATGGCACCTGGTATACTGTCATTTTCAAGAAAAGTGGTATTTTTGTATCAATTTCCAACGCTGATCGGCCGATCAGCGTTGGAAACAACTGGCTTTTTTTCAAATACTGGCCCCAATTGACCATTGCACTTGTTTGCAATCGATTACAAACCTATGAACGGGTACGAGCCAGCTAGACTGGTTCCCTGACCTTACAATTCCCCAATGTATGTAAACTGCTCTGTTTCTTCTTATATGGAGTCAGGGAACCAGACTACAGGAAAATGATCGTTTTTCTTGGTTTTTATAGCATTTTCGAACCCAAAACCTCCAAAAAGTCAGTGTAACTATATTTGCTTTATATTTCCAACCCCCCAATTCCATCCATTTCTGAAAATTACAGCAAAAGCAAATGATGTATATTCCCTTTAAATAAAACAAGGTTATTCCCAACTATTCATCTGTTCCATCAATTGTCTTGGGATGGCTGTTCCTTACATTGGCGTTGCCTGGATTTTTTTCTAGAGGGGGGGGGGGGCAAAACATATTTTTCCCAAAAAATCCTGTATTTCTCAACATATTCGCATCAGTTTTAGAGGGGGGGGGGCAGAGACATTTTGGCCCCCCCCCCCCAATAAATTTACAGCACTATGACTTTGCGCCTCTTTTTCTTTTTTCTCTTTTTTTTTTTTTGCTTTTTGCTTTTCCGCCCCCCCCCCTCGCGACGCCCATGGTTCCTTGGGGTATCAACATTTTGTAGGTATTCAAAATTTTCCAGTGAGGTGTACGATATATATGTACAGATACTGCAAGGTAAATTAAAACTAAAGGATTTATTATCATGTACACAAATAAACATTGTATATTGACATGAACTAAGTTTTAGATGAATGATACATTTTTTTAATGGGTAGAAAGGTGTTTGTTGATAGTGCTGAACGTGACGGGGAGAAAAAAAAGAAGCATAACCGTACACGATGACATGCTCCATCCAAGTGTCTATGCAATAATCTTAGGCAGATCTGCAGCAGAGCACGATGTAGGGTTTGATACTCCCCGTCTATTTTCACACAATTTTTCATGGGTGAAACATGGGGCAAAAATTCCCTGCCTCCCTCAAGCTTCCTGCATGGAAGCACCAGTGATCTCCAGATTAAAGTCTGAGATAAAACCTCTGTAGCACTGAAGATAACTACGAAATACCATCTTTAACTTTGATTAGATTAGTGATAAACCTGGCTTAGCATTATATGTCAGTGTGACAGATGGGAAACTCAAATATTTACTTTAACCAAATTACAAAACTCGTTCCAATGGATGGACGCAGTCGGCGGCATGGCAAATGTGTGGCCAAGCAAGCGGCTTAAAAAAGTAATCAGGTGTAACGGGCTTTCTAGCGTTAATCACCGAAGCAGTCGGGTGTGACGTCAGACGGTGGGGCAACCTGTCAAGTTACGGTTCGTGGTCAAGACAAATGCAGGGGAAAGAAATCTTCGATCTTAATTACACGGGCTCATTTACGGAGCTAGGGCTTTTTGAAACCCTGGCTTCGTCATTGGCTCAAGGTGATTGTAGGCCCCAGCTTCGGTAACTCCAGCTACATATCGGCGCCTGTTATACTTCAGAAACATTCAATCGATTGATATGAAGCCAAATGTTAGAATATTTCCATATGGTTTGCTTCTCAGTGGTTCAGAAGTCGGAAGCAAAGCGGAAGCAAAAGTTTCGAAAACCCCCTAAGTAAGCTGAAACTGTTGTTTAGTGTGCTGAGCATGATTAGCTGAAAACCAGTCACAAGATAAGTACACGCCTGACAGTTTGGCCGGACTTTTTTTTTGGATATATGGAAATATAATCGTGCTTGCTGCTAAGCAACTTCAGCAGCGTTATGGAATTGGCCACAGATGTAGGCGCTGGATAAAGTTTAAATTCTGAAGAAGAAGTTTAAGTTCGCAACGTCAGGCATTATTTTGTTTAGATTTGCATATTTCAGGTCAATCCAGTCAGTGAGCAGTTTGCAGCAGTCCTATTCACTTAATTCAACCTCGTTCCTGGGGCCTATATTTCCAACTACGTTTTCAAGAGAGCAGGTGGTATAGGGGTTCGAACGTACTGCTCGACACCCCGGGACGAGGTTGGTAATAGAGAATCAAAGTAGTTTCACACACTGGGAAAGATGGTGAAGTTACTGGAGTTTGGTGGGGACCCCCCCCCCCCCCCCCCCCCCTCTCGCTGGTACGTAGATAAGACTTTTCTCTTCGTGCACGGCTGATACAGTTCTTCAACCGGGTGTGCCGTGCAGTGATTTATGCTGGATCTGTGGGTATTGGAAGAACAGACATCGTTAGTCCAGCGTGGTGATGGAATGGATGAAGGCAGCTGGAGCGCTCCCCCTTTCTTGGAAGGCCCCCAAATTTTTCTCAATTTTCAAACTTCTAAAGGGCGTGGTCACTTCACTACCTTTGTGGACCCTGTATTCACAGTTTGGTTGAAAGAGGGACATGAGTTGCAGGCTCCAGGCCCTTGAATGGACCCTTACGCAGCAGCTTGCCAACCTATAGAGTGACGACGTCAACAAGTCTGTTTGTCTGTTCCAACTTTGTGATTGCCGACAGCTGAGACTCATGAGGCTAGGGGTACAGGTTGCCGTTTGTGCCCCATTACCGAGACGATTACTACAACTTTGCTGATGTGACACCCTGGAAGAATTTCCCCCCAAAAAGGGACGAGATGGACTACAGCAGACGATCAATATCTGATCGAATCTCCCCCCCCCCAATAAAATATCATGTAGCTGAAGGAATTACTCCAAGTTTCAAAACTTGAGTAGAGAATACATTATAAATTAAAAGTCTAGGAAGTTTATCGTCGTTGTTTATAGGACCCTGAGCAACTCTCAGTTTAAAATCTTGCTAAAAAGTTTGAATAAAGTTGAACGTAGGACTAACGGGAAACAAACAAACAAAAACAAAACAAAACAAAAAACATTAACACAATTCAACACGAAGATGCAATAAAATAATCTGTACTGCCAAAATTGTTTTGCATGAGGAATAGTTTTATTTATTGCTTTTCGTCCGTATGTAGTTTACACAACCGCGTTAACAACCTGGGCAGTTTAATTGCATATTTTAGTTTTTACATTTTTAAATTAATAACAAGCTGAGTTAAGTGAAGAACGTGAACGCATGATGGAGTTTTCTAAGTTTGTGTATCAACGGCCATTGAGTACACTCGCACAAAATCTTCTAGATCTCTTTCATAGGACGCCATCTTCGTAGGAAAATTACAACTGCGTGTTGCTCGAACTTTCTTCGAAATACGGCGCAGCGGCAATGTGCGTCACAAAAAATTGACGCCCAAAATGCCGATGCGCGTGGCAATCTGTAGGAGGTGACGTCATGTGAGAGAGACCTTCAAAGGTATAACTAGGCATTCTGTCTACTGCTCTACGGCCATTTTAATGCGTGCGTGGTTTTTCATCTGTACATTCTCGGTAATGAGGGAAGTAAGAATGCAGAAACAAGATAATTAGCAGGGGCCCCTGCTAATGAAGTATTAAGTACAGAACAGATTTCGAGGAACCTTCGCTTCTTAGTGTGCCAACGGCCGTTTGCACCACAAAGTGCCTACTTTCTACCCGCCTAAAACCCTATTTAGATTGATTAAAGCATTACAGGAAGTCCATCTGTGATATTCGTGTCGTTAAACGATAATAATCAGTGTCCTAAAATCCCTTCAGTGGTAGTCAGTTCTTGCCCGAACCTGTACAAATCGAAAGTGGGAAAGAAAAGAAAAACACGTCCAACATTATCAGCAGTTTGCACTTGAAATGTCGAGTCTAAAACATTAAGGTTAATGGGGATGTTGAACGGGGAATGTTCGGTTAACGATATCGCCGTAAAGAAATTGCCAGGATTTTGTTTATAAGGCACATAGGAGTGAATACAATTATTATTGCAAAGCAGACATGCACTCCCCCCCCCCCCCCTTCCAACAAAAAAGTTTGTAATTTATGATTTAAAAAAAAGATTAACACAAAACTTTGTTCTACTATGCGTTTTAAGCGCACTGCAACCCGTTCTTATCTGTTTTATATTTTACGCTTTTATGATTTATAGGCCATTTAATTGGCAATAACGGACCAAAAAAACGCGTAGTCCTATGTGCAGGAAACGCGGTTTGTTTTCTTACTTTTCTATAAAAACAATTGGCCCGTTGTTGTGACACTAATTTGTAATTGTTAGTCGGTTACATTAAAAAAAAATTAATAACTAAGGTAATGCCAGAAAATTAGTCATTGAATTTGAAAACTTATTTGTATGATTGCCACGCCCGGCAGGCGGCAGGGACGCAAGATTCTGGCAGGATAAAGCTGATTTTGCATTTGACGCGATAGAAGGACAACTCTCTAAATTCCAAAGAGTGAAATTAGGGACTAGACGTTTTAGAGTGAAAATCACTCTCATTTTCGATTGAAACAGTCTGAAAAATGAACCACTTCAGTCGAAGCTCGAGCGAAAACTCGATCTTGACGATTGAAGAAATTACACTCTGAAACGTCTAGTCCCTAGTTTCTGACTGTGGGAGTGAATCTTCACTCGAATGGAGTGAATTTTCACTCTTTGGAATTTAGAAAGAAGGAATGCTAACGGGTGACATTTACCTTTGCCTGCATGCTCAGTCTATAGGCAGTTGAGGGTAGACTTCTTGCCCTTGACCAATCTGCAGATGCAGCCTGGGTTGCCCCATTCATCGTCACAGTCTGCAGATGGTGGAAACAGAAGGCATCAAAGAAAATATTAGTGCTACATTAAATTGATGCTGGCAAGAATGACTCTTCCTGTCAATCAGTCAAAGAGCGCGCATTGGCCACTTAAATCAGGAATGTTAATCAGTATTGTACTAATACAATTTATATTGATTTGGTTTTAACCTTTTCTTTTAAGGAAGACTTGAAGGTTTGCATGGGCAGAATATAATTAAAATTAATTTTAAAAGGAGTTTACAGGAGTTAGGAAGCAGCAACATCGCAAAACTCACACTTTTGTGAGACTGTATCTGTTTTGTCTTTGGCCAAGAAAAAGCCAAGATCAGAATTAATATTTCTTTTGTACTCACTGAAGTAGGCGTTCCTCTTCTTTCCTCGCTTGATGACCTGAGCCAGGTCATCCATGGCCCGCTTAACAAAGGTGTCATCCTCGTCCATTTCCTCAACGGCAAAGGCGGCCACGACCAGTGCCAAGCACAGCAGCAAAACGATGAAGGTCTTCATGATGGCTAACTTGCTGACAACGAAAATAAATATCACAATCAGTGGCGCACCCAAGGTGGTTGGGGGGCTTGGTCAAATTTATTTTAGTCCCACGATTTGAACGTGGTGATAATGTCCTATTTTCGAGTAGTATAATAGGGGTGTAAATGGCGCTACAAACATCAAAATAGTCCGTCCCCCCCAAAAAAAAAAAAAAAAATTGGGGCAAAATGTTTTGGGCAAAATGTTTGGGCAAAATGTTTCGAAAAATAATCAAACTTCTAAAAAATGTGAAAACACTTGCTGATTCTTTCAGCTTTCGACTTGATTCTCATGCACCGTAGAATTTCTCGTCAAAGTTCCAAACAAGAAACATCGTCATTTTTGCTGATTTAATCCAGCCAACTTTAAATATATCTAGTTCAGTTTGTTAACAGATTTGACTGTATTTTTAATTAAAGTTAATTGAAGTTTCGATTTTAATTCCCGAACGAAATTTAATGGAATATAAAGTCCTGTAACAAATAAATTTGCTTGTTTATTTTTGCAGGCCTTAGACAGTTTTAAAAAGTGGTTTTAAATGGCGCGCTCCAGTTCAGAAATTGCGCACACTATTCAGAACGAATAAGGAGCGCCTGTTCTCGGCGGCCGTTCGTGCGATGTCTCATTCAGGAAAGCTCATAACTAATGTAATGCTAGAAAATTATCAATTCCATTTGAAAATCTATTGTTTTAAGGTGCCACACCCAAAGAACACGTATACACCAACTTTAAGAGTATAGAGTACCATGTAGACAGCATTTGACGGCCTTTTGAAAGAGTTATTATTCCTACGGCGACGAAAGGCGTTTCTCGGTATTAAACATTATACTACGCCTGAATAAAACCCCGTCATCTGATTGGTGGGTCGTTGATCCCATGCCATTGAATTATTCGTCCCAATCCACGGGCCCGTTTGCACCGCAAAAATAGAAGTTCCATTCCAAGGTGAATAGAAGTTCTATTCCACGGTGAATAGAAGTTCTATTGCACGGTCACACCATTGGTGGCTCTGACCAATCAGATGACTAGGATTTATTCAGGTTTTATATAAAACAGATAATGAACGTTTCAAATTCGCGTAGTGGAGAGAATAGTTTCATTTGGTGACAGGTGGAATGTCGGCGAAATTATGCTTACCATTGCACTCATAAACATTCATTATTTGTATACACATGTACTATACTACTAACAGTCCAGTATGATACTTTTCAAAGGCATTCAAGTAAGTTTCGAGGCAATAATATTGAAGGGGAAGGAACCAATTTCACCATGACGTATACCACATGCCAACCGTCAATAGAGGAGAAAAGAAAAACTGCCGTCACACTAAAATTCTAAAGAATTCGTCGTCTGGATGCCAATGGTAAAGGTGCATTGTTTTTTTTACAGACGTCCCCGTTGCATCAAAATATAAGAAAGTTTCATCTCAAACTTAACTCAAAGCTTGTCACCACTCATCAACGACAAGTTTGTAGACCTAGCGTCTATATATCCTACTTCTAAAGTAACTTAGAGTTAAGTAAATCATATGTCATACACAATGACCATTTGCCAACTGAAGTCTTAGCCTATGGTACATAGAGTAGATATCTGTATAGATGTTACTAAAGAAAATAGCCAAGGAGATAAACTCACCGGTTTCTGTATGATCGCTGTGAGAAGAATATGGTTGACTCTCTTCACGTTGTGGTCTTTCCTGCCTCCTGGTCCTCCTTTTATAGAGAATCGGAGGCCTTCTCCACCCTCGACTCCCACAGTCAGTTCCTTAATCAAACATCGTCATGCCGGCCGATCGGCGTTCCAGAACCGTGGCCGCTTCGCGGGCCGCATCCGGTGGGCTGCTCGCCCGAGTGAGCGGGATATTGCCTCGGCAGGGCCCATCACTCATAACTCGCTGCTTGACTACGCCACCCTTGGAGCATCCTACCAAGAGCCAACTTAATGGAGATGCTAAGCGGAGAACTATTGACCTACCCAAAACAGGTTACCAGCGAAAATGCCATGAATTCATATTATATGTGACTGGTACGCTGCCGATATTTGCCAACTACGTCAAATTTGCTTAGCATTATTTTATGCTCGGCTGCCCCGTGAAATTCGTCCAAGGTAAACATCGTAGCCAACTGTCAAGCTTTGCCCGTTCAGCGTGTCTGGTGATGGTTTTACCAAGCGGCGTGGTGGGTTTTTCTAATAACTCAGGCTTTTTCGCATGACGGACTGCCTTCCTCGCTTGGCTTATGATGACGTTAACACCCCCTGGTCGAAATGTCAGGACAGGACTTCAGAAAGTTTGACTTAGATTGAGTGCAGGTAAACTTTCTTTAAAGGGCTTATGGTCATTCGCGTCATTCATTTTTTACAGAGCACATCTATCTGTATCTATCATTGATTGAGCATACTAAGAAGCCACCATAATAATATCAAATTGATCCGAATTTATCTGGAATGCATAATACCATGCATACTCTTTACATTATATTCACATTATATCAACCGTTCATGCTTGTTTTAATTATTTTCTCGTATATATTCCTTTTATCTTTTTCCCCCTCGAAATCTTGGTCCCGGATAGTGAGGATTTCAACTTTGTGGAGTAGCAGTGTTCTCTGTTACAATTCTGATATCGCAATATCCTTAATTGATATTCAGCAGTGGAAGTCAGGGGCGGAGCTAGCTTCAGGAAACGCATGGAGACGCGGGGGGGGGGGGGTGATATTTGAGTGAAGGCCTGCTATAAATATATATAGGGGGTCCGAGTCATACCCTTCCCCCCATTCTTAGGCAATTTGAGAATACATTAGGAACTTTGAGTCAAATTATTATTAATACTGGCTCCAGTTACTAGTATCATACACATTTTCAGCGGATGAACGGGGGGGGGGGGGGGGGGGGGGCTAGATCTGCTACTGGAAGTGATAGCCATCGTGACATAATTCCGTTACCGGTCAGCTCAGGATGCTTGTGGTCAGTCAATATTCAACCACCAGTGTTCAGTCATATACACGTAATACAATAGTCATTGTTTTCCAATGTACCAATAATGTTTTACGTCGACAAAAGCAAGATGGGATACAATGCTACCTTTCAGCTAGTCCTCGTGATAGGTGTCGCGATTAGGTCCGCGTTGTCGCTTGATGGCAAGTATAATGTTCAGTTTTGTTCAATGGGACGGAAAATAATGATGTTTTGTTATTGTTCGAAAAATTGTATGAATGTCACGACATTACCATATAGCCAGTTGGCCCTCGTGCACACAGAAATGCAGCGTATTCTTTCTTATACGGATTCGCCATATTGGAACGAAAGTACAACTACAAGTGAGGCCAATTTGGCAGAAGAAAGACTCTCTCGTCGTTACTGTATGTAGGTTGGTATAGCTATTACGCAAGATCAACAAGAGCGTATCCAAGAGTGGCCGTTTACCAAAGGGTATAGTCTTAATTTACTGAACATGATTACACTCTATGTACGATAATGTTCTCTTTTAAATCAAGTAATTATTGTAGAGCTTCAATATAATTCAGTCACATCGGGGCCTTCGCTGGACGCTGGTTTGAAGTTTTCCAAAAGTGGGAGTGGGCGAGTTTGAGGAGGGGTTTGGAATTTGTGTGCCAAGCCAGCCCCGAAACATGCCCTTTAGTGAAAGCATTCCCGAACCACGGTCTTAATAAGCAGCCCCACTTCAATAAATGTCGGTTTTGTTTGTTTTAATACAGTCATCGATCTCCGACTGGTGGACGGCGACACTCCGAACGAGGGGCGGGTGGAGGTGCAGGGCCTGGCCGGTGACTGGCCCAGTTGGGGCACGGTGTGCGACGACGGCTGGGATTACACCGAGGCTGATGTGGTCTGTAGGCAGCTAGGCTTCAATGGTTACTCCGTCAGGTCGACAAGCCAGGCTGCTTTCGGCCAGGGAACGGGACCGATATTGCTGGATGACGTGGCGTGTGACGGAAGTAAGTTTCGCTGATGTGTGACCTTGCGTCAATGCATTTTAATTTGTAGTCGTTAGACTCGTAGCAAAGAATAAAACTGTACACAATCTTATAGATTAGATAACCAAATGTCACAAAAGACAAAACTTAGAGACATTAATCGCCTTCACTGGCTAAGAGTATAACATTGATGAATTGATGGCAACGACCAAGAAAATCTAATTTTTCAAACAAAAATTGCACTTTTTTTACACCAAGTAATGACTCCATCCTTATAGATGAGACAACCAAAATAATGTCACAAAAGACAAAACTTACAGACATTGATCGCCTTCATGGGCTTAAAAGTATAACATTGATGAATTAATGGCAACGACCAAAAAGATCATATAGGTTATGCGTTGGTTTTTGTTCTAAAAAATTGAACTTTCTTTTTACACCACTGGTAATAATTGGATCTGAAAATGTGCCGTAACTATGACAACATCGGTGACGTCACGGTGATAGATAAATGTTAATACATTTTACATTTCTCTTTTTTTTTTTACAGGCGAGAATCGAATTCAGGATTGCGACTATGAGATCACGCACAACTGCTTTCATAGTGAAGATGCAGGCGTCGTTTGTCAATGTAAGTTTTGCGGTGGTGTCTGTGATGTAAGAATTTGTACTTGTGAGTGAGTGAAGTTGAACCATGGGGATCTCGTTTATAGAACAAAAATGAAGTTCAAACAGGTGATGTTGCTCGAATACCTCTTGATGTATATGTGACTTAAAAAGCGGGGCGGGGATTAGGTTGTTGGAGGCATATGCTAGGTTCACAAATTCACGACTTTAAAATCGCCACCAAGAGCAATTCTTGAGCTTAATCGGGAATGGTTCTTGGCTGCCTCGGGATTCTGTTTGTTCGGTGAAATATCGTTAAAGATCGGGAAGAGCCACGACAAATTTGAACATGTTCAAAATTGTCGGGGTGATTATCAATTGCAATTCTTGGTTTATTCTTGTTGTATTCATAACTAATTCGGGAATGTGTGAACCTAGCATAAGTCAACTCATTCATGACACCAGTTAACAAGCACGGAAACCGGACAGGCCCTCTGAGCTCAGCTAAAGATGAAAGAACCCAAAAAAACCAAGCACTACGTTGTTTTCGTAACATAAATTTATTGGTCATATGTGCCTGCAGTTTACATTAAGGGCTTTTTAATCCATCTAATATCACAGTACTTTCTAATAACTGCCTCATAAAAAGACTATTGGTTTTTGAGTAGCATCCGCTTCAGCGGCCATGCGAATCAGCTGATCTAGTTTACTGCCATGTTCATGGTGTATATGAAACTGTAATATTGCAGTCTGTGCTGATGAATTATAACATTAGTTAGCGATTTTTTTCTTCCCAAGTATCAAACGTGTACGTTACCGGATGCATGCTTGATATATATAGGGTTTATGCCAATGATGTAACCGTGTACTGTCCTGAACAACGGAAATGACACTTTTCAGTCCTATCTTTGGTCCTATCAAGTAAACTTGTTTTTTCTTTAAAGAACTTCCTGTACCAACCTTATCATCTTTATGTGGACCTGACAACAAAACAGGTCCACATACAACAGGTTGTGTGAACATTTTACGGTGGACTAAAGCCAGGTCCACATAAGGTTTTCCCCTCTCTGGAAAACATGTTGAGAGGCATTTTTGGGTTAGGGTCGTGTGTCGCAAAATGAAAAGGAGCGCTCAAGGAAATCAGGATAAAATATTTGGGTTGAGAGGGTTTTCACAGTGTGAGTAAAATATTTGTTTTCCTCCGGTTTTCCTTAACTTGTGCGAAAACAAAGGAATGTCCACATAGGGTATGTACACTGCAAAAAGTGCAGTGTTAAATTTACACCATTGGTATCTATATAGGACCATCTGGTGTTAAATTTTACTGGTGTTGTCCTATATAGATACCGAATGGTGTTAAATTAACACTACAGTTTTTGCAGTGTAGTAGGCCTGTATGCTATATCGAAACGTCAGGTTCTTTATCGTTTATACGAGTGTAAAAGAAATGCTAACCTATACATGTTTTCCAATCTAACAGTACCGGGTTACATCGGGTGCTACCGAGACAGTGGTCGGGACCGAGTTTTGCCTCACAACCGCCTGAAGGACCCCAGCGTAGACGCTCTCCTGTGCATTGAGCGGTGCTACCGGGCAGGGTACGCCCTGGCCGGCGTGGAACGAGGGGACGAGTGTTACTGCGGCGAGGCAGATACCGTGTACGACAGGCTGGGGGCGGCGGCAGAGGACGATTGCAGGACGGCCTGCCGTAGTGATAGCGATCAGCTGTGCGGTGGAAGGGATAGGATTGGGGTGTTTGATGGTAAGAGGGAGGCACGGGGCCGGGGTGCGGGATGGATGCAGGTTTGGATGAAGGCGGTGGTTTGGAGGGTGGGGGGGGGGGGCTAATTATGAATGGGTGCTGGAGATCTGGCGCTTTATCGACAACCGTTTGCATGCATTTATATTGCAGTCATTATTAAAACACATTGAGATTGTTCGACATTTGAAGTACTCAATTATTGTTTATATACTACTCCATTTACACTGCAAAAACTGCAAGTTTTCCTAACACAACAGAAATCGATGGAAAAGCACAACAATGAACTAACGCCTGTTATTTTTCACAGTGCTTAATACTCCTAGCATTGTTTTTCCAAAGGAATCTGAAGGAAGGGCACACAACAGGAAAAGGTTAAAGTGCAGGAAATACTCGTCCCGGTTTAAGTAATCACGGTTGCCCGCCATTATAACCCGGACAAGCATTTCCGATCTTCGTGTGGTTCTTATCGTATCTCACTATGCAATTCAAGGAAAACAATAATTATTCGAAATTACACTCTAAAAACTGTGTTTAGCAATTAAACACAATCTTGCTATCACTTTGTAAAAATGTCTAGAAGCTAAACATTGTGTGTTCAATTCCTAAACATCAATGTTCAATTGCTAAACACTGCATCCTTACTTGGTGTAGGCAATAGGGCCTAACGTTTGAAGATAATTGAAGTTACTAATTTATTATTTATTTATTTGATTTCTTTCTGGTAATGAAACCAAGGATTCCTCAAAAGTGCCCTAAGCACTGTAGCTCGAAAGCCTGAAGAAACCTGTAAGGAGAAGACAATGAGAAGAATTTACAGGGTTTTTTTAGAGGTGGGAGGAATATTCTGAGGAAAACCCACGGAATCAGGCTGGCTCGGGCGGGATTCGAACCCAGGTCACAGCGGTGGAAGGCGAGGAAAGTACCGCTACGCCAACTGCCTGACTCCCCGAATGGAATCTGAAGGAAAGAGGTGGGCAAATTACAGCCGACAATTGAACGAGAAGAGTATGGTTGACATAGGGGCGGATTCAACAAATTCACACTTGAAAATTAAACCATTCAACATTTTCCTTTCATCAGTAAAGAAAGCCCACTGCCCTGATCCCCGCCTGCCGGCTGGTAGCGCTCTCACGGATGATGACTCGTTCGTCTTTGGAGCCTGGGTCAATTTCTCGTGCCCAGCGGGACACGAGCTCGTGGGCGAGGCGAGGGTCCGCTGCGTCCTGGGGCAAGGGAACGAGAGCGACGGGAGGGTGGTATGGAGCGCCGAGACGCCACAGTGTCAAGGTGATTCATTTGCGGCAACAACTACATGTATTTCATTTAAAAACATTTATTTCCTCTTCAAGGCAAAATGAAATAAAACAATAAAAGGTATACTAAAGGCACTGTAAAGGCCAGGGGTGGCGAAACCTAAAAACATAGTTTGTGTGAGGGCAAGTTACAAAGGACAAAGGTAACATTACCGCAAACCGAAACGATAAGAAACATTATTTACAATTTCATGTTAAAGATGACTATATAAATATACACTATACAGTATACGGTATTGACCAATCTAGGGGATATAGCACTTTTCAATTACAAGAGTCGGTTTTTTTAAATTACGAGCTCCAAAATGTAAGAAATAGACCGTGCCAATTTTGCCGAAATAAGTTAAAGTAACCATTTGTAGTTAAAACTCAATCGAGGACTGACAATACCATTTTGCCTTTCAATTTAATCGCTGTAGGTCCTACAACTCCGGCTACAAGACCTGACGTGGAATCTACGTCACCTACTATCAATATACCACCCACTCTTGATGATGTAACCGCTGACAAGACAGTATTTGGTAATCACACTTTTAAACTACATGTACAACCAAAGATTAAAAAGAAAGCTAATAATACATGTATAAAATAACTAATATTAATTTCATAACCTGCTCACTTAATTAAATTGATGATTATCTTTAAAGACGCATTCTTTTCTACATTTGCTATTGATTCCGAAAGCGCTCAAGCACATTTTTTAAACACCTAAACATTAAATCAACATCATCAAGTGTTTTTCATATAACTTGAAATCCGTTGTCCGAGAGAGAAATGTAAAAAAAGAAGACTTTTCTCTGGCACAGATCTTGAATGCTTATTTTGTTGTTTATTTAGGTCCTATCATCGGTTCAGTGATGGGTGTTGCTTCACTGTTGGTGGCTTTGATAATTGTTGTCGTCATATGCAGACGGAGGTAGGTGCTTTTCAATGTTTTTATACCCCTATAAAAGTTAAATTAAAAGGTACACGTAACACGTTTTTAAATAAAAATGAGTGATGTTCGTGCATGAAACAGCGACAGTCATTGTACTCATTTCCTCGGGTGTCAGCAATATCGATCACGACTCTATCTTCCTTGATGACGTTGTTTAGGCCCAACAGTACTAACTTTCCCTCACTTGTTTCGGTTTGATTTAAACACTCACACAGGAGAAACAAGTCTAGGACGACGAAAGACCAGAATAGAAATCTACCAGCAAGTTCCTCTGTGCAACTGAACGAAGACGATCACTACTACAGTACTGCCAGACTACCTTCGGGCGAAGGAGCAGGCCCACCTTTGTACTACAGCGTGAAGCTGGCCGGACGAGCAGAGTCCGAGTCCAAAGTGGGCTTGAAAGATGCCTCGGTGGCCCAAAAGGGCGGAGACAGTGCCGCGGAACAACGTGGGGTGACTGAGGATAACCCCTATGATGGGGTTGATTTTGGCGGGCCAGCTGAACCCCAAACTGCCGAGGCTGTCCCATCAAGCACACTGCCCGTTGATGGTGAGACAGGGTACAGTCTGCTTTACGAGAACAGTCTGAAGATGAATCACAAGGAGACGAAAATGCCAGCCCTGCCACACAAGGGGTTAGCTGTTACGAACGAAGGCTACAGTTTACTGTACGACAGGGAAACGGCAGCTTTCCCTGCGGACGGAGAACAACTCAATGTACTTTCCAGCAAACTGGATGCAGAAATTGATTATGAAAATCACACGTACGGTGTTGTGCAGGACGACAATGTTTGATCCACTGTTGCCTGCCATGCAATGGGGAGTCATTAGCTTGTCAACAGTTAAAATGAGACTTAATTAATTAATGAATTAATTAGTTAATCCAACAGGTTCTCTTCAGAACCACACATACTCACAAAAGAGATAGTTTCAGATGGTGTTACCGCAAACCTCTCACTTATTGTCAACAGTTAACATATTTCGTGATCTCATAAGCTGTAAATGAGTTCTCAAGATGTTAAGCTTTTATGGGAAGTATAAGAAAACAGAACAAAACACTATATCAAACATTATTCTATAGCTGCAAGCCTATGTCTTGCAGGATCAAATCAAATCATAACTGAATTATCATCAATAAATCCTCGGTGCGTTTCAGTTGTTTGCGAGGCTTGGATGCAATCGTTCAAGATGTATGCTTTTATTTTGTCTACTCCAAATATGGTATAAACTGTACGTTTATTACTTTGATACAAGTCATTTGTACGCAGCCTATGAGCAAATAATTAAAAGGTAATTGTGACCGAAATGTACAATAAAGGAAATGTTACGAGATGGAAACATTTACAGATCACACATTTCAGTGCTTACTCATCTCACTCTCAGTGTCGTGTAAACTTTGATCAACTCCCCGTAAGTCTTGGTATTCCGAGTTTTTCGAGATGGTCTACTTTCCTGAAAGAAAAGCATACGCCCTCTTCCAAGCGCGGAGCTGGCCGCGTAAAATGCGCGCGCGTCACGTTGTATGAACGCAAAGTTACGCTCCAACATGCTGGTACGATACAAACTACATGTAGGCCTACTCACTTTTTTTCTCAAAGCAACGGGTGTTTAGTTACTGAGATTTCATCTTCAAGTGTCTCGGAGCTACGTCATGCTAACCACATTCTGTGCGTTATCAAGACCTAAATTGAAGTCTAGAGTTTGGATTTGGACATTCCTTTTTGCAGCTACTTTTATCCGCGTAAATTTGGCAAATCGTAAGTATTAAGCAACGTTGCATCTGGTAGGTTTCGCGTTCTTCATTACGTATTTAGCTCGCTGGCATGGAGTCAAGGCCTAACTAACTTTGAAACTTTTGTGGAATACGTTATTGTTGATTTAATTAAATGTCACGAATTACCATCTTCACAATGTAAACTCGGCATCCTAGATGCTGATTAGAATAAATGCCATGTCACCTTATCAGTCTCCCGTTCTATTATATTAAAATGGGAAAGAAACAAGCCACTATTAAGTATTATTCTAGCCCAGGTTGGACTCCGTTGTCAGTCGTAATGCAATGAAGACGTCGTCCAACCTGGGCTACTATTATTCATGATATTATTATTAAAAAAGAAGGAGCGAGCCTAACCCAGATTGGACGCCGTCGTATACGAAGTACAAGTACGATAAGGGAGTAAACCTGGCCGGGCTAGAGGGAGCAAATTAACGGAAAGTTTGTTGAGAGCCAGTCCTTTTCAAAAAGCAAGACACACAGAAATGTGTTCTTCGGAATCTTATTCCAGAATTCAAAGAGGCAATATGGCTGACACCTCAGGAGTCCAGCATAGATATGCAGTGTAAGGCGGACCTGCTCAAACGCTACCAGCCGCAGATAACTACAAGGCAAGTGGACATAATAAACCGACAGATGTGCAAGTCTGACTTTGGACAAAGTTAAACGACACATATTTGGTCAACATTTTCATTGACAGTGACCAACAGGTTCTAGCTGGAATCTTGCTTGAAATTGAGGGTCGAGTTGAAGCCTTGGGCTTATGACCCTTCAAATCTCGGTCAAATTAATCGGATCTTAACTTAAAGAGTATGTGGTTGCAAAATAGAAATGATGAAAGAGAATAGAAGTTGATGAGGTAACATAGGAATTAATAAGTATCTTGGGTGAATTTACAGCTGTGGAACTTTCCAAACATTATTGAGACTGCTTTTAAAAGGTTCAAAGATAGGCATACTACAGACTGGCCTACTGATTACGTAACATTTTCGCGCTAGTTTAAATAAAAAGAATGTATGAACAATATTTTCGACTGCTGATAGAACTCTTTGTCAATTCGACAAAGAAGATGTTGGGCCCACTTTATGCATTCAAAATGTCTATCCATGTCGACACAGCTTACAACTGTGCGGACCGTTCATTGCAACACAATAATTTGAAAACGAACTTATCTTCCTTCACACAATTTGTTACGGTGTGCATTAAATTTAGGTTCAACACATTTTCGATCTTTAGTTGGTTCAAAGATGACACGGTGGTCGTACCCACCGCGCGACTGGAGTTGGACCACCTGGACACGCTGCGCATCACCGGCCCAGTCCCCGAGGATCACGGCCTGTATGCTTGCCGAGTCTCGTACTGGGACACGGTCGTCACTACCAACGAAATACGGGTACACGCGGGACTTCCGGGCCGAACACTTGGTGAATCATGTACGGAAACGGGATCCATTTTGCTCCAGAAATAATCAAATTATCTAATCATAGTGTACATTAAAAGGTTTACTATATTGTCGGGTTACTTTAAAATTAAGTTAGAAATAATAATTCATCAAAATCAACCACTGCAAATGCTAAATTATAGACATTTACACTACATCAAAAGCCAACTAATGCTTAAATAAGCTAGGTAACAGCACGCTCCATTTGTACCTGAGGCCAACGACTCTCTCAACAACAAAATTCGTCAAACCCGAATCTCGATTTTTTTTCGAGAACGGCCTCAATATCCACAGAGCAAGGAACTCTATTCAATAACTGATGGGGAAATACGACCCAAACCTTTGTTCGCTTCACAGATATTTTATGAATTAATATGAACTGACATGTCAGAATCAACAAATAATACCGGTACTTTTGTCCACAATAGCATAACATAATAGAAACAGCCGTAGCTTTGAATTACCTACAATTATTAGTCATTCCTTTCGTGAATCTATTTCTGTTATATTGTTTCAGCCATCTGGATAGCTCAGAACAACGATATCGTAGGAGTGTCTAACGTCTGGGCAATATCCATCATGTCAACTACTGTCATCGGCATCATATGGCTTTTCATAGTAGTAATACTCAGGCTCAAAAGGTAGGCCATTTTTTTTCTATAAATCTCCACTGATTTATTTCGGTTTTCGCAAATGTATTCTGTTATAATGCAGTCAGCGGTGTGCTTTAAAGCAAACCTAGCCAGTTTTCCCTCCCAAGTTGGAACAGTAAAACCAATGGTACTAAGAAATCATTACTAAATTCGCCGAATTCCCAACCTTTTTAAAATCGTTTTTGAAAGATCACTGGATCGGTACAGCACCGGTACGGCATTCCGGAGGTCGCGGGTTCACGTCCCGCTCCAGTCAAGTTCTATTTAACCTGCCATCGATAAAAAGATTCAGAATAAACAAGTGCAAGTGCACAACAAGCTCTGGCCTTGTTGCAAGAAGTTTTGCATGAAAGTCTTGCATAAAATCGATCAAAATGATCGCTTGCCTGCCAGAGCTGAAAAATACGCCGCCAAAAAATGCCACGCCGATGGCACATTATTGAACACCATACTTTTTGTCAATTTTCGGGAAAGACAGACCGACCACTAAGTGACACGTAGAAGTTCCTGCCAGATCTTAAAAAGATCACGTGGTTCACACGTAGGCCTAAAAATCGACATGGGTGTATGAAGAGCAATGCTCACGGTAAACATCTGGTTCAGGCTCCCGAAATAAATGGAATTATATTTTTTTTGTCAAAAGAGCATAATAAAGTAAAAACTGTAATTTTCTGTAACATTTTACTGAACAGATGCAGATGTTGTGGCAAGGATTACGAGCTGCTGGCGTCCGGCGCCAACTGATGATACGGGAGGCAGCTAAAAGTGAAACCGACGAGTCCCTCCCGCTCAATATCTGTGAACGACAACCGTGGCGGCGCTACACAGAGAATTCTGGCGTATAGTTGCAGTTGCAGACATATTAAATGTACAGGGGTATATCTCATATCGAAATAGCTATGTGTACCTTGGCAAGGTTATGAAGTAATGAGATCGAACGCAGATGGTCGAGTAAAACTCAGTTTTAGCAGTAGCACGCACGTACAATCCAATTAAAAGATTAATTAAACAAATGCATGCCTTTTTTTGAAGACTGGAATAAAACGGGACAGTTTGGTATTTTGTTTGCTACTATATACAGACAATTATTTTTATTATCAAAATATAGCATCATCAAATAGACTGTTGCAATGATATCACGAAAGGTCACTTCGGGTTGCAGAAACACTGACAGCAAATATACAGATCATTGTATTATCAAGTATATATATATATCAAATATAGCATTATCAGTTAGACTTCTAACAATATTCTCACAGGAACAGTTAAACTAATCAGCATTATTTTTCACAACACTGACGGTAAAAGTTTTCAATATTGTATTTTTTTTTCTTCATCATAATATACATACAAAGTTCAATTCATGAATGTATACATGTAAAAATATTGCATAACTATATTTCATAAATCATTATCTTATAAATCTGCAAGGCACACACATACAAGTGTATTTTACAAGAAAAAAAAGGACAAGTCCATTTGCAGTAAAAAAACAAACAGTTATAAAAACAGCCTGACAAAGAATGAAACTGCCCTGATACATGTAGGTAAGCCTCGTACATTTCCTCATTAATAATACAAATAATCAAATTGAAAGGATCTCAAACGTACAAGAATTATTGCTCACTTCAGTCATATTGTCAACTGAAAGACACTCATTTATGAACCCATCGATTGCATATTCGAAACAGCTATATGGGGGTTGATATTTTGCCATATATACAGTTTATATGAACATGCTCATAAAAGATATAGTCCATCATTTGTGCATTTTGTTCGTTTGAAGCAACAAAAGTGTTCAAAATGTAATGAAGGATACTGAACAGCTAACCTGATGAAGTTTCAGCTAAGCTTCAGCTGTATATTCCGAGAAAAACAGCATTTTAGGATCTCAATTTTAAATCAAAAGTTAATGAATCATGTTTGAATTATTTTGAATTGCAGCTATACACGACGTCGCGCACTGATCCGACGAATTATAGCAACCGCGCACGCGTGTGCGTCATGCCAATGCTTGCGCGCGCTTCGCCGAATAACAAAACGAACTACTAATTTAAATTTTCCTACGGTGCGTCTTAAGACGCACCGTTGGAAAGGCCTTCTTTTGTTGATTACTTCAAAATGACAGCTTGCCAGAAAGAATAATTTCACAGGGAGTTTAGTTCCCTTACTATCTTTCATCCAAGTTTGTTTTCAACAATAATTACGCCAGTTACTTTTCGGATGGCTGCAAATGATGAACTATAGCTTTAAATAAAGAAAATCACCTAAAGTTGTTCATCTTTTGATGCTCACCACAACCCCAAATAGATCAAATGCATCTGCAGCATGGTGCAATTTAAAACTTTTAAGGCTCTTTGTACAGACATATACATGTATTGTCATCTGAGATGTTTCCGACTGTTTAGCTGAGTGAATTTATCTACCACTTTTATTCTAAATATATACAAAAAACCTAGTATTTCATATGCGTTGGAGATTTGGAACTTTCCTCCATTGGAGAGACAAGAATAATAACGAACATGTTTAATGAAGATCTCGTTGAATGATGCAAGATATTATGCTATAATTTTCCTGAGTAATATTCTGATTGACAAACACTTGCTGCTGATGGAATGCCACTGGTATTCTTCAGAACCAATACAATTTTAAAGTGCCATGTAACTTGGCACTGTATATACATAGCCATGCACGTGTACTCAAGGGCGGATCTGGGGGGGGGGGCAATGGGGGTTGTTGCCCCCCCCCAAAAAAAAACGAACCAATTTTTTTTTTTTAAGTGACATGGCAATAAAGCCAGGCACTGTGTACACCCCCATCTTTTCCTCAAAAAGCAGTCAGAAATTGCCTCAGATCGCACCTTAGAGCATCTATAATCAAAAAAAATTTTTGGGCCCACTTTTTGGCCCCCCCCCCCCCCAAATAATTTTGTTCTTGATCTGCCCTTGCCTGTACTCCAATGCAAACAAGACTGATCACAAAAACCCTATTGCATAGGGGCTGTCCAGCTTATATATACAAAGAACAATGATAGAATTGCATGACGATGGACTTTGAGATCTTACTTCCGAGCGATGTATGACACCTGCAAATCCGAGGCAGACATATCCATTATCAAGGCACATCATAGTAATTTCGTTAATTCATTATGGGTCTTCTCGAATATATTGCAGAATAGAGTTCATCAAAACTGACACAGAAATGCAAATAAAAGCTGTTGTAAATGCAGACAATGACTTGCCAAGTGACCCGTTAGACAAGTAACGCCACAAACTGCCCTGCCTGTTACTCCCTGCATTCCCAAAACCTGCTCCAGCACTGTCTGGTTTGGGGTTCTTATGGGCTAAACCTGAGTACTTGGTGCATTCTTTAAAACTGATGAGTTTTCGACGACGATCTCACCTGATGCCTTCATGTGCTGAAATGTGCCATGGTTTTATTAGAGACGGACCAGAGTTGGGCCAGGGCGGCTCGTATGACGGGGAACTTGAGCAGTATCTCCATGGCCTCGTGGATCAGACAGCCTTTACTTGCCAGGATCAGGGATGTGGGGATGACCTGGCATTGAACACAAGTCAGTGGATACTGGATAATAAAAATTGTTCATACCCTGGTACTTGTGATCTGAATTGCGATTTGACTTGTGATTCACTCGCGATTCGAATCCAACTCTGTGGTCAAGTTATCATCTCTTCTTCTTTTCAAAACAATGCTTCTATATCTTTCAGAGTTACACATGTCACAAGTGAATCTCCAAACGTCATCAAAGTTGCCTTTCTATCTTGAAATGGAAATTTCAAACAGGTAATTGGGCAAGTTACTTCAACTGAAGAATAAAGCACAGGTTCCTACCTTCGTTTTGAAGGAGCCTATCCTAGTATGCTCAGACACTGGCATTTTCTTCAACTCTTCTGATACCACATTGGTACCGTACAAAGATCTGAGAACTGAGGCTCGAGCTGTGTCTTCTGAACACATGACAAGACTCTGTAGAAACACAAACGGAAGAGTCTCAGAGAGGGAATTCAGGCGAGTAAGGTTTGTGTAACTCCACAGAAAAAGTATTAGAAGGGTGTTTCTAGACACTCAAAGATGACAGAGGGCATTTCTTGGTGTCTCTTTACTCCCATATTTGAGGGGTATAGGTTGGCGAGGATCTACGGAATTCTGAAATTTTCTTTTTCATAAAACTGAATGGTTCGTGAGTCCAGAGTGCTGAATGATAACACATAGCAATCGGTGAAAACACACGTGCCAATTGAAACTATGTTTCCATCGATTGACGTAATGCTGCACCGCCCCTTTTCCAACTTGGCAATTTATATTTCAAGGTTTCTATGGTGTTGTCAGCAATATGTTGATGATTCCCCTCTATACCTCCTACTAACAATATTTTGTCCCCTGTTTACAATGTTTTGCACTTTCACTGGGCATATGAAGAAAGTAGACTTACCTTCACTATTTCTATTCCTCTCTGAAACAACTTGCTGTTACTGAAACCAGATCAAACAATACAAAGTTTGTCCACATGAACAAATCGATACCTTGGAAACCTTGTGATAACCTTATTGCAATTAACTTGTAATGGACTTGAGAAAAACTGCAGGTGTACATTGTCCACTTTTTCATCAGCAATACATTCTGTGTTCGCTCTGTCTGTCCTCAGAACAGAGCACACGTCCCGAGGACGGACAGAGCAAGCATACTGTGAACGGACAGAGCACACTGTCCGAAACGTCGAGTTCTACACTCAACCAACCGGCTCTTTTCAGAACCACACTTCTTCCAAGAAGACATTACTTTCCACATGGTGTTACCCGCAATCTTTCGACTTCGTTTCTCAGATGCCACACTGCATGTTTGAGATGCATACTTCATGCGTAAAAGCACGCATATGGATGTTTTGTTGGACAGTAATTATGACTGGGATTGATCAAAGCATCTTGGGGTAGGGGTTAATGGAAGCAGCTGACCTGAGCTTGAGATCCACCATCAGATTTTTGTAGACTTTGCCCTTCTGGATGTGGGCGCCGGTGCTGACAGCATTCAGCAGCAGCTTGCAGGACAGCTCGGCAGCAAAGCGCCGGGCCGCGTGGACTCCCAGCAGGTCAAACCATGAGGGCTTCTTGCCCTCCTCCTCCATGAAACTCCGAATGTACGGAGTAACCGGGATACGAATGCGAACGATCTTGGAGAAGAACTGCGGCATGATGTCCTAAAGAGAAGTCAATAAACCCTTTTATGGATACCTGTCCGGCTGTAAACGTGTAGTGAAGATAAATGTTGCATTGTTGTTGTTGCAAAAAAGTTCCCGCTTCGAACTGACACACCATGCAACACCTAACATATACCTAATCTACACACTATCTGTGATTAAACCAAATTTTGGTATGATGCAAACAGGAAAAAAACTTTCCAATATATACATTTAAACCAAGATACAAATTATCATATTTAACAGGCATAGGCGTAGCCAGCAATATTTTGTAAAGACTGCCCTTTCCCATTTAAATGACCTTTTTTCACCAGCAGTTACCCCCCCCCCCAAAAAAAAAATATGTGCAAGAGTGCCCTTCTTTTAACAAGTGCCTTTTTTTCTGAACAAGTGCCCTTTTTTAACAAAAGAAGTCGTGCCCTTTTTGTGCCAGTTCGTTTAGGAGTGCCTTTTTTTTTTTTATTTCATGGATGTATCCCCCTGCAAAAGCACCATATATTGTCCGTTAGTGAGCATAATCATCGGTTTTGAACAAATCCCCCATGGACAGATGGTACCAGCCCAGCCCAGCCCCCCCCCCCCCCCCCAACTATTTGATTTTACAGAGGCCAAGTGTCCGAGAAAAATACCTGTCTACATGTCAGCACGGATGTGCAAGTGCCCTTTTCAAGAAATGTTTACCCCCCAATAAAAATGACCTTGCTATGCCTCTGACAGGAATAAACGAAATGCATAAATGTGTCATTTGAGAGACATGACAGGTTGGTACAGTATCCAGGCAAAAACAGACTGTTGGTGCATTCTAAAATAGTTGTGCCACTTTATTTTGCCCAAGTAGTTTCTGTTTGTCATTTCACCCTCTGACTTCCAAGCCTGTACCTCGTGGGTGTCATTAGCATCCCTGTAGCATACAAAGACCACCACTTGATGGCATTTTCCCCGCACTATCTGGACCATCATTTTCATGGCTGGATTCAGCTCACTGCAGCTGGACGTCAGGAAGATGACCGTGTCCTGCGGAGTGAGAGAATGCAGGATGGTCCCCACGAAGTAGTTGGCGCCGATCTCCAATTCACTCCCTTGATGATCCCGATAGGATCGTCGCATTGTGTCCTCGATGGGGATGATTTCTTGTACCGGGGGACAGGACTGCGAGCAGCGAAATAATGTAAATTTTGAGGTTGTGTTTTGATTTAGACGCTGGTTAATTAAAAGTATCAAGTCACCATGCAGGTTAGAGATTGAACAGCACAAAGTTATTATGTGCATCTACAAGTCCATGTAAAGCCGGGTTCATACTTCACGCGAATGCGAAGCGAATTTGACGTCATGAAATATGAAACATTCGCTGCGAAATTCGCCGAGTTGAAATATGTTTAACTTTTAAGAATGCGCAGTGCGAATACTTGCCACCACGTCACAAATTCGCGTTCGCTTTCGTGCCAAGTATGAACCGGGCTTTATGCAAATTTTTTATTTATTTATTATTTATTATCAAGCCCTCGTGACCAGAAGACCGAATTGCGGTTTAATGTACAATAAAATGATTTTAAAAAGTTAAAATAACAGTTAAAATCACAGTAGTCATTACATTAAAAATATATACTACATTAGTAGATATAAAAAATACACCAAAATGGTAAAGACCCACCCCTGTAATATTCTATAGCAAAGCCCTACTCCTTAATAAAAACAAGCTACCAGATTATAAGAAAATGAGCTTAAAAAAAAGGTTTTATCAATCATTCATGCAGTTACAACTCTAGTCTGCCACTTACTTTGATAACCAAATCGCCCTCTCTGTTTTCAAGAGCTGTGTAGCCGCCAAATAAAAAGCCTCTTACGTCATTGACATCTATTCACAAAAAAAACAAGACATTAAATGAACGATGAATGTGATTGGCAACTTTGCAACGAGGAAGAAGTCAGTTACTTTTGTCACTTTTGTTGCTTCAAACGAACATAATGCACAAATTACAAATGATGGACTGTACCTTTAAGGGACTGTGATAAGGTAGCAAGTCAATTCTGTTTGAAATAAATTTAGTAAAGAAAACTGAATGGAACGCCTCTTTCACAGCTTGATGGTTGTGCAATTGAGTCCCACTGACGCCACACGGACATGTCATCTGTTTCTCCCAATTCTATCCCATAAATCTTAGTTAACAAACACAAACCTGCACCAAAAGTAGGTGGACATTCCGATGCGTCAACCAGCCCAAGGACTCCAATGTTATCTATGCCGATGTAGTACACATGCCTGCCTGCATTCAAACTGATAAAAAAAAAGAGAAATTGTTAGCAGATCTTAGAAATGAAATGTCAAGCACTGAAGACTATGTTTGTTTCAATCACAAAGAGAGAATAGAAATTGGTTAACCTATCTGACCACAGTGTGACAAATGGTTTTCTGTGAGTTGGAATAGACATGGGCACAGGCTTTGAGTTCGGAAAATGCAAGGGGGGATTCAACTTGCTCCTCTTTTAGCTACAACACTGAAATCAGAGTCTTTTCTTCTCTCAGGGATTTAATGCATACATGTAGAAGAGTGTCCCTTTTTAATACTATGGTTCTCATTTCGGACCGACCCTTTTTTTTGGCTCCCGACCGAAGAAAAACAAAAGCACTTTTTTTATGCCGCTGACCCTGTGTTGAATTTCTTACTTAGAAAACAGAAGTGAAGAAATACGGATATTCTGTCCAATTTCGTGGGGAATAAACGCTGAAGTAATGTCCAATATTTTACGTGCAGGCATTCACAACGGTACGGTGCGGTACGGATTGAGCTGAGGTACAGTGCAAGTGCCACGCTGCCTTGTGTGAGCACTACATGTACGATGTTCGCTGGTCCTCACCATCCTGTTGCACGCTGTTGGGAACGAGCGCTGCGCGCCGCATCGGGGGCAACGTGAATTCAACTTGTTCAAATCCTTACAGCACTTTATTTGTCGTCGACGTGTAAGTGAAGTTACAAGTAAAGTAATACACAACTTTTTTAAGTTTAACCAACCAAAGCTAATTCAGAAGATTCATATATTCAACAGTTTGCGTCATTTTATTTAGCCTTTTCTACTTTCAACATGTACTTTTTTTCACCCCATATTTTTTTTTTTTGACCGACCGACCCGCCTTCAAGGCCAAAAAATAGGAGAACCAATTAAAAAGGGACGCTCTTATAAGACTACCATTAGGAGGTAAACTACGTCCCAGTTACCTGGTGCCAGCCCAGTCGATCACCTCATGCAGTCCCCCTGACAGCGCCTGCGGGTACGTCTCTTTGCACACCGTCTCATACATATGCATGAGGTGGTTGCAACGTATGGCCCCATCTGCTGTCAGGTAATGGCTGGCATCCTCATCTGGTACGAAGCCCAGCTCCATGCTGGAGGAGAGCTGACGCAGGGCATTCAGCATGATGATCTCCAGTAGGAGCTTGGTGGCCGTCCCGCCCTTCATGCGCGACGAGCCTGTTATTGCCTCTGGCTGTGAATGTAGGAATACAAGTAAATGTCATCAATTCTTCCATTCAGGGTCCAATTTCATAGACTGTATTCATGAGGAAGCCATTTCTGATCATGTTCCCTGACTGTATTTTATAAATTGTAAACTGTTGAATGGGAAGGTGCCAGACTATTTATGCATCCCAAGCCTCACTTTCAAATTTTTTTTAAAATGTGGCTTAGAATATTAGGGTATGTTTAATCACAATTTTTACGATTATTCATCAGGGTAGACAGGTATTAATTTCTAATAAACTTTATTTTTGTTGCTTATATTTCTATTTGCAAATTCCAAAAATTATGCCCACAAAAAAAACCTTTTTGGCTGCGATGTCGGAGAAGGGGGCGATACTGTTGTACTGTAAAGATTAATTACAGTTATATCATGGCAAATAGCTTCAGTAAACTTACCCCCAGGATAGGGTTAATGATGAAACCATTTCCCGCACTCTGAACATCAGATAACTTTGTAACAACTGCCAATCAAATGAAACAGGATAAAAAACAAGAAGTAAAATCTAACTAGGTGGCACATTACTGATAAACAGGGAAGCGAGAAATGCTATCATTGGAATTGCAAATAAACATAAAGCTAGTGAACCAAAAGGCATGATACCATGCAATACCAAAGGGTAAGAAACAGGACGATTAACAGGTGAGCTGCAAGTGGTGTACAAAAGGTGGTGCCTGAAAACCCTAGCTGTATTAAGCTGCTGTGTTCGGCAGGCTTCACACTCGTGCAGTGGATTTTATTACATTCAGCAGGTTACAAAGAGAAAACCGGCATGGAGATTATAGAGCTCAGCCCTACTCCTTAATACTTGGGTCACAATGACTGAATAGACGTTACCTACGATGTCATATGCAGCTGCAGGGAGGCAAAACACCTAACTGGGTGTCTTTCTTATGTTTTTCTTATGTCACAGGATACTGTTTACGTCCAATTTTTAAACCCATCTGAATTTTCAGGTGTATGCAGTGCAGATGGCTTGCTTATTTCCTAAAAAGGCGGTACCACGTAACCACATGCACTTTTGTAAACTAGTGTGATGACAAGGTCCATTTTGAGAAAGTACTGTTTTTTTCTGTTTTAGAAAGACTGACCACCCTGAGAGGAAGGTTTCATTTTATCCTTCTATGGGTGGGGTTATTCCTTATTCCGGTTTATTTTGGAGAGACTGACCAACCTGAGAGGAATGTTTCGTTCCATCCTTCTATGGGGTTATTCCTGGCCTGCTCCACTGGGTTGAAGCCAACGAGGACTGGGGTGAAGATGTCAAGATGCTCCATGCAGTACAGGAGCTGACCCGCCACAAAGGGTGCCTAGAAATGATCACGATCCAAACTTAACACTGGAGGATTCTGGACTGTTAGGATTAATGACTAAGCCTTCAGCACACAGTTTTAATATTTAATAGCCAACAGGACCCAATTTCATAGCGCAGCTATACAAAAAAGTTGTTCTTTCTAATTAGCAGAAAATCATGCTGCTGCTTAAGCACTATTTCATGGCGTGGATGTGTTAACGGTTGCGCGCGCAAGGAGATTTCTTTTGTTGCGTCACTGTTTTAAGCAACTTTTTCCTCTGGGGTTAAGCATGCTTTTGCTTATGGTCTCTATGAAATAGATGGGGCTCGGTAAGCACAAAATTGGCTGTTAAGCAGCGTTATGAAATTGGGGCCCGTTTAAAAAGGTAGTTGACTGCTCCTGTTCTGTTTATGGGACACGTATATGTAGATGAGATGTCCGGTACTACAATCTTGGTCAGCAGCTTATTAAAAAACATCAAGCACAATAAATTGTATACAATGTATCAGGTCGACTCTGCCAATCATTGCAAAAATGTATGAATTGCAGAATCATTTCTTGAATTTTACAGCTTTGAAAACTATGGCTAATTATTTTGGTGTTTAACTTTGTAGCGATAAATTGGACACAGTGATGTAAATGATGGAGACCTGCACCTTTTATAATTTCAACAAAGCTAAGGAATTATTGAGTGGATGCCTACTTACTGACAGACCGCATGATATGCCAATGTATAGAACCTTTTTCTTCTTTTTGCATATCTGAATGAAAACAGAAAAAAACAGACATTTATGGTAAAGTTACCTATACATGTACTAAAACAAATACAATATGGGTTACTTCAGGGAAGTTGTCCCAATTTACTGGTCTTTTAATCTTGGCTTATTTTGACTGCCAGCCTCCCATTTGACTACCTCTACATATTTTTTACTGTACTTTCCCTGAAATTAAGTTTTAGTTTAATAGAATGCCCACCTGTTGCAGTGCTTTCACCCCTGCCTGTGGGCTATCCTCGGGCGATTCCTGTGAAGTCAACAATGCCTTGTCATCCCCAGCGATGATATACTCACAACATGGCTTGTAGTCAATGTTTCTGAGCAGGTTGTTGATTGATTTCTGAAATAAACCAAATCATCATCATAGCAAGTGTTTCTACCCCAAATAAAACCAAACATAAAGGTCTGTACATGCTTAAAAGTAGAGTAGATCATTTGTCATTTGTGCATTTGTTTCGTTTGAAGCAGCAAAAGTGCTCAAAATCTATAGATGGGTGCTTAACCCTTTCATTTCCACATTGTTTATTGACCAAATTGTTTGCTCAGTCATGCGAAAATCACTAGAGCGTGAAAAAATGACCACAAGTCCAAAACACACTTTTTTCAACCCAGATTTTCACTGCTAAGAAGTGATTTAAATCATAGGTGTTGTGTGTAAAGTTTGTTCCTCGAACCTTACTCTTTTATGTGATGTAAAAATGAAGTCCATATGTGTAAGTATAAGAAAGTTATGCCTGTTTGTTCATCTGGTTCCATTTATCAAACTGCAAGCCATTTCACCACATGACCGAATGGCACTCCATACCTCAATTTGTGAGTGGATACTTCTGAAGCACTTTTCTCATTTTTTGTAATGGCAACACTACGAATAAACTACACCATTAGAACGATCTGAAAACACTCTTTCAGCTGGTATATGGTTGATGTATGGGCGGCCAAACATATCAACATGCCGCCTTTCTGAAATGTAGTGAATATATCTGTGTTGAGGGTGTTCTGTGTGTGGTTTCCTGGTCGACTAAAGTCGCCCATGGGAACCAGCAGGGGGGGTTCTTCTTGTCGACAAAAGTCGCCTATGGTAAGGAAAGGGTTAACGACTACCCTGATGAAGTCTTAGCTCTTTGATTGCTGTACATTCTGAGAAAACAATATTCTAGAATCTTACTTTCAATTCAAAAGTTGCAGAGATATATTTTGAATTGCGCCTGAAATCAGCATCTGTAACACGTTCTCATTCAGCTGATTGCGGCTACGCGATGTCACGCACTAGACCGACGAATAATAGTAACCACGCCAGCGCGCATGTGCGTCATGTCAATGCTTGCACGCACCCATTCATGGATTCGCCAAATTACAGACCAACTACTAACAGAAATGTCCCAAAATGCGTCACTTGACTCATCTTTAGAAATTATCTTCTTTTATTGTCGTAAAAATGACAGTTTACCGAGTAAGCCTTTTAACAATAATTTGGTCATTTACTTTTTGGAAATTTTCAAGCATACTTACTGAAGTCAGGAAACCAATTCTGCCTGATGTTCCGCAACCACTAAAGACAACACTCTCACAGGCTGGGTTCCTCTTCTGAATAAACATAGAAAAAAGTCATTTATAAAAAGCCGTTTCCTTATGATTCTATCAGAGAAGAAACTGACAAGAAACTGGGAATCCATATAAAACACAAGGAAATTCAGAGCTGCATAACATACCCTGCATTGTTTATGAATTGTTAATCAGGAATCAGTTGATCCGAGGAAAAGTTGGGAGCCCCTTTAAATACAAAAATAATTTAGTGCATCCTTTGAAGAATAAAATTCCTTCTTATTTTGTGGGGGAAAAATACCCATGTGACACAGATCTGTGCAGAGGGGGCATTGCCCCCCCCCCCCCTGGCAGTGACCAAAATGTTCTCAAATAAAGCCATTTATCACTTAAGAGAGCCCTTCTAACCCACCCCCCCCCACCCCCGGCAAACCTCTCCGCCCCCAGCAGTAACCTCTCTGGATCTGATAACATTTTGAAGCAGAATAATACAGAATGTCAATATACCTGCAAGATATCAACAACCTTCTCCGAAACCCTCTGCAAATTGAAGATGAGGTCATCACTGAAGATGTTGTTACTTTTGTAGGAGTCCCAGCCCTCAAAGATTTCACTGTCACACTGATGCAGAAGGCCGACTAAATCTGTGTAATCAAAACAAGTGTTGAAGTTCAAGTTACTCTGTCTCGTTTTAATGTGAGTTAACCTTTTCCAGGTCTTAATTTCTGGTAAGAGCATCATACAGTTGTAGGTTTAACTAACCCTCCTCAATCCTTGAAAATAAACCAGAGTTTTGGAGGATTTTGGAGGATTGAGGCTGAATGAAAAAAAAATATCAGCTGATTTTAGAGGTTGCGTTGTATTGAGGTCATAGGATGTGTATTACAGTGATTGTTGGAGGATTTTGAAGAATTGTTAATGTATAAAATGAATGAAAAATCCTTCCTCATCAGCTACGAATCAGATAGAAAAGTCAGAAATTTAATTCAATGATAGGTAGGATTTGATTTAATACAATTCGGATGAACGACAAAAATTTGTTGGAGAGTCCCAAATTTTCGGACTGATAAAAATAGTACTTTGTGTGTGCAATTGCAAAGACGCAAACCTTTTAAAAGTTCTTACCGTATGAAGAGCTGATATCGATGTCAACTGTGAGAGGGTTGCTTGTTTCTGTGATTGGAATCTTTATCTCCGAGTCTGTCATTGTTTCTATTCAAACAGCCACAAAGGCAATAAATGAGTCCCCTGAAAAAGAGTAATACAACTGTCACATCACTAATTCACAATACAACTTTGTTAACATGTGGATAATGTGTAGCCCTAGAACTACAATGTAGTATGGCGCGTGGAACCCTGACTAGTTCTGTGTGGAAAGACACTTTCTAAAGTAAAGACAATGAAAGAAACCAATAATCTTTTGAGATCTTTGAGGACTAAAAATGCTATACACCTGTTTATCCCTTTATCATGTTTATACATTATTTATTTACATTTATACATTATTTATTTACATGACCAAATTGACAAATGCAGTGCTATACTAGCCTGTGTGATGATGCAATGCGTATGCACGACAACTTAAAGTCAATGTAGCTGGAGTTACCCAGCCCTGAGTTTTATCATTGGGTTGTCTATTAGGGCTGGAGCGCATTTTTCTCGTAACTTGTAGTATTTGCAAAAAAAATTTGGAAAATGTTCAATTTTATCCCCGTTACACACTAATTGCAACTGCAACTCACCCCAAACTTGCCTGGAATAACCATTACACAGGTCCTTGAAGTAAAAAACGATCCACGATGAAGATTCAGCCTACAATTGCAGTGAAAACAGGAGGAATAACCGCTAACTTGACAACCTTGCTGGATTGGCCAGGACCGCTATTGGTTTGTGCACACAAAAAATTGTGTACAATGAATGGCGGTCGATTAACAGGCACAGAGAGCGATCGCTGTCAACTACTCGTTTTTGCCGGCTGCGCTGGCTGTTGGCGCATGACGTCACGCAGAAGCGTAACACCCGATGACTGTTTCATGCACTAATATAAGGTTTACCACTCGCATCACAGCTTTGGTACTGGAACCGCAACCAATAGTGCATGAAACAGTCATCGGGTGTTACGCTTCCGCGTGACGTCATGCACCAACAGCCAGCGCAGCCGGCAAAACAAGTAGTTGACAGCGATCGCTCTCTGTGCCTGTTAATTGACCGCCATTCATTGTACACAATTTTTTGTGTGCACAAACCAATAGCGGTCCTGGCCAATCCAGCAAGGTTGTCAAGTTAGCGGTTATTCCTCCTGTTTTCACTGCAATTGTAGGCTGAATCTTCATCGTGGATCGTTTTTTACTTCAAGGACCTGTGTAATGGTTATTCCAGGCAAGTTTGGGGTGAGTTGCAGTTGCAATTAGTGTGTAACGGGGATAAAATTGAACATTTTCCAAATTTTTTTTGCAAATACTACAAGTTACGAGAAAAATGCGCTCCAGCCCTAATAGACAACCCAATGATAAAACTCAGGGCTGGGCATGCTGGGTAACTCCAGCTAAAGTCAATGGTACAAAAAACTACAATGTACTACCAATTGATATAAAACAGCGGAACGTTTGCGTGATAATATGTACAAACTACAACGCGTCAACAGTATAACCAGCTTTACAGCCTTGTTTTACTTACTCACTGTTAGTGTTGGCAGAGTTTGGACCAATTGTTTATAATGCATGATACATCATAATCATCACACCAAAGATCCTACGTGGTCCATTATGTTGTCGTTATGACAATATGAGTACCCGGGCCGTACTATACTGTACTACTACACACGCCAGCGAACCGTACGCTATATCCGCATTCAGCCCACAGATCGCACATTGAATAGCGCCACCCTTTGGTCGCAGTAGGATGATCTAAACCAAATCTTGAGCTAAAACCGGCGTCTCTCACGGCATATCCGCATCGGCACTATACTCGCCAGCATCATTTCAAAGCTTAAATTTTGTATGTCAAAACTAAAGCGGACTGTTCAACACAATCAAATTGGCACAGTGGTCATCGACTTGTCTCACAACAAGACACAAAGAAAAACAATCTTTGCTGGATTGGATGACAACCAACTGATGCTGCATCATTCATTACCAGCACACTTTCCCCAAAAATGGTTCGGCCACCTTTCTATGCAAAGCCTCACTGGCCCATGGTTTTGTGCGTAAACCTTATCAGTCGGACGATCACACTCAATTGACTTCGGCAAAACCGCAAGTTCCATCATAAAGAATAAGTTAACCGGACCATTTTTTCCAAGAGTGTGATTCTAATGTTCCACAAATTGAAGAATGCGTTGCATGCAGACGGAGGATGACCGGTCGGCCGATCATGCAGAGGAAGTTGATTCAGCCATTGATAATGCACAATTCTTCATATAATGTTGGTACCAGAATACTCTGATTATCCTGATCGTCAAACAAAAGTTATCAATGTATCCCGACGTTTTCTTTCGCAACGGAAGCTTAATTTTTTCCCCTGGTAATTTTCTCGTGATAGTTTTCTTTTCAGTTTTTGGGGGTAGGTAGATGATTTGGGGAGAAATTTCCATCCGAATTATGATCACCCCTTAAAAATAGCCTTGAAGCCCATCGCCATTTTGAAAAAAACGGTGCCTGTACACTCCATTAAAAAATAGAGCGCTTCGGGGTCCCCATTTCATCCAAATTGCACAGAAATACAAGCTCACGTTCCTGTGCACGAACCTTCAAGTGCATGGCCCACAATATGCTCAAGTACTGAAGAATTTGAGGGCATGCAAATCGTGATTTAGCCGGCGTATGCAATTTCGGACCGCTTTACTGGTCTGCACCCTTTAAACAGTGCAGCTTTATTGCAAGGTCATCATAAGTTACCCACTATACCATCCCCACTTCCTTCACAAGATTCCGTGATCGAAGCTCATCATCCCATCCCTGCCCAGCGCCCTTGGGCCTGGTTGCAAGGAGGGGTAGGGGGCCGGGGAGGGGGAACCGGGTACGAGCGAAGCGCTTCACATAAAATAAAGATATGCATGCATCATAAACAGCGCCCCAAGTGTATTGGGCTGTCTTGGTTAATTTTGTTTTTGTCTATGTGTTTATGTGTTTTTTTTAAATTAAGGATGAGAACGTACTGTTGACATTATTTTCTCATGAAAATACAGGCTGAAGATGGACTGTTGGGGACAGCGATGAACGTTGATTGCCGCTGGTGGTCAGCTGGCGGTTTTGAAGCGGTAGACCGCCGGTGGTATTCCGCTGACTGCTTCTGATGGTCCGCTGGCGATTTTAGAGCGGTAGACCGCCGGTGGTATGCCGCTGATTGCCGCTGGTGGTCCGCCGGCGGTTTTGGAGCGGCAGGCCACTGGCCCTGAGGCATGCCACTGGCCTACCACTGGCGGACCGCTAATGGTTTGGGTCGGCGTGCCGATGCCGACAAGCCGCTCCCCAGCCACCGGTGGTCCGACGTTGGCTTGCGGATTGGGGACTCCCACGGTTTTCACCCATAATATATTTATAATTATTATAACAATAACACGGTCCGCCTGTCTGCATCAATCGGATACAAACATCTGACGGGCCTGGACCCCCCCCCCCGCAAAAATTCCTGGATCCGCCCCTGAATGCACCTGATTCCTTTTTAAAAAATAGCCTAATGGTGTTCCGATTGTTGCGTAACGTTGAGTATGTTTAGCACACGCGTATAAGCCTACGATTAACGAGGTAGCCGTATGGAATTGTCCAAACAAATGACAACAGTTTGCTCATTATTGCCCGAAATGTCGACTTAATTCGTCCATGGAGCCAAAACAGATGCACACAGCAATGTTCCACGTTTCTCTGCCTATTAAGACAAATAGTTTTTGACAAGAATTCCAAGGAAGCCGCATGGCCTAGTGGAGTAGATTCGTCGCCACGAATCGCGGAGCCCGGGTTCGAATCCCGTCGATGTCTTTTTCTGTTTTTCAAACCACGCATTCCGTCTTTATAAGATGTTTTATTTCCCGTCGTAAAATACCAACAGTACCTTAGCTTAATCGGTAAGCACTGCTGCTGGTACTGTCCGTGAGTTCCAGGTTGGCGCCTTCGTACAGGTTCAGGGCATGTGGTCCACTCGGGGGATCAGGGCTTAGGGTGCCGCCCTGTTCCTCCCTTAGCTCTTTGCTTTTACATGGTGCCTGGCCCTCCGGGGTTATATGGATGGATAGGGAAGGAAGTGTGTATTGGTCGGGGACGCCGAGACCCCGGAAGAGAACTAAGGGATTGGCTGGGGCATTGTTATGGCTCAGACCGATCCCTGAAAGCTTGACTAGCACATAACTTTTTGATTTTTTTTATCCTCTATCTTTTATACTTTGGTTTAGTTTGATATTTACATCTGCTTGGCAGATGAACGGTAGTTTTGAAAACGAAACAGAGGTCTATGTCATGAATCAATGTTCCATAATTGACTATAATTAAAACGGAGTTTCGTTCGATCAAAATGACTACCATTATTAATGGCGCAATTTCCAATTGACGTAAAAAACGCCATATTATTCCGGGGAAAAATAAAGATGTACATTGTAATATAAACATTATTTACATCTTTCAAATAACGTTTCTTTAATTGTGAACATTCCCAACAAATATAGTAATTAGCAAAATAGGTGAAAAAACGCAAAATAACAACGTCCATCACCCTTAAAACTGGAAATTCAAAATGAAAAACAAAGTCAAGTGGAATACAAGAATGTACATTAAGGATTGAATTGGGAAAAAAATCCATTACATGGGGCTTTTACTGACTTGGTTTTTACAGTCAGTAACATTGAGGGGCGGATCCTGAAGAATTTTTTTTTTGGGGGGGGAGGGGGAGGGGGGGGGGGTCCAACCCCTCCCCTGCTCTGACACAAAAAAGTAAAGCTATTCTACAGCGGTTATTAACACTAGGCCTATATCACAGAATATGCATATACCCACTAACAAAGCTGCCGATGTCCGTATTTTTGTGCAAAGCGGACATTATTACCAGTAAACAGTTTAAGCGTGTCAGAAAGGGGGGGGGGGGTGTTTCGCATTTTTTTTCAGGGAATTCTATGAATTGTTTTTTTGGACAGAACTGGGCATGGGCATCGCGAGGGGGGCAAGGAGGGGGGCGCTTGCCCCCCCCCCCCGGAAAAGCAATAAAAAAAAAATAAAAAAAAAAAAGAGAAAAAGAGGCCCCCCTCTAGAAAAAGTCCTGGCGACGCCCATGGAGATGGGGGACCCCCCTCCCCCAGATCCGCGCCTGCACCTCCTCGATCGTTTTGCGCAACACATGATCGAGTAGTGTGCAATGACATCGGGGATGACCCTGCATTTCTTCAGAAGCTTTCGGCAGCAGCACATGCCATCCGCCGCCGTCTCCTGCAAGGCTAACCCCTTGCAATTGTTGTCAATTTTGGTCAAAAAATGAAATTGCTCCAAACTTCCTGGAAAGACTCCTTAGGGACCCTGGAACACATTCCAACTCGATTCAGGGACAGATATATCATTAAAAAGAAATTCATATTTTAGCCTAATTTTATGAAAAATGTAAGGCTAACTCCTTGCAATTTTTGTCAATTTTGGTCAAAAAAATGAAAATGCTCCAAACTGGAACACATTCCAACTCGAGTTAGGGACAGATATATTAATCAAAAGAAATTTATATTTTAGCCAATTTTTATGAAAAATGTAAGGCTAATTACCCCTTGCAATTTTTGTCAATTTTGGTCAAAAAATGAAATTGCTCCAAACGTCCTGGAACGACTCCTAAGGGACCCTGGAACACATTCCAACTCGATTTGTGGACAGATATATCATTAAAAAGAAATCATATATTTTTATGAAAATGTTAGGCTAACCCCTTGCAATTTTTTTTCAATTTTCTTCCAAAAATGAAAATGCTCCAAACTTCCTGGAAAGACTCGTAAAAGACCCTGGAACACATTCCAACTCGATTTAGGGACAGATATATCATTAAAAAGAAATTCATATTTTAGGCAATTTTTATGAAAACTGTAAGGCTGTAACCTCTTGCAATTTTTGTCAATTTTCGTCAAAAAAATGAAAATGCTCCAAACTTCCTTGAAAGACTCCTAAGGGACCCTCGACAACATTCCCACTCGATTTAGGGACAGATATATCATTAAAAAGAAATTTATATTTTAGCCAAATTTTATGAAAAATGTAAAGCTAACCCCTTGCAATTTTTGTCAATTTTCTTCAAAAAAATGAAAATGCTACAAACTTCCTGGAAGGACTCCTAAGGGACCCTGGAACACATTCCAACTCGATTTAGAAACAGATATATTATTAAAAAGAAATTCATATTTTAGCCAATTTTTATGAAAAATGTAAGGCTAACCCCTTGCAATTTTTGTCAATTTTCGCCAAAAAATGAAATTGCTCCAAACTTCCTGGAAAGACTCCTAAGGTCCCCTGGAACACATTCCATTGCGATTTAGGGACAGATATATAATTAAAAAGAAATTTATATTTTAGCCAAATTTTATGAAAAATGTAAAGCTAACCCCTTGCAATTTTTGTCAATTTTCGTCAAAAAAATTAAAATGCTCCAAACTTCCTGGTAAGACTCCCAAGGGACCCTCGACAACATTCCCACTCGATTTAGGGACAGATATATCATTAAAAAGAAATTTATATTTTAGCCAAATTTTATGAAAAATGTAAAGCTAACCCCTTGCAATTTTTGTCAATTTTCGTCAAAAAAAAATGAAAATGCTCCAAACTTCCTGGAAGGACTCCTAAGGGACCCTGGAACACATTCCAACTCGATTTAGAAACAGATATATTATTAAAAAGAAATTCATATTTTAGCCAATTTTTATGAAAAAATGTAAGGCCAACCCCTTGCAATTTCTGTCAATTTTGGTCAAAAAATTAAAACGCTCCAATCTTCCTGAAAAGACTCTTAAGGAACCCTGGAACACATTCCAACTCGATTTAGGGACAGATACATCATTAAAAAGAAATTCATATTTTAGGCAATTTTTTTGAAAACTGTAAAGCTAACCCCTTGCCATTTTTGTCAATTTTCGTCAAAAAAATGAAAATGCTACAAACTTCCTGGAAGGACTCCTAAGGGACCCTGGAACACATTCCAACTCGATTTAGTGACAGATATATTATTAAAAAGAAATTCATATTTTAGCCAATTTTTTTGAAAAATGTAAGGCTAACCCCTTGCAATTTTTGTAAATGTTGGTCAAAAAATAAAATTGTTCCAAAGGTCCTGGAAAGACTCGTAAAAGACCATGGAACACATTCCAACTCGATTTAGGGACAGATATATCATTAAAAAGAAATTCATATTTTGGCAAATTTTTATGAAAAATCCCTGCCCCCCTCTTTTACTGATAAATCGAGAATGTGTTGAGAAATACAAGAATTTTTTGGGAAAAATTGTTTTGCCCCCCTTTAGAAAAAGTCCTGGCGACGCCCAAGGAGGTTGGGGACCCCCTCCCCAAGATCCGCGCCTGCACCTCCTCGATCGTACTGCGCAACACATGATCAATTAGTGTGCAATGACACTTGGCCTCCGAAAATCAAAAGGTGGTAAAGAAAGGGGGGGGGGGGGGGAGATCGCACTTTACTTTCAATGGGGGCGCTGTTCAAATCCGATGATTATTAACACTAGGCCTATATCACAGAATGTGCATACACCCCTAACAAAGCTGCCGATGTCCGTATTTTTGTGGAAAGCGAACATTGTTACCAGTAAACAGTTTTTGCGTGTCAGAGCAGGGGGGGGGGATTTCGCATTTTTTTCATGGATTTCGATGATTTTTTTTTTTGACAGAGCTGGGGGACCCCCCCCCCCCCCCCCGGATCCGCGCCTGCACCTCCTCGATCGTTTTGCGCAACACATGATCGAGTAGTGTGCAATGACATCGGGGATGACCCTACATTTCTTCAGAAGCTTTCGGCAGCAGCATGCGCCTTCCGCCGCCGTCTCCTGCAGTTCTTTTTCGGCTCTGAAAGATGGAGTTTTTTCGTGAGGGGTTAAATCTCACCCTCTCGAACAAAGCTGATGAAACTCGCCTCATACAATGATTTGTCGTGATTTGTCGACATGATATGAACGTTTAGTTCAATTCCATTTATAAACAACAGGGTTATTTAATTAAGAATAAAAAGTAGGACATATTTTTGACATGTAGTTCCAAAGGGAAAAAGTAAGGAGGTACATTTTGGGATTTTTATTTACAAAGTTGGGGTATACGTGGTTTTTGTGTGTGGAATCTTAAAAGATGGATTTTCAAATAGAGTTGATAATTTTCTAGCATTACATAAGTTTAATGAGCTTTCCAATGAGACGTTGCGCTAAAAAAAATCGGCCCATGACGAGCATCCAATTAATTAATTTCAGCTTTTGAATTAAGAGCGGGACGCTCCTAATTTGTTCTGAATAGCGTGCGAAATTTCTGGACTGCAGCGCGCCATTTAAAAACAAATTTTTAAACTGAATAAAGGCAGACAAAAGCACGCGAGACAATTTAGCACGTATGCCATATAGTACCAACTTTATAAAAAAAAAGTCATACTTTATGAAATGCGTCCGTGACGATGCAGTATTTCGCTGATATCTGAAAAATAGTTCAGTGCTGCCTTGCTGGATATTTGTTTCTCCTTTTACCGACATTCTAAGCGCCTATTTTACCCCCTCGGTGTATTGGAATAGGGGGGGGGGGCGGGGGGTTGCAGAGTGGCAAATTGCAACGGGCTACAGATTTTAAGAGCGAGCCAGGCGGGGACGCTGAAAGAAGCAAAATCGGGGCGGCGACGTCGGCCGGTCGGAAAAAAGCGTGCACGTCAGGCGGCAGGGATGAAGAGCGCCACCTTCTGTCCGAGAGTGTCCATGAGTGTCCGCTTTTAAAAGTGACCCTATGGGTGCAGTGAACTCACCCATATGATGAGTGCCCCAACTTCAGAAAGTCAGTAAAAACACTCACAAGTTACTCTTCAAGGTGTTCGAGACACCATCAAAATTAAAGCTCATTTGATCATCTTTCGTTTGAATCTTTCAGACGATTCGTAACCTGTTAACCGCATATCCAGCCGCTCGACTGCTGGGCGCGTACACACTGAGTGGCTCAAAAAAGTTAGCATTTTGGACGGTGAACCGGAATAATGTCACCAAAAAAGTTATATGTCACCATTATTTAATTAGCCCTGATGCTTCCATGCTAGAGCAAGAAAAATGTACCCCTATCTGCGATCCGCTATTCATGCACAATTCGATATAATTATAACGGGAAGTAATTGACTTCAAGTTCATGTATAATGGCGATCGATAAGCAGTGTGATCATCAGTCGGAGGAATATTTGCAAACATCAAAAAATAAAACTACCAAATCATTTTGAAATACCTTGCTGGACTGTTAGTGAATGACAGTGTAAAGCATCCTGTAAAATCATGGCACCTGGTATACTGTCATTTTCAAGAAAAGTGGTATTTTTGTATCAATTTCCAACGCTGATCGGCCGATCAGCGTTGGAAAAAACTGGCTTTTTTTCAAATACTGGCCCCAATTGACCATCGCACTTGTTTGCAATCGATTACAAACCTATGAACGGGTACAAGCCAGCTAGACTGGTTCTCTGACCTTACAATTCCCCAATGTATGTAAACTGCTCTGTTTCTTCTTATATGGAGTCAGGGAACCAGACTACGGGAAAATGATTGTTTTTCTTGTTTTTTTTTAGCATGTTCGAACCCAAAACCTCAAAAAAGTCAGTGTAACTATATTTGCTATATATTTCCAACCCCCCAATTCCATCCATTTCTGAAAATTACAGCAAAAGCAAATGATGTATATTCCCTTTTAATAGGCAAACATTTAAATTTCGCGCGTAGTCACAAATTGCCCGCGCGCCTATCATTTAATTGGCGATCGTTACAATGGTGCCAGATATCAATTCATTATCTGTTTCACCTGCAGCTTCATGTTGGTACAGGTTGACATGATTCGCTTACGTAACTCCGTTGTCTTACTTTTCCCGACAATAGGCCAATAGCATCCCTCCTTATATTTTGAGTTTGTGAACCCTTTCGGCACACACCCAATAAGGGCAGGTCACTGACAAGTGCAAATAGAGGTCATATGCATCCGCGTGATGACATCATGCAAAAACATTTGACATCGTTACCACATTTGCAGAGTAAACATCTTGCAAGAAATTTAACACCATCTACGAAATGCAAAAGAGGACCTTATTGTACTGCAACGCATCAATTATAAAAGACCAGGGATATTTTGGGGACATTTGTAGATTTATTTTCTTATGACTCACGCTGTCATTTTCGATGTGTGAGGCGTAATGCGGTTGACCCGTTCCTAGTATTATCATTCAGTCGGCAGTTCTGAGGCACATTTCCTTGTTGTGAGAGAGTCTCCACGGCATCAGATTTTACCGGAAACGTCAACTATTCTGGCCACTGTTTACATGTTACAGTAGGAAAGAGGAGGAAAGATAATTCCTCATCATGGGGAATTGCTGTGGAGGACCGAAGGAGAGGAATTACAACCCACAGGCCGGTGTACGAACAGACATCGGGGCGCAGCAACAGCAGCAACAACCGCAGGCCGTCAACTCCACACACAACCACCAGCCTCCGCAGCACAGAATACATCATGCCGATGCTTTGCCCCGCCAGACCGGTGGCCCATCGACATCGGTCGCCCCCGGTTTTAAACTCTACGTTGCCCTGTTTGACTATGATGCCAGAACCAACGAGGACTTGAGTTTCAGGAAGGGGGAGGAACTCGAGGTTCAGAATGACAGTGGGGACTGGTGGCTTGCACGTTCAAGAACCACGAAGAAGGAGGGGTACATTCCTTGTAATTATGTAGCCAAAAGGCAATCATTGGAATCAGAGCCGTAAGTATTAATGACCTTGAGGTTATAACACAAAGTTACTGTGAGTGTCAGTGTACTTAAAAAGTGCAGTTGCATAATCATTTTTATGAAATACTGTAATCATTTGAACTTGTTAACTAAAGTGCTAACCTAATTTAAAAAAAAAGGAAAGATATTAATTTAATGTACCGGTAGTACCGAAGTGTGCCATGTATTCTGGTTCTAGCGCATAGTAAAGTGTGTGAACCTGAACAAAAACAACTGGCGTCTGACTTTGGTACTCGATTTATAGTATTATTAACAATCAAGTTTATGAACAAAATTCTATATTTAATTTACACTTTGTTTTACGTTAAAACAAAATGACAAGTAGCCAATCAATGTAAGAAACCAAGGACACTGAAGGACAGGGCGATAAGAAGCAGTGTCGTCTTTTTAATCAATGACAGCCAGCTTACAATATAAATACAACAAGCAATTGGAGTTGGACAAGTTGCAACAGCCAATTTCTACAAAACGAAGAACGTTGGAGGTGGGTAGGCCACAGGTACTAGAGACAGGATTGTGGATGAGTATGACTACATGAACGATGGTAAGGCCAAAAAAAAAATAGTTCTGCTTCCGATTATGTGGCGTTTGAAAATAGGGTAGGTGTGTATGATCCTATGGCGGCGTCTGCGTGTAGTCAAGGGTAAAAGGTAGAAATCGATGGTTTTGGGTGTTTTTTACTTCATTTTTTCCATAAAAAAAATTAGGGTAAGGGCTGTCAGAATAGGGTAGGTAGGGAAACCGGAAGCAGAACTATTATTTTTTTTGGCCTAACAGGTCAACTCAAACCCCAAACTTGATAACCAGTATTAAGAGCCAACCAGTATTAAGTGACTCAAATCAAGGTCAACTTGTATCGGAGTCTAGGTGTACCCAGGCCAATCTCAAGGAACATTAGAGGGGAAATTGCAGATCGGGATAGTGATCCAGGTGTGAACAAACAGTCTGATGGGTAAAAAACATAATTGGTTGAAAGTTCAAGGATGGGAATGAGGAAAGGAGATTGAAAGAGGAGTGTGATGGCCTAGCGGTTAAGAACACCGGACTCACGTTCTGGTGTTTCAGAGGCAACAGTGACGTGGGTTCGAGCCCGCCGGCGGACACTTGTGCTCTTAAGCAAGGCACTTAACCATTATTGCTTCGTCCTTCGGATGGGACGTTAAGCCGTAGGTCCTGTGTGTTGTATAAATGCACGTAAAAGAACCCAGTAAACACTTATCGCTAAGAGAAGGGGTTTGCCCCGGTGTTTCTGGCCTCCTGTATAAACTCCCACGTGGAGTATTTAGGAGAAGAACCAACCAAGAACCAACCAAGAACCAAGAGGCAACATTCATGTATATAGTCATTCATTTGTTTGGTTTTACTGCTTCCTTAATCTAACGATTGGCAGGATACTTGCATATTATATCGGGAAACTTCAATGTCCATGGACGTGCCATGTCAAAAAGTTGGGCCTCTGTACATTGTCAGTTTGCACAGACTTGTTGGAGGAGAGTTGGGGTGGGGCGGCCTCATTTCCGATATTTGTCGGCATTGAAGAGCAGTTTTTTTTGTGAGGTCTGAAACTCCGGGCATGATATGACAACGGCAGCTGTCTTGCTAAAAGGTTGTGACGTTAGAGGTGCCGTAGATTTGGTGAATTCTGGCATTGGTTTAGTGAAACTTGTGTTCCTTACTAAGCTGTGTTGACTTGCAAAATCCACTACAGGCCATTCTGCCTTGAAAGCCCCATACACAGCATCCAAATGTTACTTTTGCTTTTTCAGTGGGTTCCAGTTTTGACTGGAATAGGTCAGTGTACTTCTAATCAGGCTATCCGGTTATAGAACTCGCAATTTTCACATAATCCAATGATTTATCAACAGTGTCTTGTTAGCAGCAAAACTTGTTCGAACACTGTCAACCCGGTAGTTAATAAATTCGAGGTCGCTGGTGTTGGGTTGGTCGTGTTATATTTGTGTTTCTGGCAGCCTGGATACTTGAATGTCTCGTGTTTTTGATGTCCATGTTGTTGATTTGGATTTACACCAAGGAGAGATAGGAGGTGTTGGGGTAAATGGTTGTGAGGTGGATATCATCGTCTTTCGTCTCTGAAGGTTGATCTTGAGACTAAATTTGATTGAAAAACGTCGTTGAGGAGGGCGGCAGCATTTTGGAGGGTGTGTGCAGTGTTGAGGAAAAGGATGAGATCATCAGCATATATCCGGACCAGGAAAGTTCGGATGTTGCTGATGGCACATTTAAGCAGTCTTTTATGCAGTCTTTTATGCATACTTCTGCAAGGTTGTGGGTGTGCTGGAAATGTCAGTGGTTTTGTCTTTTTGAGTTTTGACGCTTCATACAGAAAGGTTTTCATCAAGTAGTCCATGTACAAATTGTACAAGAAGGGGCTCTCCAGCCCCCCTTACCATACTCCCCAACTCTTGGCAAAGGTGGTGTCTGCCAAGGCATAGTACATGTAGTATGAAGTGGAGGTATAGAAATGTTCAAGCAGGTTTATCAGGGTTGTTTGGAGTCACAGGGGAAACATGAAGTAAACTAGTTGAACAAAATCATTGGACATTTATAATTGTTGACTTTTTGACTTAAAGGTATTTTATGAATGGGAGTAATGTGCTCGACTGGTATTACAAGTACGTTTAAAACAGGCTTGTGGCCTGGTTGCATCCATATGAAAAATTTGGAAACAGCATGATGATGTTGTGGTGGTTTTATAGTAATTACAGTGTACATAATGAGAACAGTGTATACTTTCTGTTTGCAAAAAAACTTTTTTGGGGGCAAATAATATTACACATGCATATTACACATCCATCATGTCCTCTTCATGAAGTGAAACAAGACAAATCTTTGTCGAAAATAGTTTTAAAAATTGCTTTGCAGAAAAAAGGATTAGTTGACATTGGTCGTGAACTTGAGTGCTTGCTCACTTTATGTACATTGTACTACAGATGTACATTACATTGTACTCTGTAGTACAAATGTATACAATACATTGTATACGTGTATAATGTTTTTGAAGGAAATCAAAACATATTTTTTTTCTATCTGTAAGCTTATCAAAATACCCTTGAGTCATATCGTATTTACAGTGACTTACACTCAAAACCAAAAGTATTAACCTGCAAGTATTGAGAAACAATCGTCCTTTATCCACATGTACATGTACATGTATGCTCATGACATGTATTTGGCTTTCCAAATTTGGTAACAATCTGTTCATTACATAAACACCACATGTACAGTAGGCATGTGTACATGTATGTAGGTTAATTATAGGTGCTGGCCATTCCATAAACAGTAATTTCATTGATACTATAATGTATTAAATCTGTTTACATGTACATGTTCCCTTTAAAGGGAATGTACATCATTGGCTTTTGCTGTAATTTTCAGACATGAACTATTTGAGGGGTTAGTATAAGAGATCAAATATTATTACACTGACATGTTTGAAGTTTTGCGTTCGAAAATGCTGGAAAAGCCAAGAAAAACAAAAATGTTCAAGTAGTCTGGTTCCCTGACTCCACTAAAGATAAAATGGATCAATTTATAGATGCCGAAAAATTGTAAGGTAAGGGAACCAGTCTAGCTGGCCTGCGCCCGTTAATGAACATGTAACCAATAGCAAACAAAATTTGGACTGAAAAAAAAGGGTAAATTTTGAGCAGAAGTTGAAAAATAGTTAGGTTTTTCCAACGGTGGTCGGCCGACCACCGTTGGAAATGTATACAAAAATACCATTTTCTTGAAAATGATTTTACACCAGGTGCCATAATTTTACAGGATGCTTTAGACTGTCATTTACCAACATCCTAGTAAGGTATTTCGTAAAAACTTGGTAGTTTTATTTTTCGATGTTTGCAAATGTTGTTTATTCCCTTTAAACAAATGCACACATGTGTACATTATGTAACTGCAGTAACTGTGTAGCTCATTATCCACAGATCTAGTGATGTACCCTGTGCAAAATTGGGCAGCCAAGATTGACATGATGTGGAATGTAACCAATGCACGTTATCTGTTTCACAACATGTTTATTAGTGCATTAGAATTATAATGTCATGCCTCAAATCTGATGACTCGTTTGTTGTTGCTTTTCCTGCAGATGGTATTTCCAAAATATAAAGAGAGTCGATGCAGAGAAGAAGTTACTGCTACCACAGAATGAGCACGGATCCTTTTTAATCAGAGAGAGTGAAAGCAGAAGGGGAGACTTCTCCTTATCACGTAAGAATGAAATTGTGTCTTACATGTTTAAAAATAAATGATACATCATGTACATGTACAACATAAAAATAGTATTACACCACTGTTGTACTGTTATACAGGTGACTCTGTACAGACATATATGCACATTTAATATTAAGAGGTAGCATACTAAATTTAATTTAACCCTAACCCCCCTAGTAGTTTCTCAGGACTGCCCTCCTAAATCCAGCAGAGTGCAACCGGAGTTTCCTGCTCAATCCAATGTGCTTTATTTTCAGTTGTCTGCTGAATCCAATGTAGTCCAACATGGCATTGTGATGTAGTTAAGTTGCCTGCTGAATCCAACATTTTGCATCAGGAATGTACCCAACAGGCTCATGGGCGTCGCGAGGGGGGGGGGGGGGGCACTTGCCCCCCCCCCCCCCCCCCCCCGGAAAAGCAAAAAAGCACAAAACCAAAAACAAAAGGGAAGGAAAAAAAAGGAGGAAAAAGAGGCGCGGAAGTCCTAGTGGTATAAATTTAATGGTGGGAGAGGGAGGGCAAAATGTCCCTGCCCCCCTCTAAAACTGATAAATCGAGATTGTGTTGAGAAATACAGACATTTTTTTGGCAAAAATATGTTTTGCCCCCCTCTAGAAAAAATCCTGGCGACGCCCATGAACAGGCTCCATCCTGTTGGATTCAGCAGGGTAAAAAAAAAGTGTGGCCTTCGTTTGCTTCCCAACCCCTGAAAAAGGGGAAATATATACCATGTGTATATATAAGAACGTATATATACAAAATATAAATAACAAAACCAAAATCCTCCCAAACAAAGGAAACCATTTGACTAGCACGTACATGTACGTGTAAAGGGAAGTTAAATCGAAAATAAACATTATTATAGACCGATTTGTCTCTAAGATGTCACTAGTGGTGGGATTGAAATCCAGATTTTTAAGATTCGGTTTGATTTACACCATTTGGTTTGATTTTGAAAACAGAATATATTCAAAACCAACCTTAACCCTAACCTCCCCAACTCCATCAAAATCCATCCCCCCATTTTTGTGGATTTTGGGGGGACTTGGTCCTGCAGGCCTGGTTTGACTAAACATTGAAGGAGTATGATGGACTTTGGCCTGGAGGCTTAAAGCAAAGCATGCATTGGAAGCAGTGTGATTGATGGATTTTGGCAGACTTGGTCCAATAGTAAAAGACAGTAGGGAGTTAGGGTTAAAAATACAACCTACCCCTTTCTGTAACCTGTAAGCTAAACTTGCTCCATGGTCTCAAATTGTAACAGTAGGCCTATTTGCTCACTAAGGCCAAAAAAAAAAAATAGTCGGTCTCTGGTCAGACCAAAGTTCCGGAATCGACGCGGCGACGCTGCTTTTTTTTTCTTTTTTTTTAACCTTGGATTGTACAGACAAGGTGGGGTACTATTTTGCTTTTTTGGTGTCCTCATGTACATTGGTGTCCTCCATAATTTGCCTGGGTGCTCTCGATCATTTGCCGTGGTGCAATTTCCCATTCCTTGGTGCTCTTTGGTAAAAAAAAAATGTGGAGGTGCGGCAATAGAGGGCACTGTTGAAGCTACCGCGGAACATTTTGGGGAAAAAAAAGATTGACGCGTATGATTAAAATCGAAGCGCGCGCTGACCAGAGACTGACTTATTTTTTGTTTTGGCCTAACAGTCTTTTTGGTTCATGAAGAGCCTGCCCATTAAACTGATCAGAGTGTAGGTTTTGTCGGACATTAGGCTGGTCTTGGTCAAAACATTGTGGGCCAATAGAATGGGCCTTATGCACGAGTTTGCCATTTTGTCAAGTTCCCTGAATGTATTTCATAAATTATGAACTGTTGAATTGGATGGCGCCAGACTATTTATGCAGGCATATCGCAGTTTTATTTTGCTGTCATTTTTTTTAAATCTGGCTTTAAACACGAGGGAATGTTTAATTACAAATTTTAAATTATTTATTGAAGCAGCCTTGAATTAATTAGTAATTAATTTGCTTTCATTTTGCTTCGCAAGCTCCAAAAATTAAGATTTTACCTCACTTTCAATTCAATATGGCCAACTCGTGCATAAGGCCCATGGTTAATTGTAAGTGATAAAACTCCTCTCACTATTTAAAAGAACATTTGCAGATCCCATTTAGCATTTGGTGTATTATGTTTGACTTTCCCAGTACGAGATGGCGATACTGTTAAGCACTACAGAATACGGCAACTTGATCATGGAGGTTATTTCATTGCACGGCGATCTACATTCACCACACTGACGGATCTTGTCAAACACTACACAGTGGAAGCCGACGGGCTGTGTGTTAACCTCCGTAAACCATGTGTATTGGTAAGATGGTCATGCATTTTTAAATAGTAATGTAAGGCCAAAAAAAAAAAGTCTCCGGTTTCTGGTATGCGCGCGCGTCACCGTAGCAATGCGCGTCGGCAAAATGAAAAAGTTTTTTTTTCAATGAAAGATGATGTCTCAAAACCGCCAAACTCACTGGTTTGACTGAAATCCTGCTGCTGCACAATTTTAACGTGTCTTTAGATTGGATTATGGTCGAGAATAAGGTTTATGTGGCCTCTCTGGACTCCCATATATTTGCACTAAGTTTAGTCGGGCACCATTTGCAGTCATCAGCCGACATTTGAAGCAAAAAAATCAGGTAAAAAAAAAAAGCCGCGTCGCCGCACCACTTTTTGGGCAAGCTCCATACCAGAAACTGGAGACTTTTTTTTTTGGCCTAATGTGACTTGTTGGTTTCCAGTAAAGCCAGCAATCTGAAACTGGAATGGTCATGAAGAACATATGTACCTAATTTAGTATTTGCAACTTAACTTTGTTTGTCATATACACTTTTGTACATGTACATACATGTAGTGTATTCAAGATTACACAAACCTAGTGTGCTTTCATAATTTTGTAGGGGAAAAAAAAACACGAGATGTCATCCATTATTTCAATGATTATAATCAGACTCAGTCTACTGAAACAGTCCCATCTTGATATATCACAGAGAACGTGTCAAGATATTTCCTCACACATGAATATTCTTGTTTAACTTTCAACTTCTTCAGGTGGAGAAGCCACAAACGATTGGCTTGTCCTACAACACGGCTGACCAATGGGAGATCCCTAGGAATTCTCTGCAGATGGTCAAGAGGCTAGGAGGCGGTCAGTTTGGTGAGGTGTGGGAGGGGCTGTGGAACAACACAACTCCGGTGGCAATCAAGACGTTGAAACCAGGTACATTTGAAGCAAATTCTCACAAGTCCAGTCATGGTCACAAATTGATCCACAAGTCCAGTTAACCCTAACCCCAAAGGCCATTTTTGCTAAGAACATCCTCAATCCTCCAAAATCCTCCAAAATTGTGCACTTATGTTCAAATGAAGGATACCCAGCGCCTCAATCCTTTAAATCGTCAGACAGTCCTGCCTAAAAAAAATGCATTCATCCACAATCCTCCTCTTCTTCAAACACCATTCATCCTCAATCCTCCAAAATCCTCCAAAATTGTGCACTTATGTTCAAATGAAGGATACCCAGCGCCTCAATCCTTTTAAATGGTCAGACAGTCCTGCCTAAAAAAAAATGCATTCATCTTCAATCCTCCAAAATCCTCCTCTTCTTCAAACACCATTCATTCTCAATCACCCAAAATCCTCCAAAATTGTGCACTTATGTTCAAATGAAGGATACCCAGCGCCTCAATCCTTTTAAATCGTCAGACAGTCCTGCCTAAAAAAAATGCATTCATCCACAATCCTCCTCTTCTTCAAACACCATTCATCCTCAATCCTCCAAAATCCTCCAAAATTGTGCACTTATGTTCAAATGAAGGATACCCAGCGCCTCAATCCTTTTAAATCGTCAGACAGTCCTGCCTAAAAAAAATGCATTCATCCACAATCCTCCTCTTCTTCAAACACCATTCATCCTCAATCCTCCAAAATCCTCCAAAATTGTGCACTTATTTTCAAATGAAGGATACCCAGCGCCTCAATCCTTTTAAATGGTCAGACAGTCCTGCCTAAAAAAAAATGCATTCATCTTCAATCCTCCAAAATCCTCCTCTTCTTCAAACACCATTCATTCTCAATCACCCAAAATCCTCATGGGCTAAAGCACAATTCATCCTCAATCCTCCCAAATCCTCATGTTTCTCAAACACCATTCATCCTCAATCCTCCCAAATCCTCATGTTTCTCAAACACCATTCATCCTCAATCCTACAAAATCCTCCAAAAACGCCATGAGGATTTTGGAGGATTGAGAAGGGAATAGGGCTAAACCCCAACAGGAAAATGGTGTTACATGTACATGTACACAAACCTTGATTTTATTGTCATTTGAAGGAGGGAATATAAAATACGTCAAATATTTAATAGGCAACTAATTTCGCTCCGCTGCAGGAAGAAAGCCTCTTCACCAATTTTCCATCTCACTCTATCTTGAGCCGTCTGTTGTCATGCAATGCCGTTATATGTTCTTAGTTCATCCCTCCATCTTCTGTTTTGTCTCCTTCTTTTCCTGGTTTGGTTTCTTGGAGTCCAATTGGTTATTTCAACTATAACAGGTCCAAGTTTAGGTGTTTGGTTTTAATTTGTAATTCTTTGTGATTTAAATCCACCTTGACAGGTACTATGAACAAAGACGACTTCCTCAAAGAGGCTCAAATTATGAAGAAGCTGAGACACCCGAAGCTGATCCAGCTGTATGCTGTCTGCACCATGGAGGAACCCATGTACATCGTTACAGAACTCATGATCAATGGGGCCCTGTTGGACTTCCTACAGACATGTGAGTATTTAACTGACTGTTCTCGTTTATATGACCTGGGTGTAACAGGTGTATTAGGGTTCACCTGTCATGGGAAAATCTCTAAGGTATGTATAGCCTTATCTTTTTTATTTATCTTTTACATGTACATGTACCTTGGACAGTCTGCACAAACTAAACACTTCAAGATACTGTAATTTACAGGGGATCTTTCCACATGTACATGCATATGTGCTACCTTGTTTGTTCAAGGCACTGTGTGTTTTTTTATATTATTTTTATTTCCAAGAAATGAGTGGCCTAGGTCAGTCTTTGAAGATAATCAAACCGAAAGAACAAGTATGAATAATACCCCTGTTATGCTTTCACATAAATTCACATTCACATTACGGGAAACGGTACCTTTTGGAGACAATTTTGCCTCTAAATAAGAGTTGTGACATTAGAGAGACATTAAAATGTCTCTTTAATGTCCCGGGTCCCCCTAAGGTATAACTTGTGATGAAAATATTTCCTGAAGGGCTCATTAACAGGAATTTTAAATGCAAAACACAATCAAGGTCATGATTATTGCTACAAGTCAAACATTTGTTTGTCAGAAGTCAGATTTTCCTTTGAATGGACCATTACCGATTTTGCAACGAGCCCCACCCACCATTGGTTTCTGTACATTTCACACTGTGCTTGTGAGCGAGTCTGAATGAGCTGCTGTGGTCACATGACTAAATGTCATGATGTAATTGGTCATTGTGCGCTCTTTTATTGACTGGCAAGGATACATTCAGTGTCTCAACAATTGTACACATATTTTTTATCCCCCTGGCTTTTAAAGGCACACTAGGTCCTGGAACAGCCCAATTGGGCTACAAAACGCGCTTTGAACGAGATGATGATAATCAGAAATAACTTCAAAAGTAGGATATAAACATCCACACAACTATCCTTTCAAAACTAGGCGTTTTTGTGTTATTCCTGTATTATGCGTGCGAGAATGAATTTCGGGGTCCACTTTTGCGACCCCATAAATTCGAGCTGTTTGGATGCTAGTTGTGACGCGTAAAGTGTTCGCCTTCTGCGGACGTTGAAGAAACCACAATTTATTGCATTGGTGATTGGTCACCGCGCACTGTTCCCGAGACCCACAATGTGTATAGCGTACATGAGAACGACACGAAAAAAAGTATTCGTACTCCGTCATGTCCGATGTAAACAAGTGGTGTTTTTCGTCTTTTCTCGGGAACGGTAAGACATTAGGTTGGTTTCCTTTCAACCAGATGTTTGAAATAGGCTAAGTAAACAATCCAAAACATAACATTTTCGGGCATTTCAGGACCTAGTGCCCCTTTAAGCCAACAAAGGGGGATCTTGCGATAGTGTGTTCCTTCTGTGTGTCCATGTATTCCATTTTGGTTAGGTTAACTGTTTAGTGCTGTCATATGAAAAGTCAGACTTCGATCTTAACCAAACTTGATGACAATAATCTTTGGTTATGGGGACTTCAGATGACTTGAGACATTTGAGGTCAAAGGTCATCTAGGGGTCAAATAAGGTCATTGTTGATTTTGGTTAAGTCAACTGAGAAGTATGTTTACTAACTGACTGTATTAATCATAGAGCAAGGTATTAATACTGCCAGGATGCCAGGGGATCGTGCAGGTTTAACTTGCAGTATTTTTTCCCTTGTATTTGACTACAGCAAAGGGTCGAATGTTGAAGCTTCCAGAGCTGATTGATACGGCGTCGCAGGTGGCTTCCGGCATGGCCTACCTGGAGAAACAGAGCTACATCCACAGGGATCTAGCCGCCAGGAATGTCCTGGTAGGAGAAGCCAATATCTGTAAAGTGGCAGACTTTGGCCTGGCAAGAATCATCAAGGTGGGTCCATTACACCTAGACTGATCCCTTACACCTAGCACACTCAGTGTGCCAATTGCGTCATACGCAAGTGCCCACATGTCAAGACATTTCTCAAATATTTAGCTGCACAGTCATGTGTCGAGTACCCGGTTCCGATGCACAAAGAGGAACAAATGCTTCTTGTAAAAACTCTCCACAGAATGCAGTGGCCTTTAAAAAAGAAAATATTTGAATAATAATAATATTGATTTATATAGCGCACATATCAATGACACAGGTTATCAAAGTGTGTTACAATGTTATTACCCCTGCTAACCAGGCCAATGAAAGCTTTCCAAAGACTGTCATTTTTTGCAGTGATCATGACAAGTGACGCAATGATGAGACCCCTTCAGTGATTTTGCAATAAATGTATAAAGAGGTTGTTATTTTTGCACAGATTTGAATGACTATTAACAGTTTCAACATTAAACATACATACTTCATTGTGTTCGGTGTTTCAGGATGATATTTATGAGTCTCGTGTTGGTGCCAAGTTCCCAATCAAGTGGACAGCTCCAGAAGCAGCTAACTACCTTGCCTTCACTATCAAATCTGACGTCTGGTCCTTCGGAATTCTACTCACAGAGATTGTCACATATGGCAGAATACCTTATGCAGGTACTGTTTTATTACGAACACGACCAAGTGACTGCTTGAATGAGCAGTAACCCTTCTTTGGAAACATACATTCTATGCCAAGTTGTCCAATCAAATGACTGTTTTCAACAGTTAAGAATTCCCAGCCTATATAAAGCAGGATTGACTGGCTGTGACTGTTTATGTAACTTGATACAGCTTTGCTTTGACTTACGGTGATTGATAAGCCAGCTGTGCCCACAACTTGCCTGCATGGTCTGTTGATTGAGTTTGACTAGTCACAGTGTTTTCATGACATAGCAGGCATGAGAATCTTCCTGTTTAAACAGGAACTTCTGTTTTTTGGTTGCCCAAGCTTTTCCACGTTTTTATTTGCTTTGAATCTGCTTTGGTGTTTTCTTTGCCTGATTTCACATCTTTTTTCCTGTTCTTGCACAAATTTCCTGTTTCCTAATGTTGCTGTACTCTCCAGATAAGTTAACTTGTGAACAGACTGTAGCCCAGTGGAGTTTACATGTAGTGGGGGATGGGTGTGCAGTTTTCTGGGTGATAAATCTGTCTTTCAGTTGTGAATATTGCTTTAGATTTGCAAACATTTTTTAACATTATGATTATTTTATGATTTTTCATCCATTTTGTTCTGCAGGTTACACCAATAAACAAGTACTTGACATGGTGGAGACGGGTTTCCGTATGCCGTGTCCGCCGGGATGCCCCCCGGAGCTGTACGACATCATGCTCGAATGCTGGAAGGCTACTCCGCTAGACCGACCGACGTTTGAAACTCTCCAATGGAAACTAGAGGAGTTCTTTGTCAACACTGGTGACCAGTACAGGGAACCATCTGGCATCAATTGATAATGGTTGGGATGCGATTAAATAATTCCTAACACCCGGTTCATATTCGGCGCGAAAGCGAAAGCAAACGCGAATTTGTGACGTCATGGTAAGTATTCGCGGTGCGAATTCGTGAAATCAACATATTTCAGCGAATTTCGCAGCGAATTCGCTTCGCATGAAGTATGAACCTATCTTTATTGTGGTATGAGGGAAAGGAATATGCATTAAAAACGTAGATTAAACCAACCATTCTTAAAATACAATAAAATTTCTAGAAAATCAAGTATGTGAATTTTACATGCTCCAATTGTTGGAGGTAATCAAATCAAATACTGACTGGCTGTAGTGTTTTTGGATAGGTGATGGCAAAATTAGAACCCGTCACTTAAGTGTAATGTGACCTGTGTCCATCTTTGTTTGGGGGATTACAGTGCGATACAAAAAACATAACGGAAGTTAGAACTCATGTATCTGAACATGAATCGGTTTTGTACTCTAAGTAAACAATTTTGTCTTTACAATAAAAAATATATTGAAAATGCTGCTATTCCACTTCACGTTAGAGTAAGTATTAGGTCGTGTCCGAATTACTTGGCCACGGCTTGAAATTACACATGTCTATGGGCTCTGTGCGCCAACAAAAGAGGGTGCGTTTTTACCTTTTTTTGAGAGCTCCGTGGACGGGACACACAGCGTGCGCGTACTGTACTGTACTGGTTCGCGTGCGAAGTACTCACGACTTCCTGAACATGCTGAATGTACAAAAGATATAGCCACTGCGTCTTGGCGTGAGCGTCAGGCGTCATCGGCGCGGGAATACCTTCAAATTCAACTTGCAATGGTCTCCGAGACTAATCCCCGCCTCCAATAACTTTGGATACATTCGAAATACGCAGTGGATGGATCGGGAACCAGTCTAGGTCACCCCCAACTCTCCTTTTCTGGGCGTTGATGGGGTACTTCTGCACGAAGCCCATGGTAGCGGCTGCAGCCACTTCCCATAGACTTGTGTGTAATTTCAAGCCGTAGTCAAGTAATTTGGACATGGCCAGGGGCGGCTCGAAAACTTTGCTGGCTAAATAAGGCCATCTCTGAATCATTGTGTGTATGGCTATGGCATTGTCATTGATCCATACCTGTCAAAATCCATAGCCCTGAGCAAAACTGATTTAAGCATGGCCTGCAGTAAGCCTCTGTACTGATGACGTCACACTTTGTTTACGTGTGTGCTTTCCTATGGTGCTCAGTGGACCGTGGGCCCCCACTGGCTCCATAGGAACAAAGTGTGACGTCATCAGTACAGAGGCTTATTCAGTCAGCCACCCTGTCTTAAATTGAAAATGTCCCACAGGTGCACAGATGTATGCTCACGGTATCACATTCTTTAAAAAATAGGGAAGGCAACGATTTGCAATGACTTCTTGCTTCATGATAACAAAAGTAGAGATTGCGCTGTAAACTACACACTTAGATACATAATACAATAAGGTATGTAAGAACAAAGGCATGTCCTCAGTATTGATAGTTTCCCCTCATTTACACAAAACAACTTTTCTTTCCATACACTAATGTCATGTACTTTGAAAGTGAGTAGTTGGAATGGTTTTGAAAGACAATTCCAAGGGAATGCATGTACATTGCCCTTTGTACAAGTACAGTTCTATCTGTTGTCTGTTTTTGTAATCAGCTGTCTGGAGAATGTCCCTCATTTGCAAATTGTGGGACGAATTTGTGTTGATTTCTGTCACTTTGCACAATGATTATTCTTGTGTGCAATGAATCAGTTTGACTTAGCTTGGCAGCTTGTAAAAAATGCAGAAAAAAATGGTACTTTTCCTTAAAAAGAAGAAAATCAGATTTGATATTTGTAACCAGGCAGTCAGACTTTTTGCATTTTAAGTGTAATATAAATCATATATGCTAAAAGGTTACTTGTGTAAAGTCATTCGGAACTTGAGCTATTTTTACTATTTAAATTATATGTGGCTTGTCAAGGTACTAGACTCTTTGTTTTGGTTAAAAGGGGAAAAGAGTGGTTGGTTCCTAGAAACTAGGAACAAAGATGTGTGAAATGCAGGACAGGCAGTTGTTTCCCCAAGGATTTGATAGAATAGTATACATGTACAATAGAATTCATTGTCCTTAAACAGTTGGTTAGAATGTTCCTTACAAAATTCAAATAGTCACTGAATTATGGTTCTCGACAATTTATACAATACATGAACAAGTGGTGATATGCACTTTATAAGTACTATGATTATTATTATTAATGGGATTTAGAATTGGGAGAAAAACCTTCTGACCAACTTCACCCTCACATCCGCTCTTCACCTGACATTAAGACTTTCAAACTGGCACTGGACAACATCAACATTCAAGACCTGGCTCCCAAAACCCAATCAAGAATTTAGTTGCTGCACACCTGACCCTGACCAACGTACGTCGACAACCTTCTAGGTGTTTGTACGTTTATGAAACAGAAACAGATTGAACCTATCACTGGCAACAGTGGTCATGATTACACAGTTCATCTGTACACACAGTAATGATTTTCATAATGGCACACATGGACACGCATGGTGTGATGCATCAAGTCAGATCCTGTAATTTGATTTAGTTCTGCATTATTGTTTTACAAGAGGCCAGACTCTACATGAAGATACCTTGTTAAAAGTGTAAGAGTATCCGGCAATAATTATTAATGTGACATGTCCGCTCTGAACACAGGTTTTTCAGTTCTCAGTTACTTTCTGCTGGTTTAGATTTTGTCATTTATAATTTTTTTGTAAATTTTCTTATTTTTAATATGCTTATTGTACCTGTCATGAGTCTGATTAATTTCACTGTTAGTCAGTGACGAAACCAAGTACTACTGCATGCTGATTTCCAGACCCATTTTTATCTACATTTATGGTCAAAACACTTCATTTGTAATGCATGCTTATATATTAAAGATTCCTAAATTATTATAAAATAATACGTTCTCGGAAACAAATGTCTGTATATAAGTAAAGTAATCTCTTTCTTTTTTTTACTCGGCAATGAAGAATGTGTCAGGTTTTAAAATGTCTTTTCACATTATTTTTGGGATGTAAGTTGCTGTACATGTAGATAAAGTGGGAACAAACATGACCGATTGATTCAATTTTAATTCTCTTGCCAAGGAATTTTAATGTATTTTGCTTTTATATGATAGGCAAATCTGAGACGATACAGAAAAATCTCACTGTTTGAATCGATGTCCTATAAACCTAGGGAATAATTTTGAAATAGTGTGGTGATTTCGTTTATATCATTGATAAGATTGATAGCTTCTGAAAACATGCATTTGAATTTTACTGAACAGTTCTACCTAGTTCGTGGTGGTTGGCTTTTGTTTGACATCTCATTTTTACTTTTTTAAACACTTTTCACTGCTTTATTTGTTTAAAATTATAATGTAACATTTTATTGACTTCCCAAATGCACTTGTCATGATACTCTACAGGGTGCCCCCCAAAAGTTGTGGAAGCAGATATCCCTTTATTTCTCAAAAAGTACTGAACAGCAGTATTTCATCTTGATGGAGCATATTAATTATACTCTTTGTGTATTATTCAGTATTAAAAATGCCATGGAAATCCATTCATGCAATCCAGAGAGCTAACAGATTGTAAAAAGCTATGGGTTTTTCACCCATTCCAAGGAGATGGGATTTACACAGTTAAAGGGAATATACAGCATTTGCAAACATCGAAAAATAAAACTACCAAGTTTTTGCGAAATACCGTAATAGGATGTTGGTAAATGACAGTCTAAAGCATCCTGTAAAATTATGGCACCTGGTATACTGTCATTTTCAAGAAAAGTGGTATTTTTGTATCAATTTCCAACGCTGATCGGCCGATCAGCGTTGGAAACAACTGGCTTTTTTTCAAATACTGGCCCCAATTGACCATTGCACTTGTTTGCAATCGATTACAAACCTATGAACGGGTACGAGCCAGCTAGACTGGTTCTCTGACCTTACAATTCCCGAATGTATGTAAACTGCTCTAATTCTTCTTATATGGAGTCAGGGAACCAGACTACAGGAAAATGATCGTTTTTCTTGGTTTTTATAGCATTTTCGAACCAAAAACCTCCAAAAAGTCAGTGTAACTATATTTGCTTTATATTTCCAACCCCCCAATTCCATCCATTTCTGAAAATTACAGCAAAAGCAAATGATGTATATTCCCTTTAACTTAATTTACATCAGAGTGAAAAGGCTCATGACAATTTGATGCACTGATATCACTAACTGTGTAAATCACATTGGAATGGGTGGAAAACCCATGGCCTTTTACAAACTGTTAGATCTCTGGTTTGCATGAACGGATGTCCATGGAATTTTCACTGATTATACACAAGAGTGTAATTAATATGCTCCATCAAGATGAAATACTCATGTTAAGTAGTGTTTGAGAAATGAAGGATATCTTCTTGCACATTTTTTTTTTTTTGGGGGGGGGGGGGACACCCTGTATACCTAAATGTACAGACACTTAAAAACTGAGACCCATCTGCAGGAGTTTTCTTGAATTTCAGAGCGACATTACAAAAAATTTCAGTAGTCCAATTTTGTTTCCTTCAAGATATGGGTCAGGGCTGTTCAATAGACTTTACCCATAACTCGGCCATATTTAATTGAAAGTGAGGTAATCTCTTCATTTTTGGAACTTGCGAGGAGAAACCAAAGCAATGAACTAAAAGTTCGATACAAAATAATACCATGCTGCTCTGATGAATAATTTAAAATTTGTGATTAAAAATACCCTAATGTTTTAAGCCATATTTAGAAAAAAATCAAAAGAGAGGCTTGGAACGCACTCCAATCATAAAATAGTCCGGCACCATCCCTTTCAACAGTTTACAATGTGTAAAATAGCTTCAGGGAACAAGATCGAAAATGGCTCCCTTATGAATAAGGTCTATAGTCAATAGTTTTAACTTAGTGTAAATGCTAATGTAGACATAACGGCAAATGCCAGATGTTTTTGTATTCATTTCATCATTATTTATGAGCAACTTATATGTTGTAAACAGATTGTTTAAAATGGAGCAGTAGCATGAGTTATTCATGGAGATGTTTTTTTATAAATGAATTAAGGGGAAACAATTACTGAAGATGCAATATATTCGGGTATCTTACTTGCTTTCACTGATTTTAAGGTAACAAATCGTTGGGTAAGAAAACAGGATTGTATTCGTTGTTTTTATTAAGAGTTCATTTTGAATGGCCTGTATATTTCATGCAAATAATTCAGAGAGAAGCAAATTGAGTAGTTTAAAGCGAATGCTACAGGGAAACTATCAATGTTTTTGTCTTTGAATTTATTTCAGTTTCACATGAAGTACAAACAAAATCTTCATTGTAAAGTGTTTAGAATTCAGATGATGGAAAAATGTTGCAACCTGACGCCTTTTCAGCGGTTGTGTACAAAGGCTACGGAGAGTAAAAAAAAAAAAGTATTTCTAACAAAATTGGAAATGTTTCTCATGTCTTATCATTTTTGCAATGACTGACCTTCATTGAGATGGTATATGAAGAAAAAAGTGGCATCAGGTTGCAACATTTTTTTCCCAGATGGTTTATATAAATATAGTTTGCATCATTGATAGACAATCTGGCTCTTTTCAAGCCTGTTTGAAACACTGCATAGTATTTCTTTTCCCTTGGGAGGTAGGTCATTGCTACTGATAGTACACTATTAGGGTGATTGCACCAATGGTCCAGTTTATGAAGTGCCAAAAAGGAGTATTTTTGTTCATTCTGTTTTGTAGAATTACATGTTAAAAGTCCTCCATTCACGAGAGTTGCTTGTAGAAAGGGGTTATTAGCTAGCGCTTGTGAATACCTTGTCTTTTCTATTTATGTTAATCGGAAGAGATTTTTTTGATATTTGTACTAAAGAATATTTTGCTTGTTTTAATATACATTGTCGTGAAAAAAACCGACAGGTGATAAATTTTTAAATATAACCTGCACCAGAGTTTTAATCATTGTATGTTTTTGTCCTCTCGGGGGAAAATGGACATGTCATTTTGTTTTAGTTCTTTATCCCCATACAAACTTGCTTTGATGAAGAAAAAAAAATGAAAGCTGTTTTAAATAATTCACAATCTTTTTCACATAATTTTAAACAGAACAGAAAGGAGAGAATCCCATTCAAAATATGTTTCATTGTTTGACCAAACACGTATGCCTAATTCCCCCCATAAGATTAATTGCCTTGTTGCAAGCTTACACTGTTTGGAAAGTTTCAATTTCCATCTTGTTGGGAAATCAAATAAACATTTACAGTTCAGTATTCATGGAAAACGGCACATAATAAAATTATTTTCAAAATGCAAACATTTACCTGTTATAAAAAACTAGGCTTGTCCGGCAATGAAGTTTTGGAGATGTATTTTTAACGTAAGGATATTGCTGTATGATACATACTTGGGCAATATACTCTAAAAAGAAAAATGTCTTTCTAGAAATTTAACTTCTCGTTTGTTTTCCTATTTCATGTGTACAGATTTATCGATGTGATGTTTTGTACGATGTGGTTGTTGATAGATGCCCGTCGTACACAGCATTGAATTATAGCAATTTACAAATATTCACGCTCTGTTCATTGCAACACAAAGTAGAGACAATTGTACATGAGTAGTTGGGCAACTGTGGCAGAATGAGACGGATTGAATATTATACATGTACTTGATGTTTCTGGTAATATTAAAATTTTGCTTATGAATGTGGGCACATAATTTGAACAGCTGATTATCATGTGGAATTATTTTGCTAGAATTGTGTAATAGGTGAAATCCCATAATGGGTAACTATAAAACCATTTTTTTGTGGACTCCGATACTACATACAAGTAGCAGTGGAAGCAGTGTTATTATTTGACATTTATTTTGTGTATACTAAGAAATGAGAAGCTGTGAACATGCTCAGTAAAGTCATTGCAAATAAAATTGATTAAAAAAAATGAATGAAAAATAGCCTGTGGTGTGCATTCCTTGTCTGTTAAAAGATTCAAGACACAATCATGTGACAATTCTTGTGTTTTGGTCTTATGATGCAGTTTTTTGTAGGTAAAGGACAAATAAGGAATTTTTTTTTTATACATGTACCACTTGAAATGTGTGTAGTTTAAAAAAAATACTGAAATAAAATGTATTCAAAAATATGAAAAGAATACGAGGGAGATGCTTTTGTTGATATTTTTTGGGCGAAAGAAGGCATGACATGAGACTCCCCCCCCCCCCCAAAAAAAAATGATTTCATAGGCCTGTAGTGACCCTAGTTCAAATAGGCACACAAAGGGACATCATCCAAGATTGCATAAACCAATCCCAACTTTGGTTTAAAAGGAATATACAATGTATACAACATTTGCTTTTGCTGTAATTTTCAGAAATAGATGGATTTGGGGGGTTAGTGTTTTATAGCAAATATTGTAGACTTGTTTGAAGTTTTGTGTTCGATAGATGCTGGAAAAACCAGAAAAACAATCATGGTCTTGTAGTCTGGTTCCCTGATCCGTCTTAAGATGAAATGGAGCAATTTATAGACGTCAGGGAATTGTAAGGTCAGGGAACCAGTCTAGCTGGCTTGTACCCGTTCACAGGTGTGTGATCAATCGCAAACAAAATATGGACTAACTAAATATGGTAAATTTGGGACAGTATTTGAAGAAAAAAACCCAGTTTTTTCCAACACTGAAAATGAAAATGTCAGCACACCAGGTGCCATAATTTTACAGGATGCTTTAGACTGTCATTCACTGAGTAACAGTCCAGTAAGCTATTTCATAATAATTTGGTAGTTTTGTTTTTTGATGTTTGCAAATGTTGTATATTCCCTTTAATGGTTACATAAAAAAAAAATCAGATCTACCTCAAAGTGTCAATATCTTAAATTCAGAAGAACTGCACTTCCTCCCCCCCCCCCCCCCGAAAAAAATATAAGTAAAAAGCCAAGATTTAAATAAATGTACAAGTACAACAGGAGCAGGATTATCTATAAAAAAATATATTTTGAAGCTTCGTCTGTGACCGACAGTTTTCTGTGTGATGTCTCATTGGAAGCTTGCAAAACATCAACTGTAATCCTGAAAATCAGCACTTCAATTTCGAAAGTTATTTTTAGAGGTGTCACACTCAAATACAAACACTGAAGTAGCTTTTCAATATGACAATCATATGGCCCTAAACAATCAAAATAAACTTTGATAAAAGGAATTCAAGTTGGGACTGACACGTTTTCATTGTGAGCATAGACCATTTACACATGGTCAGGGGCCAATTTCATAGAGCTGCTTAAGCACAAAATTTGCTTAAAGCACAAAAACGTCTCGCTTAATAAAATCATGTTACCGGTCAAAACTCCATGCGGTTGTTATGCTAAGTAAACAACAGCTAAATACCAGTCACAAGCAATGTACATCACATGGAGTTTTGGCCGGTAACCTAATTTTACTAAGCAATGTTTTTTCGTGCTTAAGCAAATTTTGTGCTTAAGCAGCTCTATGAAATTGGGCCCAGATAAAATGGACAAGTATGGGCCTTCTTGTAAACCCTAACCCTCCTCAATCCTCCTCAATCCTCCAGGCAGTTTTGGAGGATTGAGGCTGAATGGCTAAATAATGTCGGTTGATTGTGCAGGATGCATTGTGTCGAGTTAAGGCTTAGGCTGTACCCAGCATTTTGTTCAGTCATACATAATTGAGCCCTGCATTATGCATTATGCTTGATATCATCCGCACTGCTTTTGAATGTCATTGGCACTGCCTAGACCCAAACTAACCGCCCCTAAAGCTACAAAATACTACCGAGTAGTAACCCGTAGTATGCATTTCTTTCCATACAAGTGTGCACAACACATGTGATATTATGTGGTGTTTGGTCCTTGACCCCCAAAGAGCCTTTTTAGGGGGTTAGGGTTAGCAGCGATTGTTGGAGGATTTTGAAGACTTGAGGCATGGTCACCCCTCCACTGAACAAATTGAAGAAATAAAGGATTGAGGGGCTGAATCCAATTTTTACATGGTGGCAATTTGAGGATTTTGCAGGATTGTGGATCGTCTATGTAATATACAATGGCAAAAGCCATGGTCTATAACATTTCAGCAGACTCGCTGATTAATTATGCAAGACAACCGCATCTTGACCTTGACCAATCAGCGGGCGCTTTCTATATCAGGTCTTCGGTCATTCACCGTTGTCGCATCATAGACATGGATGACAAAAAATACCCTAGACACACCAACAAAGGCTGTGGTCATACGCTCTGTATTATGTTACACGATACGCGCCTGGCTGTTGTTGTATTACAAAACACTGCATTCGAATTGACCAATCACATGTTTAGTCCTGATTTGGGAATGAACAAATTGAAGAAATAACAAATGATGTTGGAGGACCGAGGCTGAATCCAATTTTTACATGGTGGCAATTTGAGGATTTTGCAGGATTGTGGATCGTCTATGTAATATACAATGGCAAAAGCCATGGTCTATAACATTTCAGCAGACTCGCTGATTAATTATGCAAGACAACCGCATCTTGACCTTGACCAATCAGCAGCCTTTCATCAGGTCTTCGGTCATTCACCGTTGTCGCATCATAGACATGGATGACAAAAAATACCCTAGACACACCAACAAAGGCTGTGGTCACACGCTCTGTATTATGTTACACGATACGCGCCTGGCTGTTGTTGTATTACAAAACACTGCATTTGTATTGACCAATCACATGTTTAGTCCTGATTTGGGAATGAAATGACGTCAAGATTTAGTAAAGTCAACTCTGATTGGCTGAGGCGCAAATCGCATAAATCTGTATGCTTTGACATATCAGACGTTATACAGAGACTTGGCTCTGTGGATAACGCGTGATACTCAGACTAGATTGGGGATGGTTCCTAGCTAAAAGGGCCTAGGGACGTCAACTGGGTGCTAAGTCCTCAAAACTACATTGGCAATTTTGGACCTATTGGTACTCATCATGTTGTTTCCGAGTACATGTACTCAGTCCTTAAGTACCATTAGTACATTTAGTACCACAGCAAAAAAATAAGTACACATGCGACAGTTTAAAGGATGTACATAAACGTGTTTTTATTTAAATTACTCTACCCTTATAAAGCATCAATACTAAGAAATCAGAAATATCACTTTCATTTTCCCTTCTAAAACCTTGTCAAGGTTGACCTTTCCAGTACAGCCAGCCATGTTGTCTGGTACTTGGACTGCAGTTAGTGTAAAAACAGATGAGATGAGTCATCACATTACAAGTACCAGCCTATTTAATCGTAGATGCTCCATTCCAAATGGGCCTCATTAACTGAAGTGCAGAAGACAGCCTTTTTGGAGTCAACTTTCTTAAATAAAGAAAGTCCCGGTAACATTTTTTTAAACAAATAATACATCTGTGATGCACCCCTTCTCTGAATATGATTAATTCTATATTGTCCAAATTTGACAGGAACATGTTTAGAAAGTTGAAATTTGTGTCGGCTATGGCATCTTAAAATATGCCAAGTTTTCATTCTGTCTCAATATTTTGTAAAATTATACATCACTTTCAAAGTTGTTGATTGATTGTACCATTAAGTTGCAATATAATTTGCCATATGGCTATCCATTTCTGCAGTGATGTTTTTTTTAAAGTGTTGAACTGTGTTACCGATGTGTGGCAACTCAAAACTCCTGACCTTTATTTTTCATTAATCTGAATCCCTTTTGCTGACAGACATATGTTGACAGAATCTCACAGAATTTCACGAAGTCTGTTTAGGCCAAAAAAAAAAGTCTCCGGTTTCTGGTATGCGCGCGCTTCGCCGTAGCCATGCGCGTCGGCAAAATGAAAAAGGGTTTTTTTTCAATGAAAGATGATGTCTCAAAACCGCCAAACTCACTGGTTTGACTGGAATCCTGCTGCTGCACAATTTTAACGTGTTTTTAGATTGGGTTATGGTCGAGAATAAGCTTTATGTGGCCTCTCTGGATTCCCATATAATTTGCACTAAGTTTAGTCGGACACCATTTGCAGTCATCGGCCGACATTTGAAGCAAAAAAATCAGGTAAAAAAAAAAAAAAGTCGCGTCGCCGCACCACTTTTTGGGCAAGCTCCATACCAGAAACCGGAGACTTTTTTTTTAGGCCTTTAACAAATCAAATCACATCTGCTGTTTGAAGCTTGAACTGAAAGTATTATGTGACCTGAAAGGTTTGACCTTGTACAAGGGGTACATCCATGTATTCTAGCAAATAAACATACACGTACGTACATGTAAAAAAAAAACACCAAAAACAATGAATGCTGTACTTAATCCTAATATAAATTGAAATATAAACTGACTATTCTAAACAATGACATACTACACTATTACACTGTTTCTGGGTATTAAACATCAAATACAGTGGAACGTTGCTATACCGAATACTGCTATACCGAATATTCGGCTATACCGAGAATCATCCTTGGCTCTCGATTTTGTAAACAAAACGTACCAAACATTGTTCCTGAAAAATGTCAGCAGAAGAGCGACAAGTGGCTATTATTTCCTCAAGGAATAGAAGGGGAAAGCCACCCTTGCTGTTGGTAGTAAGCTCAAAAACTGTGTAATTACATAATTCAATAGTTGGCGCATGTTCAAAGTCGTCTTTCAGTAACTACCAGGGCGTGCAGGGTGAAGTTCTGAAGGGCGCTATATATTGAAAAGTGAGTACCGGAGCACAGACAGCTTAAAATCGCTATACCTAACGATCGCTATCATGAACAATTTCTGTGGATCTCGCAGTGTTCGTTACAGCGGCGTTCCACTGCACTTGTCACCTTCAAAATGCATTCTCTTTCCAACAAGTGAACCAAATGCATGTGTACACGTATATAAATAGAAATATAGTACATTGTTTGTAGAAATCTCAACATCACATTTGTACCAATGGTAAAATAAAAAGAGGTCAGACTCAATACAAGGTATGTTTATCATTTCCACTTCAAAGTCCCTCCGAAAAAAAAAATAAATTCCATGTTGGTTTTTGATTCCTTCTCATGTTGATTTTGCGCCATGCCCTGGTGAAGTGTTACTTAAAAACGTTCTACCAAATTTGCACTGACATGAATGAATTAACCTATCCCGGACAACAGAAGTTGGTGCATTTACACATACAAACAACTTGTGATGGATTGAAAGAGATGTTTACTGCTGAAGCAAAAATTGACGAACATAATGAATTCTCGAGTTGGGCAGTGTTATCGTATAAGATTACCCCGCAACGCCAATAAATGGGCTAAATCTGGCCCACTGTATAGAACAGATGCAAGAATAGACCCCCAGTGAACAGCCATTCTGAACAACTGAAGAGAATTTTGCATGCTCATGGAAACAGCTGAATAGACCATTATCATGTTGCGGCCATCTTGATTTTTCCCCATTCAAATCAACGTTTACCAAAGCGTGGCTGGAAGGAAAAATAGTTTGGTTCCTTTTCGCACAAAAATCATTATCATTCAATACTGATATTGGATACAGGGAACATGACTGAAACGGTGGCAGCACGATAAAGGTCTATCAGCTCTGCCCAGTCTTGTTTCAATAAGAGAGCTGAGCAAAAACCAATTTCCAACCAACACCTGCAATGTACCCCGTGTACAACCTCAACTTTACTTGTAAAGTGAATTTGAAGTGCATTTAAATGACACCACAGCAGGATTATATTACAACACCCTTTATAATGGTCGACTAACTCTGTAAACTTTCAGTGTTCCATCTTCTCCTCTGTAGACTGGATTGGGACTGTAGGAGGTGGAGTGGTTTGGGCACTTGGGGCAGCCTTAGGTGCTTCTGCAACTTCCTTGGCAGGGGCAGGCTCTGTTTTCGCAGGGGCTGAAGGTTTCTCCTCTTTAATCTCAGCAGGCTTCTGAGAATCTGCTGCGGGTTTCTCTGGCTCAGGTCTGAAAAGAGGGGGGGGGGGAACCTCTCATTACATTGTGGTCTAGCGGAAAAGCATAGGATTCATGATCGTGAGATTGTTGGTTCGAGCCCCGCCGTGGCCATGTGTGTTGTGCCCTTGAGTAAGGCGCTTTCAATTACTCCTCTCAACCCAGGTGTTAAATGGGTACCAGCATTATTCAATGCTGGGAAGGTAACAGACTCGCTGTGGAGGAGGTGTGGCGATCCCCCACAGCAGCATATGAGTCTGGCCCAATCGCTAATGAAAGAGAGATGACACTCCGTTCCTGTAAACACAGGTTCGTCCCCCTTACATTGATTACCATTTGCACAACATTAGAGCTTGTATTTAAGCCAATTCAACAAGTAACATTATATTGTTGACATTTTAAATGAGAAATATTACATCACTAATTGCCGAACAAAACAAATTCATTGTGAGTGACCTATGGAAATGCACTAGTGCAAAACATTTTGACATGTTTAGGGCTAATGGCTTGTATGAGTTGTACTTTAAAACTAACCCCCTAGGGTGATTTACCTTCCTCATCCTTGCAAATTCCAACACCATATGGTATACTGTGCACATCAACAGTTGGACTCTGTTTATTTGTGGTATGCCTAACCCCATGTAAAGCATAATCAGTTTACTAGTGCAGTACTCATCCCAACAGATTCCAACAAACCCTGGTGTTGGAGTTTGACTGGATGGGGATCGTTACGGTTAAGCCAAGTTATTTACCTGGACCGAAATACTTACCCTTTGGCAGGTGGCTCAGGGGTTGATGTCTCCATAGGCTCTGCATTGGCAGCAGCACTCGCTGCTGCCTTCTCCTTAATAGCGGCTTCTTCTTTCTCCTTCCGAGCCTCTGCACCTGAACAGAAAGGGGGAAAAAGGACAAAACATAAATTACTTAAGATTTACTGTTACACCATGTAGCAGGAATTAATCTCTTCTTTGAAGTTTTGTTTGTAAAAAGAAATTGACTGGAGCAGGGTTTGAACCTGCGACATCCGGATTACCGTTCCGGTGCTCTACCAACTGAGCTACCCCGCTCTATGTTGGCGGTTCCCCAATTCGTCAATGTCTTTGTTCAAGGGGCGCTAGTCAGAAGCCATGAACCTGTATATGCCATGCAGCCAGGGATCACGCCCAAAGTGATGCAGACCTGGGAAGTGTTAGTTCTGAAAAGAACGGGTTTGTGAATGATCTTGACATTTTGGAGAGAGTACTCTGTGGTATCAGCCGGAATCCAGAGGATGAAAGGGGTTTACTGCCTGAAAATTTGAGATAATTTTTCGAATTCGTTCTTTTAAGAATCAAAACTTCTTCAAATACGACACATTTGGACACTTACTTTTCTCAGCGGCATCTTTAGCCTGCATGTCTTGAGCGGGTCGTTGCCTCTTGCGTCGATGCATCCTGATGTCACGCCGGCCTCCCTCCCCTTCATCCTCACTGTCCGAGAACTCCTCGTCGCAGGCGATGCGTTTGTCCCGCGACATGATGGAGATGCGTTTGTCGGGATGCTCGTCTTCCTCATTGTCGCTTTCGTCGCGGATGGCGTCTTCCAAGATCGGTTGGATCTGGACGCCGGGCGCGTGGGGTATCATGCGCATGTTCTCGTATAGTCTCGTCCTGTGAGGGAAAGGACAAGAAAATATTGCGAGAAAAAAATTAATGTGATGATGACCAGAAAAGAACGAACCTCACTTTTGTGTGATAAGATACCCAACACTATTAAACTTAAGTCCAAAACAAGTCGATATACAAGTCCAGTCATATACAAGTCATTGGTCATCCAGTGGATGACCAATAACCAAAGAAACGCTTATTTTCACAATTTATTTTAATAGCTCATGAGTTTTCCTTGGGGCTGAATAACTTGTAATGGATTCAACTATAACACTGATATGTTAAACTCCCACTGAAAAATTAACATCGTAGCATCATATAAAAATTTTCTTTAAATACCAGGTGGTTGATATATTCTAATTGATACATTCAAATTTGAAAAATAGCAAAAATTGATAAATATATGAAATGTCTATTTTTCTCTATAAATAATCTGATAAAAACAGAGCATGTTTGCATTTTTAAAAAAGTATGTATTAGTTCAAGCTAATACTAAAAAGAGAGTTTTCAATCTCTAAAAATCAAAATGATGGTTAGAAATTTTTGAGACTTACTTGATTTTCTCCATGTAATCGCCAGTGTTCTGGTTGGTCATGTTAGACGGGCTGATGTGCAGTTTGAAGTCCGGTCCAAAATACTCAAAGTAATCATTGTAAGGTAACTCTGCACAAAAATGGAAGGAAAAAAAAGAAGATAAAATTATAGCTAAACTGTTGAAAAATTTGACTTGTTCCTGTGTGTGTTGAATCTGGACAAATTAACGACTATGCATTCTGTGTATCCACATATGGATTTATTGCAGGACAGAGTCCGTTTTGAGATTTCTCTTGTAAAATGACTACCAACCTGCATTTTTTTTCAATAAGTAATAAAAATAATAAATACTAAGCAGGCCAGCAAAACACTGCCAGCCAAGGCCTCAATAATCTTAGGAGCATCTTCAAATCTTTGGAGACATCCAAACATCTCCATCATTACAGTCCTTCAAGTCCAATCTCAAGACCTTGCCGTTCACCAATACTTTTTCATAAACTTTCTCATGAACCCAAACTTTTGGGTTTTTTTGTTTTTGCTTTTCATTTGTGCGCCTTGGGTGTCCTTTGGACAGATAAGTGCGCAATGTAAATGTTTCATTATCATTATTATTATACGTGTAATGGTACCATTAAAGAGACACGTTATCGTAATTTCGTCGCACGATGGGAGACATCGGTCATTAGGGAGACATTTTCATGTCTCCCTAATGTCACAGCCCCCTTTAGAGGCACAATTTTGCTCTCGCAATTAGATTATATTTGTTGCTCGTGGTCTGATTAGTAAACATACCGAAATTTGTGAAAAAAGGACAAGGGAATATTGGGAATATTTGTGCACAAGTCTATGGGGATGTCTCCCAAATGTCCAATCCAGGGTAATACTTATTATTATTATTATTGTTGAAATAAAAAAAATATGATAAACCTTACCGTTTGCAATTTCTACTCCCAGGGCAGTGGCAGTCTCATAGGTCCAGCAGCGTGCAACATTGCGTATAGTGTAGCCACCGCCGCCAAGGAGCAGCAATGGAAGGTTGTACTGCTTCATGAACTCCACACACTTGGCATGACCTGTAAAATAGCATAGATCAATTATATGTTTAGGAGCATGCAGCATCATCTCGGAGATAACAAGAACCCAAGGATCTTAGCCCAAGTCCTTACTAGTATTTGTGCATACACTTTATGGGTAACTGTGTACATGTGTAAATAATGTGTTCTTTTTTAATTAAGAAAAACATTTTCATCATTTTCTGGTGAAAGATTTGATAATTTGATTGAGCAAATAAAAATATGCAGCACTGAAATACAGGGTGAGTTAAAAAAAGCGAAACCCAAATGTCGGGACCATTGTTTAATTGAAGTTCTGCATGTAGCCCTTTCAAAGTTTGGGATACAAAAGCCCAATTCATAGGCTTTCTTAATAAATTGTATTCGCAGACACAGATGTTATTGCCCGATCTTACCTTTCAAGGTGAGGTTGAAGCAACCGAGCCTGTCCCCTGAGAGTGAGTCTGCACCACACTGTAAAACAACAGCACTGGGCCGATACATCTCCATCACCTTGGACATTATCTAAATTTAAAAGAAGAAAAAACATAATTAAGTGACTAAGTAAAAAACTATTACTTGTTGATATGCCTGACTTTATCAAAACCGTAACAATGGGTAGTTTGTACTTAGTACACCATGTGGCTTATCTGTTTTGTGAAGAGGTGTAATTCTGGTAAGAAATGAAGGTGAGACGTGAACTCACATTTCCACTGACAATGACTAGAGAGCACACTAGTAGAAACGTTGAGATCATTTCTCACAGCCAGTTCTTATCAGAACCACACCTCGTAACAAAAGAGACAAGCCACATGGTGTAGCCCCAAACTGCTTATTGTTACTATACATCTCCACCATGCAAGGCCTCAAGTCTTTCATCAACATGGTTACACATTCTGATATATGCTGGTGATGCGACAGAGCAAAACCTACTGCTAAATAAGACTAGGCTTTCCTAGTCCAGCTGGACCTGAAGGTCTCAGCTTGGAACATTATTTACAGTTAGTGACTCAGTCAGTCAGTCAGTCAGTGAGTGACTGTGTCAGTCAGAGTACACTTGGCTCCCCCATTTGGGTACAACAAAAAACATTCTCCCGAGTTCAACTTACAATATAACACAAAGGTATTTAAAGGGAAGCTACAACATTTGCAAACATCAAAAAACGAAATGATCAAATTATCATGAAATACCTTACTGGACTGTTAGTGAATAACGGTCTAAAGCATCCTGTAAAATTGTGGCTCCTGGTGTGCTAACATTTTTCGCGGCCGACCAGCGTTGGAAAACACTGGTTTTTTCAAAAAAAATTCTTATTTAGTTATTCCGCATTTTCTTTGCAATTGATAGCGCACCTATGAAGGGGTTCAAGCGTGCTAGACTGATTCTCTGACCTTACAATTCCCCAAAGTCTACAAATGGCTCTGTTTCATCTTAAGTGCGGTCAGGGAACCAGACTACAAAAACATGATTGGTTTTCTTGGTTTTTCCAGCATCTACAAGCCCAAACGTGAAACAAGTCAGTTTAACAATATTTGCTATGACATACTAATCCTCCAATCCATTTATTTCTGAAAATTGCAGCAAAAGCAAATGTTGTACATTCCCTTTAACAGATAAAATTTTACAAAACAAACAAACATGTTTTAATGTTCATGACTTCCAAAACTGTTATGTCCTAATGAGTATCTAAGCCAATGTTTAAAATCTGGTGTCACATGTTAAGACTATAAACACATTATTAAAAGGAGAGATTTTTATCATGGCATTGACTTACAGGTTTGAAAATCTGCTCATATGACTCATCATCTATCCCGTCTCGAAGAGGAAAGTTGACAGCGTAGTATTTGCCCTTGCCAGCACCAATGTCCTGCAGAAATATACATAAATGGCAGATAGATACATTACCACCTGTATGATCCATTAACCTGCATGCACAATTTTACATACATATGCAGAACAGAGATGCAAATTCTTACTTTTAAAGAAAGAAAATGCAATTTTGGATTGCAAATGTGCAAACCCCATAGCGTCCTTGCGTGAACACCAGGGCCCAATTTCATGGCACTGCTAACTACAGAATTCCGCGCTGACACTCACCATTATGTGCTCACAGCGCTAGAACAATTCTGTGCTAACCTTGTAAGCTCAGAATACTAAGTTGCGAGATGAACGCATGCGCATAAGCCGAATTTTCTAGCTAACCTGTGAAATAGGCTTACCGTAAGCAGGGAATTTTCTGCTACAGTAAGTTTGGATTTTTCATTAACCCCTAGTACCTCCTCAGGACTACCCTGCTAAATCCAACAGAGTCCAACCGGACTTTCCTGCTCAATCCACTGTGCCTCATTTTCAGTTGTCTGCTGAATCCAACGGACTCCATCAATGCGTTATAATGCGGTTCAGTTGCCTGCTGAATCCAACATTTTGCATGAGGAATGTACACAAGGGGTTAACTGCTCAATCCAACAGGCTCCATCGGGTATGTGACATAGTTGGATCCTGTTGGATTCCGTAGGGTTCGGGCTAACAGTAAGCAGAGCAATGAAATTGGGCCCAGGTGTGCACCAGCAAATTTGACTCAAACTGATAGAAGGAACTGATTTTTTTTTTAACTCACTCTGAGATCGCCTGTTCCAGGGAAGTACTCCCCATACTTGTGGAATGATACCGTCATGACTCTGTCTGTTGTGTAGAATGCTTCCTCTACACCGTCACCGTGGTGTATATCAATGTCAATGTACAGGACACGTTGGTGGTATCTGTCAAAATGCGGAAATCTCACATGGTTAATTTTCTGTGTCCAACAAGCAGTTGATGATCAAATCACTGCCCAGTAAGTTGTGACTTGAGATGACACAAACAAGCTCATATTTTGAAACTTGCCTTTGAAGTGAACTTTATTTTGACAAACCTGCGTAATCAGTCATTTTCAAGTGTTGGTTTATTTTGCCAAATATAATTTCCCAGAGAAACCTTGACTTTCTATTTGCGGACGATCCACACAATGAACGTCGGCCTAAAAAGTATATTACGGCGCGAAATATCATTACAAATACTGGATGGAATAAAAAAACATTGTTAGATATTCTATATTAGCATGCGTATCAAGTTTTCCCAAAATGTCAAAAAAACGCTACTTACTTCAGAAGTTCCAGAATGGCCAGCACTATATCATTCACATAGCAGAACCCAGATGCCTCAGACTTCTTTGCGTGATGGAGACCACCTGCCCAGTTAATGGCAATGTCTGTCTGTTGTTTGTTCAGCTTTACTGCTCCGGCTACTGAGCCGCCACCGGAAAGCTGACAGAACTCATAGAGCCCGTCAAAGACGGGACAATCTTCCCCAACATTAACTGGAGAAAAACAGGAAAAACAGATTAATTATCATTTATTCATTTCAGTTGTTTGTTTAAAAACTTGTCTGTTGTGGCCCAAAAAGCAAACTGAGCATGACATAAAAGCATGATGTAATTCATAGTTAACGGTAATATTAAAAGGGATTCTCTATAAAGGGAAAATATCAGAACGTTAAACGAAAATCACAACAATAAACCACAAGCACTAGTGAAAAAGATGGTATAGGAAAAGACCATAAATCCAAGACATCGCAATCATTCAATGAGAAATTGTCCTAATTGTTTGCATAGACCATCAATATTTGCCACAAACCACGGGTGCGCAGGCTGCTCAAAATATCGACACACTCCCAGAAATGACAAGAAGACATCTGATTAGCAAATGAGAGCCCATTTCTGTTGTCTGATTCACTCTCAAGTCTTCTTAAGTTTTCACTGTTTAGGTTTAGCTTTTGTGACTTCTTATGCACTCCACTTGGATGGTATTGGCATGCCCAGCTGAATTGAGGAAAAACTATATCAGAGAGATACAATGTATATGTAAAGCTAGGTAAAGGTAGGATTTAAATCCGGATTTTTCAAGATTCAATTTGAATTCCACTACAGTCGAAGCTAAAGAAAACAATTGGAACACCCCCCAATTTGCTCCATGGTCTCTGATTATAACTGCATTTATAAACTGTACTTGCTAGTGGTCTTCTTGGTGCATGAATAGCTTGCCCATTCGACTGATCAGAGAATTTCCACCCATTTCCTCAACATCACAGCTTTCAAGTGTTTTTGTAAAGGCCTAGTGGACACTGACTCCTACAAAATATACTGAATCATTGTGAGTGGCACTCCATGCGACACCTCACTCCTCACTTTTTGTTGGCATGAGTGCGAAGTGAATGAGAACTCCCGGTCAAAGCGAGTTTACCGTTATTTGGTTTGAAAAAAATTAGGATAACCAGATTTTGAAATCTTGGTTTCTCTAACCACTAAAGATAAGAAATAATTTTGAGGGCAATTTTCTAAGGATCAATAAAGAATAGCGGGTAGCAAACTGAGCATTCTTAATGTAAAATCTTACATCTCTGCATCTGTTTGGTATATTCAGACATGTTGTCTGGTCTGATGGTGCGCAGAAACTTGATGTAGTCGTCACTGTGGTACTTAGTCATCTCCTCCATCACAGCTTTATGGGGCCTCTGCAAGATGTACAAGGGACCAAGAAATTTTCAATATATGACATGTGCCTTTATCACCGAGACATTCGAGCACAAAGATAAACATTATTTTAAGGTTGAACAAAAACATTGACCAGAGCGGAGTTTGAACCTGCGACCTCCAGGTTACCGTTTCGGTGCTCTACCAACTGAGCCATCCAGTTGGTGGTTCCCCATATAGTCAAGAGGCAATAGTCAGAAGCCATAAACCTGTATACCACGTAGCCATGGACCACGTATAAAGTCACGATGCTAGCAACATTAGCAATGTTGTAAACCCAGGAAATAGCAAACGGGATCAAACTTTTTTAAGGTTCAACAAAGAAATTGACTGGAGCGGGGTTTGAACAAAGACATTGACTAATTGGGGAACCGCCAACATAGGACTGGATAGCTCAGTTGATAGAGCAGCGGAACGGTAGTCCGGAGGTCGCAGGTTCAAACCCCGCTCCGATCAATTTCTTTGTTTAAATTTTTAAATAATTATAATACACCTAGTCAGTTTCCCTATGTGGTTTCTTTGAAAAGAAAAAAAATAAACATATATATATATATATATATAAACAAATGGCAAAAATCAACACCAGTCACCAAAATAACCTGCCCAGCAATAAGTTGCCCACCCTGCAGATAACAAAAAAACAAAAACAAAAACCCAACAGATAAACAAATACAAATTTAAATTTTGTTACTGAATCAGCCGTTACTGATACTCCATTCAAAATGAAAACCTTTCTACAGCTTAGAAGTTTCACAACAAGTACTTTTCCTTGCTCATGTAGAAACTTAGAAGCCTGTTCTTGATTTTAATATTTACTTAATTTTATACTCACATAGATTTCCATCTTGCGGTACAGCCCATAGTTGAGGATGAGGTTGTGTGTCATGCGTATCCGATGTGGTTTCATTGGGTGACCTTGTCCATAGTAGTAGTTCCCCACATCGCCTGGTAGACACAAATGAAACCAATTACTATATATCCTACCACTGACACGTGTACCACTCTAAATAGAGCATAACAACAGCCCCAACTATGGTTGGGGCATAACATCAACAGTGGATACCAATAATTTCACCAACTTGTTCATGAATCAAATGTTTGGATAACCTCACTGTTGTTTTCAGTCACTGAAAATCTCTTGAAAAGCCATAAATTTGAGACTAAAAATGTTGCTGTTAATTATAAATGTAATCGTATATGTTGCCTTACACAAGCTGTCATGCCACAAGTTGGCATCATATTACAATGCTTCCCAGTGCATTGCATGAAGACAAGAAGTAGGCCTACATATCATAACAAGTTGCTGAATGCCAGTTTATATGAGGAAGTATGATACTGAATACAGGTATTTTACCTCAAACATTGTCAAATTGGTAATTTGGAAAAAATGGTGCAACCTGACGCCACTTTTTTCTTCGTATGTCATCTCAATGGAGGTCAGTCATTGCAAAAATAATTATAAGACACGAATCTGGGACTGAGAAACATTTCCAATTTTGTTTGTAAACACTTAAGACATTTTTTCTTGACTCTCCATAGACTTTGTAGTTGTACACAACTGCTGAAGTGGCATCAGGTTGCAACATTTTTTCCGTAATTTCTCCAATGAGTATTTGGCAATGATTAATTGGCAATGATTAATTAATTGTCATAAGTTTAACCTGATATACAAACAGGTTGTGAAGCTAATTGATAAAACGTTCCACATTGGCAATGTATTGCACAATGAGGTTATTATTATGAAAAAATACAACTAGGCCTACGATAAAATTAACAAAAATAGAACTCCTTTTCCTTTGCATATATTTTGCTTTGAAAATTTGCACCAAGGGCAATTGTTAAACAAGCCCATCTTTTTAGTTTGAATTCTACAGCATACATGTACATGCATTATCACAATGCTAAGATTACAAAAAATAAAAACATCTTAGTTAATGCCACAAATAGAAAAATGAAAATAATAACGGAAAGCATGTTGCATACTGACGCCAGTTATTTCATCGTGTATTATTCCAATGGTAAACCATTTTAATGAAGGTCAGTCATTGCAAAAATGTTAAAAAGACATGAACCTTTTCCAATTTTGTTAAAAAATACTTTGACAATGCAAGACTCTCCATAGACTTTGTACACAACCAAAGAAGTGGCGTCTGGATACTGCATTATTTCCGTGATAGTTTATCATTATATCGATTATTTGATAACTCAACAAACATGACAAGTCATTGAAATGTTATTGTTAGAAAATTTGTGACATGAAACTTTGAAAGAAAAATGCCTCAAAATAATTTATTCACCCATTGAAAAATGGATTTATATTTAAAAAGAGTAGGCCTAAGCCGCCTATACTGCATGATTCATTATCTGCGAACAGTTGGAAAACTGTGGCCCATTTCCAACAATGTAAAACTCGTAAGTTTTGTATCATCGGCATGATCGAGTAGGCCTAGTTGCGAGCGTCCAGATAATTTTGGCTGAGTGATAATTTCTATCCCGAGTATGGTCTTGTCACCACCTTCATAAATGTATATGAATGTACATAAGGATAAATACAGAAAGAGCACCATACTATTTACACCATTGAAGGCCGGTCAATTTTGACACAGCGGAACGCACAAAAGCAAAGCAAAAGTTCGAGCTCTGTCACATTACTTTTACCCCTTATTGATCTACTGCTGTCTACACATTATAAAGAACACTGTGCGTAATTTAAGAAGTCGTATTTGACTCACCGTCGTAGTAGTAGCATACTCTTTTCTTGGAACCAGTAGACGCCATGCCGCTGAAACGATAGTCAACTCGCGGTACTCGAACAATACAAAAAAGCAAAAAAGTATACACTATATTCACTGGTAAGCGATGCCCACCATCATGTGTACAGACGCGGGTACTAGTACCAGTTGTTAGTGGGTTAGTCTCGTCTCTAAACGTTAGCTCGACCGCGCGTACGTCCTTTGAGACGGTGGCCACTGAGGGCGCTATTTGGAGTGGATAAACTGTATTGCATTGTGATCGCCATATTATTTCAAAAATGCTAAATTGGGGGGTCGGAGGGATCCAAAAAAAGTAACCCATTTTATACTGTGTCACCATGTCAATTAGTTCAGCGTAACTTATTTTAGAAAGAAAAAAATGTCCACAGCACTTCGAGTCTTAGGACAATGATACCATTGGTATACTAGTCGCACATCAGATTGTTTTACGGTTGGGAACAAGTCCAGAGAAAAGGTTTTTTTTTTTTAGACGAGACAGGTTTTAGGGTCATTGTTTTCAAATGGTGATATCCTTAAAACGGATTGACCAATTTCAGTATTTTTTTTCATCTAAAAGTAGATTATGAAATTGTCTTTTCCAGTCATTATTATGTTTGGTGCTGAATATATTTTTAAAATATGAAATATAATTTTGGGTGTTTGGGTTCCGCTTTTTTTGACTCACCCTGTATGACTAGAAAAAGTAGTTGGGTTCGACTCCAATTTAAGTTATTTGCATAACTATTTTTCCAAAGTCAATAATATTGACTGGAAAAATCTAGTCAGATTGAATGATTTTCAGCTGGACCGAGCTGACGGACCCTGAATGGCTAGTAAAATTTAACTAGTTTCTAGTCAAATCTGACATATGCTTCTTCTTTTTTAGAGTGTAGTAGGCGATAAGCTTTCACAAGATTCGAGCTTTCCAACGAAACATCGAATGAAAGCATTGGACCAAAATAACATTACATCATGATTACAACGTTTATAGTATCCAATAAAAATCCTGCTCATTATTCCATTATCAATTCGGGCGTAAAACATGATAAACATCATGCAAACAGTGTTTTTGAAGACCAAAATGGAGTAAGTATCTTTTAGTTCACGGTCTTTGAGACAAATCCATACGTGCAGCTGGGGAATGTTTCCAATAAAACCTGGAGTGGTCCACAACGGATCACTTAGTAGTCTAATCAATGCAGGTATATAAGGCATTTTATCACTTTTTTTAATTGGAAGTGTTACTAATACTTTGGCTCAGAATGAGGAAATTAATCATTAATATAAATTGGGGAAAAAGAATAGGAGCCAGGGGGAAGCCGCTACGTGCATCTGTCCACAGTGATTAAAAAGCACCCCTAATATTGTTGCCAAAAGTGGGATTATTCCTGAACCACTCCACGGCAATACCTCTGGTACAATACAAGGAAAGTACAGAAAAGAAAATGCAATTATCAAGAAAGGAGAGGTCCAGAAAATCTTCAAAGGTATGCAAAGACTAACTAGCTGTGATTATGGATTAACTTTGGAACAGCATATTGGAATATTTTTCACTATTAAATCCAAAATGATTATAGACACGCGATACATGCGAGTCCATCACGAACCGTTCCACAGATGTCAAGAGCATCGATTTTGTTCACAAGTTTGAAGGCACGATTTGTGCTCGTGCTGTATTTTTTGAAAAAAGGGGATAATATATTTTTAAAAAGGGGGAAATATACTCATATACTTTGCGCTCACAGAAAATTAAGTGAGGCCCGCCAATTCAGGCTTGCAACATCAAAGCCCTTAACCCTAAAAGGGCCGGGGGTCGGAATCCTCCCCCCCCCCCTTCAACTTTTTCCGCGAAAGCCTTGATTTTTTCCCCCGCAACCCGAGCTGTTATGACTTTTTAGCCTCGAGCCTTGCGCATCTTTTGATACCAAAAACATAAAAATCGGACCCCCATATACGTTGTGTACACAGAGCACAATTACCATTCGTACATATGAATAATTAATTAGCCATAATTCCAAAACCCTTTGACCGATAGTCATGAAATTTCTTGAGTATGTTCATGAGTTGCTCTATGCATGTACCGAGTTTCAAAATGTTTCGTTACTCGATGGCCGAGCTCCTTCATGTAATTTTTAATCGATTTAAATACATATATTATTTTAATGTTATAATTTTGATATTATTATATTCACAAATATTATAGTAATAATTTTAATTAAATTGTAGAATTGAGTAAAATAAATAATAAGAATATTGATTCTTTATGTCTCAACTAAATAAAAGGAAAGTGTAACTTAAGCATTGTTTTTTTTTACAAGATGACTGTGTTGACAGGTGGTGGCAAACTGCAACGGTTAAACGGTTGAGTTGTGACGGACCAACCGTTGGGGCGCGGACGGGCGAGAGCCAACTACTTCACAGACCTTAAAGATCCCACATCCAGTCATAATTTTTGTCATCGTTCCCAGAGGGAATACTGGTAAGTAGTGACAGCGACGAGTTCCTAAGATGTTTCTCATCTACCAATGGAATATACCCCATCCTCGCCATCATTCCCGCACACTGTCCCGTGCCCTCGATTGCTTTGGCCGTGTCGAACGGGAAGCCGTCGCGCCAAGCTCGGTAGGCTTTTGAAGAATTCCTGGCCGTGGAATATAAAGGCCTACCCGGCTTCGCGGACTTGGTGTTGACATCAATCCACTTCAGTACTGATTCCGGGACTCGGCTGTGCCCCAGAAACTGGTGCATCCGCCGGGCCGCCGCCACGGGATCCAAAGCCGCATCCTCGTATCTCAAAAACATATACCGGTCTTTAATCCTGGGGTTTTGTGTTCCCAACACCATATTCTCCCAGTTTGATTTACAGTACAGGCAAAGGAATTCTCGGATACTGTCTGAAAGCCAAGTCACTCTCGTTCTTGTTAGAGCTATCACACGTGATGCTATCATAGGACGTGGGTCCCGTACCAGGTGAACCACCTTCAGTTTTATTGCCTCGTCTTCCATCATTGGCATCAGGAGCATTATGTCTGGTATACGAATCGACTTCACCACAAGGTATTTGCTCTGTTGACAACTTTCAGTCGCCATTTCTCGTGTTATCGTGCATGATCCCTTGGCGGGAGATTTGGAGCAGAGATCGTGCAGTCTTGGTGCAAGCTTCCTCAGATTGAACATATCCTTTTGCGACAGCCATTGCAGGTAGAAATCAAGTTGTCTGAAATCACACAGGTATAGTCTCCGAAGCATTCTCAGGTACACGCCACTCAAGACCCGCGGTCTGTCCTCCAAGTTCTCGAGAGCTTCGTTCAGACTGAGCCCAGGTTCAAACAAGTAGAACACATCGGAGGAGCTGCCAAAAATATCGCCCACAAAAGAGGAGCCGGTTCGCATGTTGGCCAATATGAACATGCGGACTTTGGTATCGGGTGTAGATTGCAGAGAGTTTGGTTCAATCGCAGCGTACGTGTTCCCCGGGGAGTTATTGCATGAACACTCTCGAGTGCTAGGCCTTCCTGACCCTTGTTCAGTAAAGTTCTTCCATGAGCCTATCGACTTGGGAAATGCTATCGTAACTCCTAGATGACCCATTGCTGCACTCAGGAAAACCCAAACACTCACAGCCAAGACGATCCATAGAAGGCGGAGTTGATTGTTAGTCATCTCTTCAGCGTGTTAACCGAGCATTACAAACAAAATTTCATAAGACAAAACTCCGGGGAAATTAAAATCTGGAGAGTTATTAAAGATCGCAAATATTTTCCCTGTTTTATGGTTGTTGAATTCATAAGACTAATGCGATATTTTGTTTACTGGGAGTTCAAATTGTTTTCAAGACCTCCTAGCAAGTGCGGAGATATACTGTATAGATGTCCGCAGGTTAGTTGCATGTTTTCACCATACTGTTGATACGTGTTGCGCATGCGTATTAGCAATGACAGGTTATCTCAGCACAGAGGCTTTTAAGCATGCACATTATGGTTGTCGTGACCAGCTGCTTCACATCAGGCGTGTCACACGTTTCCCACGAATTTCTGAAAAGTTAATTAAAGCTTAAACCCTTTTTTCAACAAGCACACAGTCACTTCCATCAGCAAATTATTTGCTCATTTTGCCTGTTTGTGTTGACACAGCGTTCACAAAATCAAACAGAACATGGATTTCGCTCTTCTTTTTAAACAAAAAACGGGGAATGCTGTCTGTTGGCCTTTAGTGTAAACTTTCAACATCTGGTGGCTGTTTGAGTCTGAAATTGTAATTAACGCTTGTTTGAATTATATTGTACAAAGGTATGGGTCCAGTTAGCATGTATAAAGACGGAGCCTTTTTTTTGGTTCATAAAACTTTCGATGTTATAATTAAGTTGATCTTGTTACATCCGGAATTCGGCAGTGCACTCTGGTATCATAATCATGCTCCATGCTTAGTAAACTCTCGCAAAATGTAGATACATAAAAATCGTTAATGACATTAACGATTTTTTTATAAACATTTATTTTAACAAACATCAAGAGGCAATTATCGATGAATACATTATTTAATAAACGACCTAAATCTCCCCTCACAGCCGTATAGTCCTACACAAAGAATGATTGAGCGCGTCCAAATTCACTTTACTTTTTGTTTGACAAATTAAAACAAAGACCTCTTATCGGTTGAGCTTATAACAAATTCTTCCACATATACATGATCGATACTTTCATCTTTTTATCAACGAGAATAACCATTACCAATTACAAACTGTGCGATCATTCATGAATCTTTTAAAACACCCAATTGGATTTAATACCGATTTTCTGTCGCCAAATAAACCAAATTTCGTAGCAGATCTCTGTTATGATTTCTCTAAATTTGTCTCAAACATTGTTCTTTCTACCGCCTGTATTTTCATTTACCATCCGCGGCTAATCAATCAATTCCTTTTCATCGAAGACTAAACATTTGCTCAACGTTTACCGATAACTAGTAGAATCAAATTCCATCGTATTTTGTCACAGTTGATTATTTATTTTAGGTCAACAAGGAAAATATCCAGTCAACAATAATGCCCTTCAATCGTGAGACTGAAAACACTGAAATTATAAGATATGATCAAGACAATGACAAAAAATATTTGTTGCTATAATGAAGGATGCACTAGAAAAAATATACCTAGGCCTAACTAAATCATAAATTTAAGAAAAGAAGAAGCAAATAATTATACAAAACGGCCTCCCATCTCCCCTTACAGCCGTCCTATCCACACCAGTTGATTAGTTACATTACAGGCTATCACCGTCGAAACATTATGTGCTTTCACATTTTCCGTATTGGTAATCCCAAATTAATACCATCTCATATGCGTTACCATCTCATATGCGTGTACGCTTTGGTGATCCATAACCAAGAACTGGTCGATCAATACAAGCGTAAAAGTTATACTGCGTCATAACGTTTCGTTGAGTAGGTTACGCGATTAAAAGAAAGATATAGGGCCTACATGTCTCATTCAAAACCGAAACAAGTTCTTGATAGACTATGCTTCATCCACGACATAACTGATTTTCAACGAACAATAAAAAATTACGATTCTAGTTCAAACATCGATCTTGTTTCATATAGTGAATCAGTCAATCAGGATACAAATTAAACATTTCCTCAACTAACAGTTATGATTTCATAAAAAAAATATTTACAACACACTTCCAGAACATGGGTCTTCCTTCTTCCTACATTTTACACCATCTTCTAATAATTTTTATCTACCGCGTATATGATTATGTTTTTACTCAGCCTTTTACCGATTATAGTCGTTCATAATGCATATAGGCAATGTTCAATCGCTTTCGTCACTTTTCAATCACGTGATACTACCCACCAATTTTTGTGCAAAATATGACACACACAAAGTGACAGCTTTTGTAACATTCGATAGGGCAAACATAATATAACGAAAATTTTGATTCTTTACAACGAAACACCATAATAAAAGAAAACATTAAAAAAAAGTAGCCTAATAATTAATTAAAAAAAAAAAAAAAAAAAAAACGGCCTCCCATCTCCCCTTACAGCCGTCCTGTCCACACCATGGTCAATAAAATTAGTAAACAAAGGTACTTCTAAATCGACGTCACATAAAATTAGATTCATGTGATATTTTTCGCGAATCATTGTTCACTATATGAACCCTTCACACACTTCAAAAAACACCTTCGCGATCCCAAAGTCACGTAGTCAATATACATGAGATTTAAATCAGGTAGGCCTAATTAAAAAAAAAACCTTTCCGTTTTAATTTACCATATCAATATTTGCATGATCGTTTATAGTAACGTTTGATGTACTCATGAATTACCGATATAACCCTGGATGGCTGTAATACACATACAACGTTGTGTTCGATCGATAATCGATTCGCGATCGATCCATATAAATAGTTAACTTTCAGGGCTGGTAATTACCATGACCCTCATTATCCTATTGATTCACTAAACATTGTGTTGCAATCGTTTCAGATCGAACCTATATCAACCTTAACGATTTTTTTTCAGCTAGAACACTCATTTTTTCAGTGATGGCTATATTATTTAAAGGTCTTTCAACCGGCCATGATCGCTAGTCGATACTGTGAACTTGAACGGATCGCCATTTCATCCATATATTATTTCAATTAATACTGAATTGACCACTGTAATATCGTACATTGTTGCTTCCCTTTTTAAGGCTAGATCCATGACGTAACCATAGGGCTTCAGTTCTAGACTTAAAAATAATAACAATTACTAGATCACTGAAACCATAACAGGTAGGCCTATGTGACCCGCCACTATAATGTACATGCATTATACTAAACCTACATTTTGATCACATCCAACTCACAACTGCTTTGAAAAGCCAACCACAGAAACTAATTATATCGTTTATAATGATATACACAAAGTAAGTTCGATTATTATTCATTATTGATCACCATAGATAAAATCGTTAAACCATACTAACCGATAAATCCCCATCGCAACATTTCGCTACGTACTGAACTATTAGCCGTAATTTCATCGAATAACGATTCCCTCGACACAATTTGTTTTATATTAAACAGTCACTAAAACCTTTACGGATATATACCCTATGGCATAATTAACATGGATACATTGATAACCGATAGGCGGACTTTGGGTTATATTATTCGATATGGTATTGAACTTTTTTTTCAAATATAACTCACTATTATATTAATGGACTGAGCACTCTTGATAGTGATTATAGGCCTACCACAGCAAACTATAATCAGTATAGTTCGATTTAAGACAAAGGACGGTCAAAGGCTTTCCTCGGCACTTCATATTGAAAAAAAAATTGACGAACAAGCCACTGACAGTACTTAATACACAACCCATTGTAGAGTATTACCCAACCTAAAAAGTTTACGGTTTAATACTGAGCGAAATGCAATGTTAACGACAGCAAATGTTGCAGATTCATCTCCTTCATTTTGATACATTCATAGGAGTGGTTCCATTTCCTGCAGAAATACATAGATTGGTTTCTTTCTTTGATTGTTGGCAATTCCAAGCGGTCCGGACAGGCGTTTTCCGATGAAATATCCAATAGCAGGTGCAAAATTTAGTTTAAAATTTGATGAAATCTTCCTAGCGAAGAGAATAAAATCCTTTGGATCATTTGACGTTTTCTCAGTTTTTTTACGAAGTTATATCAATTCAGGATCTTTTTCCCATCAAAATGCAAGACGAAAGCAACCTTGTTGAAATTGTTCATAAATTATGTCCTCATGATTTTCACGAGTTTGTTGAAATCCGCAGTTGGTGCATGGTATCAGCGCGGCTTTTGTTGAAGCTTAATATTGTATAATAAGTTATGATACATTGAGCTCTCGTAGTTCCTAAAATAAATATTCTTCATGGATACTGCAGTTACTTTCCTCAGCCCGGTATCGACGGAAAAGCGAATCTAAAGTAGGCTGTCTTGAAGATTGCCCTTAAATTCACAAAGAAATGTAAGATTGCCCTTCAATAATGCTTCCAATAATCCGAAGAAGAAGAAATTAGTATCTTCTCCGAAGACGTCGACACCAACTGTCTTGGATAATTCTGTATAATTCCATGAAGAAAAAAAAAAAGCTCCGGAGAGATGCCAATGATAAAAGATATATCCGAAGAAGAATAAATGTTTATCTTCTTGTTGCCGACGTTCGAGATGAAGCTTTCAAGACGAAGAAGTCGACATCAACTGTCTTGGAGAATGTTTTTTAATTTTATGAAGCAAAAAGTAGTTCCTGTGAGACGCCCTGCTTTAAAAACGCTTCCAATGATAGAAGATACACGAAGAAGAACCTATTACCTTCTTGCTACCGACGTTCAACATGAAGCTTTCAAGACGAGGAAGTCAACACCAACTGTCTTGGAGAATGTTTTTTTTAAAATTCCATGAGGATATAAGTAGTTCCTGTGAGACGCCCTTTAAAAACGCTTCCAATGATTGAAGATAACCGAAGAAGAAGAAACTATTATTTTCTTGTTGCCGACATTCGAGATGAAGCTTTCAAGACGAAGAACTCGACACCAACTGTCTTGGAGAATGATTTTTTAATTCCATGAAGAAATAAATAGTTCCTGTGGGATGCCCTATAAACGCTTCCAAATATCTTCTTGTTGCCGACGTCCAAGAAGAAGCTGTCAAGACGAAGTTGTTTGTTCACATCACCATCGCAACAGAAAGAAAAGTACATTAAAAACCCATCCCACTTTAATGCGCCCATCAAAAAAACCCTGAAGTCTAACTGTTTATCGACTTATAAATATTTTCACCAAATGTTAAACTTCCTCTTAGATTCATTAATAACATAAAGTCTACGAGCAGATAAATTTTAATTTATTTATTATTTAATGGTTTGTTTAATAATTCATAATTTCAAGGTTATATTCCCTACCCAGCTAAGCCCTTAATTCTCTATGCTGCGCTTGGCGCTACTAGCAAGCTGGATATTGCAACAGCTGCCTGCATTAAGACACTTACTCACAGAAGGAAACATCACGACACCTGTCACTCATGCTCACATTACACTCATTGCAGCTCATAACTGAATAATTAGAGATATGTAATAGTAAAGTTACATATCTCACATTTCACACGCCAAGACGGAAACAACGTAACGACGACGTATGTACCGATACGTTCCGAGGTAGGCCTACCGGCGCTGTTATTCCGATAAAGTTTCCGTCTTAGGTTCACACTTTCATTATATTTTTATTTCGTCAAACTAAGGACTTATTGCTCGCTGGGGCCTTTTTCACACACCCTTACACGACAACCACCATTTACGCTCACAGTCACATCACCCCAATGATCAACGCCATGCCCCTACACGGCCACCCACACGAGGACAACCAACACACCTATTTTTTACAATCATCCTTTTTCACATACGGCGCATTTGCCGCGCTGCGCTAAGCTTTTTTTTGCGTGCTGCACGCATTTTGCCTTATTCCCATCCCCGGCCCCCAACCCTACATCAGTGTGTTTTCATGTAGTATTAAACTTATTGGCTTAAGAAAATATTTTAATCCAGTAAGCAATTATTTAAATTACATTATTATTTTTTACATTTTTTGTGCCTTTCCCCGTTCATTACAGAGAAAAAAAATACTAAAACGCAAAAGCCAACATCATCCATATCAATGTCAAATGTTTCTTAAAAAGATTATCCATCTATCACTTGCTTATAATTAGTCAATTACACAACTCCTCTGTCATATCCCTGAAGAAAGACAGATCACTGACAATAAGCATGTCTTCAAAATAGACATTCTGAGGATGTACTGATTGCAGAATTGTTGAATCTCCAGTTGCTTGCATTCAAGGCGAAGAAGAGCTGCTAATGATGAAGAACTGGTTAGTAGAGAGAAAGAGTAAGAACTTCAAAATCAATTTAATGTTCCTGAATCGTTCCTTCGTTTGTTGATGAAACAGTGAACAGTGCAACCGCATCGACGTAAAATTGTTTGATGTGGTCGTTTGATGTAGATTTTCCAGATTCTTGATACGTTTCGAGCTGTACTTCACTTCTTGAAGTCTGGACATTTTTTATGAAGTATGAGTTGTGAATCCTGGTTTTGACGACATCGGTTTAGATTCGCGATGAGACGGCGACCAAAAACCAAGCGATGTTGAAGTTATCTTGCTTTTCACATAACTTTGGTAGAAACTAGTATACATTTCATTTCTTGGCAGACCAATTGGCATGCGAGTTTGAAGCAGAAATGTCTGAGTGCTGCAATGCATCGTTACCCCGAGAAAAATTTCTCCTCAAGACATCTTCAACTTCTTGAAGTAATTTCTCATCATATCTGAAGAAGAGTGTGGCGATAAGATAATTAATCACATCCTTTTAGCGATATCATTCTCCTTGCATAATGCGATCCAAATTGATGAAGAAACTTCATGTAGGGCCGAATGATGTTTTTCCGTGATGAAGACAGAAGAACCCTTTTCTCTTTCAAGTTGTTGGGCGAAATGTCTATCGAAGCAATAACAGAAATTACGAAGAAGAAAATTACTCTCGACGGACTCCTTTGGCTCAACTGGTCTCTGAAGTGACAAAATTTCATTATAACATCAGAAGCAAAAGTCGCTTCCTAGACAGTCACAACAATGGATTATAACCTACAGCGACACAACATCCCCGCCCACCAAATATTACGCTGCAAGGTTATTAATTTAATTGTAACAACAGGTGTATATATTTATTTATAATCTTTATGTCTTTTTAGATTTGGATTAATAAATTTGTTTGGTATAAACTTAAGTGTTAATATTATTAACACAATACTTTATCCCCAGTACCCCCCCCCCCCGCCCTAGCGTGGCTGCTGCGCGAGGCTGTGTGCTCGTTATAGCTTGCAAAGCAGTTGAGTATGCGTGCACGTTTGCTCACTCGCTCTCACTACCCACCACTTACACGTTTCACCTCTCACCATTCACCAACCTATGATTACACATCACATTGGCTCAATATTCGATGCTCACACTTAACGGACACGAATCGAACCGATATCTGTTACCGCTACCGTATGCACCAAAGCCGAGGTGCCGACTCCGATGTTTCCGACTCCGAAACGGCGAGTATCGACACGACTAAAACCTATCATTTGTCATTCATTCACAGGTCCCTTTGACTCACTCAGAACTCACAATTGCAACCTCGTAACTCGGCCGCTCACTAACATTCACGCGCTTGCCATATAGTTGCGGCTTAAATCGCTGCGTTCTGCAGTGCCGCAATGCGCATTAATTCCCTTTAAATACCCCTCCCCCGTTTGATTTTTTTAAATTTAATCTAAATAATCCAAATCTTGTAATTCTGTTAAATTTAACAGCATTAATGGCTACGTTTATAAAATGCGTATTAAGTATGACCTATTTTATTATCATGTTTTTATTTGGTAACACCATATTCATTTAATATATATGTCAGTAATCAAATTCCAGTAGGTCTGGATGAGGTTATTTTCCTATTTATAAGACAGCTATTAATCCTCCATATAAGAAAACAATATATATATATATATATATATATATATATATGCATGAAAACAAAACTCCCAGGTTCCATGGCAAACACAAAGTCATCTTTTGGACAAAATCAGCTGCTTGTGTTGTTTATCACTTTACATTCAAGATGAAGAAGATGTCAATGGTCCCAACTACACTGATTTTTTATGCTTAAGTTTATTTTAAAAGGTTTAACTTTATTTAATTGTAACTTGTAGTTGATGGAAGTTCCAATGTAAGGAATGCACTTGAACAATGGGCATTGTGTTTGAATTAGGCTATGTAAGAATGCCTCACCGCAAACCTACCAGTGTAATGGAATGTGAGTGCACGTAGCTCTCTGGTGTTCTTTTATTTGTGTTAAGCCAGATCTATCCGAATATTTTCCTTTGTGTTAATAGTATAGTATATAAGGTTTAGAATGCCAAATCTCGGGAGAGTGCCACATTGACACAGTGGGGAGTGGTGGTCTGCAATCGTCACTGAAGTAACGGCGGAGACGACCGGACGCTGCTTTGAAGGAAGGCCAAGTTCTACCCCAAGCAAGCTACCTGAACAAGGCTACCGGATCGTCAAACCACACCACCACACCCACTCGTATCGTGTCAATAAAATATCCGTATTAATTCCTCAAATCGCCCAAAACCAGAGGCTTTTAAGTTCGGCACTCTCAAGCCTTCTGTAAGTAAAAGGATTTAGTAATTTTGCTTCATTGCATGGCTTTTGCATGGCATGCCTTTATTTTGCTTGGCTTTGCATTTGATTTGCTTGCTTTCTATTGTTGAGTTTGAATCATCAAATTGTATTTTGTTAACTTGAGCTGGAGCTTACACAATTTCAGTTTGCTAAAATGCATGCATTCTGTTCTTTTTAATTTCTGTCACGCAGGGTTTTCAGGCTTGGGCTCAGCTCACATTTGAGGAAAGCAAATCCATCCAACTTAATTCTCGTTATTTTTGTATAAATTAATTTAAGTTTTGTAGTCTCATTGCTTTTAATTTTTAATTTGTTTTCAGTTGGCAATTTGCCAACACCCATTCATTCCAGTTTCAAGTTTATCTCTCACAACCATGTAATCTAAGGCTAACTTTATGTTTGGGTTAATTTTGTTCAGTTGACAGTTTAAAGAATTAAAAGTTAATTCTTTTTTTTTTGTTATCTGAAATCTGGCGTCAAGATTCAATTTGTTAGTACTGTCTGAGTTGTGTTAAATCTATTTCTGACCACCGTCATTTAAAAGTCACGATTCCATCTGTGACAACTGGGGGCTTGTCCGGGAAAATTTTCAAATCCCTCCCATTTCAAAAGGGACAGACGGTTGAGTCGAAATAGGACATGGCTTTGATTGTGATAACAAATTTGATATTTTGTGCTCGTAATACTGTGTAGGATTACTATACTAGATATTATAGTTATTGTACTCGTTGTTTCAGTTCTCAGTTGTACATGTACCTAGAAAAAGGCAACATGGAATTTCAGAAATTCCTAGAAATGGGTAGAGAGTTACACTTAGAAGATAAGGAACTCATAGAATTTGCCAGAGCTAGGCAGGCAGAAGCTAAAGAAGAAAGACAACAGCTTAGAGCAGAAAAACAGGAAGAACGAGAACATGAGAAAGACATGAAATCCCTAGAATTAAGTATAGCACAGGAGCAATCTAAGCTAGGCTCATCAAGTGACACTTTCCTAGAAGCCAGTATGAAAATTCAGGCTAAGAGTCGAATCCCAAAGATGCAGGCTTTTAATGAAAAAGTAGATGATATGGACTCGTACTTAGGTAGATTCGAGAGATACGCCACAAGTATGAAATGGCCACATGACGAATGGGCGTTGCCCCTAAGTATTCTCTTAACAGGTAAAGCAACCGAGGTGTACACACGCCTACCTGATGATCTAGCCAGTAATTACGAGGAATTGAAACTAGCATTGTTACATAGATTCGAACTCACAGAAGATGGTTTCAGAACCAAGTTTAGACAGTGTAGACCAGAGACAAATGAAAACTACACACAGTTCGCTGAACGCATAAAACGATATTTGTTGAGATGGATTGAGTTAAGTAGTACGGATAGGACATTTGATGGACTTGTTGATCTTACCATGAGAGAGCAGATAATTAATGGCTGTAGTAGGGAATTGAGATTGTTCTTGAAGGAACGAAAACCTGGTTCATTGTCCGAGATGACAAAGATAGCCGATAGGTATCAAGAGGCCCATAAGCCTACAACGTCTAGGTTTGAAGATAGACAGGTTAGGAAAGACGGCCAAAGAAAGCCATTTGACAGAGGTGCAAAAGGAAATGAAAGTGAACGTTCAGTTAGTGAACATAGGTCCCGTGATGATAGGACATGTTTCAAGTGTGGTAAGAAAGGGCATATAGCTATGTACTGTAGGGTCAAAGCTAAAAGTCAGCCACAGGCAAGTAAAACCGCAGGTTTGAAAGAAGTGAATTCCGAGACACCTCAGAGAAAAGCTGAAGTTATGAATTCGGCAAATGGTAGTCAACAGCAGACACTAGCTGCTTGTGTAGAGTTGAATTCGATTAGATATGAGTATGTAAGACCTCCAGGCACTTATGTAAGATTAGAAACAGGAGATGAACTCCCAGTTGTCAATGCTGTAAGTAGACCAGCATATGATGAAAACATGCCTGTAAAACAGGGTAGGATTGGAAATCGCATAGTCACAGTGCTAAGAGACAGTGGTTGTAGCACAGTAGTTGTAAAACGCACTTTGGTAAATGAAGAGCAGTACACAGGTAGAGTACAAAGATGTGTTTTGTTAGATGGAACAGTACGAGATGTAAAAGTAGCCAGGGTATGTATTGACACTCCGTATTTTGTAGGAGAGGTTGAGGCTGTAGTCATGGAAAATCCTCTGTATGGTATCATAGTAGGCAATGTAGAAGGAGTAAGGAGTCCCGACGATCCAAATGATGATTGGTCTCCAGACATAGATGAGACAGTAAATGCATCGGTACCACAGATAAATGCAGTAGAGACTCGTGCCTCTAAGGCAAAGCAGGCAAAACCAATAACGCCACTGAAAGTGAATGAGATACCTGAGATATCCAAGTCTAGAGAGGACTTAATTAAGGCCCAACAGGAGGACAAAAGTTTGTCTAGGTTATTTGAGTTGGCTACTAAAGGTGAAAGATCAGTGAATGGTAGAGGTGCAGAGACAGGTTACTGTGTCAGAAACAATCTCCTATATAGGGAATACCAGTCTCCACAAGTGCAGTATGGCAAGGTTATTAAACAGCTTGTAGTACCTAAGTCATATCGGGAAAAAGTAATGAAATTAGCACATGATTCACCACTAGCTGGACATCTTAAAGTCAAGAAAACCACTGACAGAATTATGGCTAACTTTTTCTGGCCCGCATTACAAGCAGATGTACGTAGGTATTGCCAGTCATGTGACATTTGTCAGAGAACCGTGAGTAAAGGAAGAGTGACCAAAGTTCCTTTAGGGGAAATGCCACTTATCGACACTCCTTTCAAAAGAGTAGCTGTAGATATAGTAGGTCCCATACAACCAATCACAGAACGAGGAAACAGATATATCTTAACGTTGGTAGATTATGCCACTCGTTACCCAGAAGCTATCGCACTCCGTAGTATAGAGACAGAACGAGTAGCAGAAGCACTGTTAGAGATATTTTGTAGAGTTGGCATTCCAGATGAGATATTGACCGATAGAGGTTCACAGTTTACCTCTGGTGTAATGAAAGAAGTAGGAAGGTTGTTGTCAATCAAGCAATTAGTTACCTCTCCCTATCATCCAATATGTAACGGGCTAGTAGAACGATTCAATGGTACACTCAAAACTATGCTCAAACGAATGTGTTCAGAAAAACCAAATGATTGGGATCGATACTTACCTGCAGTACTATTTGCATACAGAGAAGCACCACAGGAAAGTCTGGGCTTTTCGCCCTTTGAATTACTGTATGGCAGAACAGTCAAGGGTCCATTAACGATCTTGAAAGAATTATGGTCTGGAGAAGTTGAAGATGAAGAAGTGAAAACCACATATGAGTATGTAGTCGATCTTAAAGAAAGATTAGAAGCGACATGTAGAGTTGCTCAAGAAGAACTAAGTCGTTCTGCAAAACGGTACAAAAAGTACTATGACACAAAATCAAAAGATAGGAAGTTCAGAGTTGGTGACAAAGTACTGATATTGCGTCCCACAAGTAACAGTAAATTACTCATGCAATGGCAAGGACCATTTGAAGTGACAGCATGTGTAAGAAAGAATGACTATCTTGTACAGGTAAAGGGAAAAGAAAAGATCTATCATGCAAACTTGCTCAAAAAGTATGTAGATAGGCAAGAAGCAAACAGTGTCAATACTGGTGACAAACAAGATGATTGTGATGCAAAACATGTAGGTGCAAACATCGTTATTGAAGATGACGATCAAGAAGATTGCATTCAGATGAATATGCCTCATTTGAAACAGCTAGAAACATGCGAGGATGTTCAAGTTGATGACAAGCTTATGCTGAAACAAAAACAAGATGTTGAGAAACTTGTTCATCAGTTCTCAGATATCATGACAGATATGCCAGGTCGCACACATTTGATAGAACACAGTGTAAACCTAACCACACGTTCACCAATTGTGTCGAAAGCATTTCCAGTACCACCTGCTGTGAGAAAAACAATATCTGGTGAAGTTGAGAAAATGCTCGAATTAGGAGTAATCGAGAAATCAGAATCAGCTTACGCCTCACCAGTAGTATTGGTTCGTAAACCTGATGGTAGTGATAGATTCTGTATAGATTTTCGCCAGTTGAATGATGTAACTGTATTTAACCCAGAACCAATCCCAAATACTGAAGATCTCATATCAAGGGTAGCAAATGCAAAGTACTTCTCAAAACTAGATTTGACAAAAGGCTACTGGCAAATACCAATGGCACCACAAGATAAGGACAAAACTGCCTTTGTGACATCAGATGGACATTATCAGTTCAATGTTATGCCTTTTGGTATGGTAAATGCACCAGCAGTATTTTCCAAACTCATGAGGGAAGTATTAGTAGGAGTTCCGAATGTAATCAATTACATAGATGATATACTAGTGTACACAGAAACATGGGAAGATCACATGGTAACATTGGAAGAGGTTTTGCAAAGATTGAGAAATGCAGGACTTACAGCTAGACCAACAAAGTGTTGTATAGGATTCAAAAGCTTGAAATTCCTAGGACATACGATAGGTGAGGGAATTGTGAAACCACACCAAGACAAAGTAGACCAGGTTCTAAAAGCCGAAAGACCGAGGACCAAAAAGCAGGTCAGGTCATTTCTAGGATTAGTGGGATTCTACCGTAAATTTATCCCAAACTTCTCGGCTATTGCAGCTCCACTATCTGATTTGACAAAGAAGGGAAATCCCAACAAGGTCAATTGGAGTGATGCACAAGATGTAGCATTTGAAACACTGAAAAGACGAGTAGCGTCTGCTCCAATCCTACATCTACCAAACTTTGACAAACAGTTTATTCTCCAAACTGACGCCTCAGACATTGGCATAGGAGCGGTGTTAATGCAAGAGGAAGATGGTGTGAAATTCCCAATATCATATGTTAGTAGGAAACTCCTGCCAAGAGAAGCAAAGTATTCAGTAATAGAGAGGGAATGTTTAGCACTCGTATGGGCTATCAAGAAATTTCATTTCTTTCTGTATGGCAAAGAGTTCATTTTGGAAACGGATCATAGGCCACTCAGCTACTTGGCAAGAACGAAAATGACAAATAGTAGAATCATGAGATGGGCCTTAAGTTTGCAACCGTACAGATATAGGATAATAGCAATCAAAGGAAAAGATAACGTGGGAGCCGATTTCTTAAGTCGATGCCCTGAGATTGGAGATTAAGGAAGTGTGACAATTTAATATTTGAAGTTGGTACAATTGAGGTACAGATTGTTAGCACAATCTTGAAGTAGGGAGTAATGTCAATGGTCCCAACTACACTGATTTTTTATGCTTAAGTTTATTTTAAAAGGTTTAACTTTATTTAATTGTAACTTGTAGTTGATGGAAGTTCCAATGTAAGGAATGCACTTGAACAATGGGCATTGTGTTTGAATTAGGCTATGTAAGAATGCCTCACCGCAAACCTACCAGTGTAATGGAATGTGAGTGCACGTAGCTCTCTGGTGTTCTTTTATTTGTGTTAAGCCAGATCTATCCGAATATTTTCCTTTGTGTTAATAGTATAGTATATAAGGTTTAGAATGCCAAATCTCGGGAGAGTGCCACATTGACACAGTGGGGAGTGGTGGTCTGCAATCGTCACTGAAGTAACGGCGGAGACGACCGGACGCTGCTTTGAAGGAAGGCCAAGTTCTACCCCAAGCAAGCTACCTGAACAAGGCTACCGGATCGTCAAACCACACCACCACACCCACTCGTATCGTGTCAATAAAATATCCGTATTAATTCCTCAAATCGCCCAAAACCAGAGGCTTTTAAGTTCGGCACTCTCAAGCCTTCTGTAAGTAAAAGGATTTAGTAATTTTGCTTCATTGCATGGCTTTTGCATGGCATGCCTTTATTTTGCTTGGCTTTGCATTTGATTTGCTTGCTTTCTATTGTTGAGTTTGAATCATCAAATTGTATTTTGTTAACTTGAGCTGGAGCTTACACAATTTCAGTTTGCTAAAATGCATGCATTCTGTTCTTTTTAATTTCTGTCACGCAGGGTTTTCAGGCTTGGGCTCAGCTCACATTTGAGGAAAGCAAATCCATCCAACTTAATTCTCGTTATTTTTGTATAAATTAATTTAAGTTTTGTAGTCTCATTGCTTTTAATTTTTAATTTGTTTTCAGTTGGCAATTTGCCAACACCCATTCATTCCAGTTTCAAGTTTATCTCTCACAACCATGTAATCTAAGGCTAACTTTATGTTTGGGTTAATTTTGTTCAGTTGACAGTTTAAAGAATTAAAAGTTAATTCTTTTTTTTTTGTTATCTGAAATCTGGCGTCAAGATTCAATTTGTTAGTACTGTCTGAGTTGTGTTAAATCTATTTCTGACCACCGTCATTTAAAAGTCACGATTCCATCTGTGACAGAAGACTAAGTCGAAATTACCAGGAGGTTTCAGTTCATTGATGTAAAAATGTTTAACTCTCGGCTCACCCTCTGAGGGCTTGAGTTGATTTTCTTTTTGACGAATCGCGAAGCGGAAAGAATATTTATCAGAAGGAGATGAAAACTTATAATGAAGACCTTTTTTGTTCCTGAAGATAGTCGATGAGTAAGATTCCGAGTCATAGCATTTTCTTTTTGTCCGGAAGAATATGACGAAGACTTGCGGCGAATTTCAAGATTTCTTGCAAGTAAAGTTTTGTGTTTCATAAGATGAAGAAGCATTGTCTTGAAGGAGACAGCAGGCATTTTCGCTTCTCAAAAACATTATATTTTCTGGCGTTTTCCGGTGATACTTCTTTTGATGAAGAGGATAAACTTGAAGGAGATTCACCATCGACATCGATATCGGCATCAATTCCAAGTTATTCGACTCTTGTTTTTTGGGGTTTTTTTTGTAGCAGTATGCTGTCCCCTTAGCTTCTTGTATGATAGACGTGAAGAGCCATTCACATGTTGCTCTTTGATGTCCAAGTGGAGCATCTGTCAATATTCAGTATGCCAGCAAAAAAATAGGCGTCCCCCCCCCCTCCCACATAACTTGACCCACTTCAATTCAACAACATGTGCGACAGTGTATTCACGTGCCGGCTTACAAGAATGGAATGACCCTAAAGGTTAAAAATTTGCATACTGCGGCCCAGGGCCAGGTCTACATAGTACATTGTTCGAACCTCAAATCCATTGTTGTTAAAGAATTCACAAATGTTAATTTGTGCCATAGCCAACTATACCACTCTTTCAGACATTACCCACAGAGGAAAATCAATACATAAATCTTACACTTTGCTCAGGAAAAATAGGCTTTCATAGCTCACAGACTCCGGGGACATACATTTTACAATATACAAGGGTCAGATTCGTTAGTTAATATTTCAACCGCTAAAACCATCCTCGCTAGCCATGGTAGTCCTATACCTATTTTTGTACGTCGTAAGACTACCTGGCAAACTGAGGCCACTATTTTGACGCCCGTCGAGTAATAAGATTGTCTTCGTAGACACGGTGACGTTTCCTTATGAATATTCATGATTCTTGACTAACATGGTGAGCTTGATGAATCTGACATAAAGTTATCATATTAGACTGATTGATTTAATCAGTCTTAAAACATTTTCAATGTCATCAACATTTTAAGACAGTTTGAGAAGATATACATTTCTATTGTTTTTTTTTCATTAATAATGTACCACTTTCCCCTATACTCATTACAACAACCAAAAATATTCAAATAACCAAAAAACCACATCAATGTCAAATACTTCCCCAGAGGAACAAATATTGCTTGATGAGCATTTACATAACTCCTCTGTTATATCACTGAAAACAAATCATCGACAATAAACTTTTTGTTTTTCGTAATAGATATTCTGAAGGTTTATTGATTGCAGGATTGCTGAAACTCTTGCTGAAGAAGAGCTGTTTGTGACGAAGAACTCCTTGGCAGAAAGAAAGATAAATAACTTTTTGTTGAATCATGACTGTATTTGTTGATGAAATCATGAGCAGTGCCACCGCATCGACGTAAAACAATGATAATTGTGCGGTCCTTTGATGTAGATTTTCCAGATTCTTGGTAAGTTTTGAGCTGTTCTTCACTTCTTGAAGTCTGGACCTTTTTAATAACGTCTGAGTTGTGACTTTTGGAAGATGATGGTTTAGGATTCGCCCTGTGAATGGGCTTATAACCACAGCAATGTTAAAGATCTGTTGCCTTGTACATGTAAAGAACTCCGAAAAAATACAAACAGACTTAACAGTTTTTGTAGACCATCTCCTACTCGACTTTGAAGGAGAAATGCTTCAATGCAACCTTATACCGCGAGAAACTTTTCCTCAAGACAAGACCGTGTGAATTTCTTGAAGTACTTTCTCATCATGTCTGAAGAAGAGTGTGGTAATTGAAGAATTTATCACATCCCTCTAGAGATATCATCCTCCTTGCTGATAAAATGCGATCCAAATTGTTGACGAGAATTTACGTTTTTTCACGATGAAGACAGAGGAATTAGCTTCTCTCCATTTGCTGGATGTAACTATATCGAAGCCGTACGTTGCAATAATTATGAAGGGAAAAACACTTGATGTACTCCTTCGGGTCAACTGGTATTTCAGACAATAACTTTTCATTGTCACATCAGAGGGGAAAAATCGTTTTCTCAGAAACTTCTTCCGTAAAAGATTCACTGGATAATCACATCAATCGATTAAATCGAGAGCGACACATCTAAGTAACACCCCTCCCACCCCGAAAAAAATTAATACATGTAGTATTAAGTTTATTGTACTGCAGGTGTATTAATTTTATATTCTAATATAAAAAAGTGGTTGGGTTAAGTCAAAATTTATTTGTTATGTATGAGCCTTAAATTATTTTATTAGTAATAACATATTTATTTTTAGCCCCCCCGACTCCCCTGTAAACCCCCACCCCTTCCTATAGCTGGCTGCCGCGCGAACTGTGCCTGTTTTTTGCATGGCCTGCAGTCGAATATGCGTGCATGCTTACTCGCTCTTACAACTCACCACTAATTATGGACTTATCACCATTCACTTCTCACCACTTACCACTAACCAGTCATTTCTCACCACTTACTACTAGCCTTTCACTTCTCACCACTCACAACTAACTATTCACTTCTCACCGCTCACCACTCGCTTCTCACCACTTATCACTAACCATTCACCTATCACCACTCACCACTAACCATTCCCTTTTCACTACTAACCACTATACCATTAACTTCTCACCACTCAATACTAACCATTTACCTCTCACCACTAACCATTCGCTTCTCACCACTCACCAATAAATAACCAGTCACTTCTCACCACTCACTTACCGATCACTTTTCACCACTTACTACTTGCCTTTTACTTCTCATCACTCACAACTATATTCACTTTTCACAACTCACCACTAACCATTTACTTCTCATCATTTCTCACTATACCATTCACCACTCACCACCAACCATTCGCTTTTCACTACTCACACTAACCATTAACTTCTCACCACTCAATACTAACCATTTACCTCTCACCACTCACCACTAACCATTCAAGTCTTACAACTAACCATTCACTTCTCACCACCCACCACGAACCATTTACTTCTCACCACTCACTAACCATTCACTCACTCACCACTAACCATTGACTTTTCACCACTCATCACTTACCATTAACTTCTCACCACCCACCACGAACCATTTACTTCTCACCACTCACTAACCATTCACTCACTCACCACTAACCATTGACTTTTCACCACTCATCACTTACCATTAACTTCTCACCACCCACCACGAACCATTTACTTCTCACCACTCACTAACCATTCATTCACTCACCACTAACCACTGAGTCCACTGACTTTTCACCACTCATCACTTACCATTATCACCACTAACCATGAACTTCTCGCCACTCACAACTAACTGAATGGCTTCTCCTCACCACTCACCAGTCTACAATTGCAAATCACATTTTGAATCACACTTTACGAACACTATACTCGATAATCGACTAATCGAGTCAATACTCCGATACCGCTACGGTACATACACCGCAACCGAATGCTGAGTAGGCCTACTCAGTCTGTTCCGACTCCGAAAACGTTTAACGACTCCGAATACTTGTTTCCGAATCTGTATCGGAAACGGCGAGTTATCGTTACTCTCAAGATATATCACTTTTCACTCATTCATTCACAGATCCTTTTTAAATCACTCAGAACTCACAACAAGGCAACCTCATAACTCAGCCACTCACTAACATACAGTGCACGTGCTTGCCTATAGCTGCGGCTTAATTCGCTGCTTTCTGCAGTGCCGCAATGCGCATTAATTCCCCTTACATCCCCATTTAAAATTTAATTGATGTTGTTTAATTATTTTGTTGTGATTTCGTTTAAGTTTAAGAGTTAATGGCTATGTTTATAAAACGCATATTAAGTATGACATAACTTATTAATATATTTGTTCCTTTGTAACACCTTATTAATTTATTTATTTCAATAATCAAATTAAAGCTCGGATATGAAAGGATATTTCATATCTATTACGACAGATATACAAATGCCCCAGTCAGTTATTAAAATAAAACCTAAGTATTACATGCATGAACAAAACCTCCCCTAACTCCATGAAAACAAATTCACTCGGACCCGTCGACTAGTTGACATGAGCATGCAAACAACGTCATCCTTCGGACAAAAGCAGCTGTTCGTATTGTTTGTCACTGTATTTAGCAAGATGAAGAAGACACTCTTCCAAAATGTTTAACTCTCGGCTCATCCTTTGAAGGCTTGAATTTATCTCTTCCCTTTTGACGAAGCAGAACTGTTTATCAGCAGGAAATGAAAAGTTATGTTGAAGTTACTTTTATTTCTGAAGGTTGTCCAGATTCTGAGTCACAATTTCTATTGATCTTGAAGAATTATATGAAGAAGACGTGCTGCTAATTTCAAGTTGTTCTTGCAAGTAAATTGTGGATTTTCAGAAATGTATGGAGCATCGTCTTGAAGGAGACACAGTAGCCATTTTCGTTGCCCAAAGTATCACACAATCTCCATGGGCATTATCATGTGATGTGTTATTTTGATGAAAGGGATAAACTTCAAGAAGACTCGCCATCTATCAGCTGCAAATTTGACAAGTTTACAGAGGGGTCGTCAATTTGTACTTCTTTTGTAATACACCATACGTGATTCTTTTATTTTTTTGAACGTGAAGAGAGCCCACCAGTTTTGTGTTTGAGTGTATATTTGGAGCATCTGTCAATATTCAAGAATTCTGTATGTAAACAGAAAAGGACAATTCAGTAA